TGTTTTGCCTTTTTTTTTTTTTTTTTCCGTTCCTTATTCTTTTGGGGCTCTCTCCTTCTTCTCTCTGCCGTTTGTGTTTCCACTTTCTCTTTTTTTCCTTCTCTCTCTCTCTCTCATCGTTGCATCATGTCTTTCAGAATAGGAAAAGGGATGGATGGGACCAAATTCGAGCGCTGGCGAAGAAGGTGTTTTCTGGATGTCTTTTTGTTGTTGTATTGGCGTTTCTTGGTCTTTCATTTCTTCTTTTTTTGTCAGTTCTTTTTCTTTTTCACCTTTTTTTTTTTTTTTTTTTACATGTCTTTGATAGGCTTTCTTGACATGAAAAACAATAGGACGAAGGCTTTTCGCCCCTATTATATTCTGTAAATTTCCTTGACAAACTTTCTCTCTGCACGTGTGGTGTTAGTGCTATGATGCTCTTAGAGCGATTCCCAAATGCATAACTAGGCGCATATCATTTTTCTGCATTATATGTTTTTTTTTAACGAAACCCCAAGAGTTTGATATTTCCATTGAAGAAAGAAACTCCTTATCCTACCCCATTGCTCATACTCATTAACACTATATATATTATACACGTGAAAAGATTAATCCCTCTTGCTAAATTTTTTGATATCTAAAAATTGAAAAGAAAGAAAAAGAAAAATGACCAGAAATTTTAATCCCCAAGGAACTTTCTCATTTTGTTCCTGCCCCTCTCCGAGCTCACGGCGTCAATCTTGACAGCGACAAACACGCACTCGAAAGCACTCTTGCCGCTCCTGCTCTCCTGGATCCGCAGCCTAAACTGACCCGTCTTGACGGCCCATTCCTGACCTTCGCCGGGAAGAGCGCTGCCGGTGTCCTCGATGCTGTCCTCCGTTCGACGGCGCTTCCTAGGATTTCTGGCGGGCTCAATGTCGGACGTGACGATCGGAGGGTCTTTAGGCGTGTAGTTGCTGAGATCCTCGTCGTACTCGTCGCCGTTGAGAGTGACTGAAGATTCGGCCTCGAAGACAACCCGGACAAGGTCCTCGCTGAGCGGGGTGTGGCCTGGCGTGGGTGGTTGTGAGCCGGCGCCCCCGGACGCCATGAGGACGCCTAATGGTTGTGTAGTCAGAGGCAAACTGAGCTTTGTCGCAACAACTTCTAGGAGCTTCGCCACCCTGGTTTTCGTGCGCCCGAAGAATTCCGCCTTGACGCCATCGGCAGAGAACTTGAGCATTGTTGTTGTCTCTCCAATCTCTAATATCAGCTCAGCCGGCTTGCTGTCTACGTATGGGCGAGCATAATTGACGTGCCGACCGGAAGGAATGGATTGGCCGTCGCTGACTTCTTCAGCTGGTGGGACACTGACGCCGCTCTTTTGTACATTCTCCAGCCGCAAGATGATCTCGTCGATTAGGCGCAATGGGTTGAAGCTTATGGAATGGGGAATGAGCTGCTGCTCTATGCCTTTGAAGTGGAAATATCGAGCGTCACGTAGGAGTTCCTGGCGATGGTTTTCGTCGCGAATATTGACCGGATACCCGCGCAGTAGCCGCAGCAGCTCGGCAAAGGTGTCGGCGTTGCGATTAGGCACCGACGGCGGGAGGATAGACGGCGGGCGTATCAGGCCCTCGCGGTCGAGACCGGGGAAGAGGTCGTTTGGTTGAGAGAAAAAGAGGGCAAAGCCGAGAGAGAAGTAGTTCGGGGAGTTGGCAGGGTCGTTAAGGACGTCGCGAGGGATCTGGAATTCGCGGTGGCCGATGGACATGAAGATGCTCTCCTCGTTGAGTTGAGAGATGAGCTTGGGGACTGCGTGCGACAGTCATGGGTGAGTGCCTTGGACATAACGTGTAACTATCCGCCGAGGAACAGAAGACATACGGTTATAGAACTGAGCGTCTGCAAACAGACGCACAAAGTGCGTCCCGTCTCGTGGTATCACATAGTATCCTTGCAAATGCAGCGCAATGTCTCGAAAGGTCTGCGGGTCGCGATCGATGTAGAGCGTTCGGATCGAAGCAGCTGGGTCTTCGCCTTTTTGCTCCGCCGCTCTGATCTGGCAAAGAAAGTATTGCGAAAAATAGGACGGCGCTGTAGTGAGACAAGAACGTCAGGAGGGAGTCAGCAAAACGAGCAATATCAAAGGGGGTGTTCCAAGCTTAAGCTTGTCCTCAAAGCAAAAGGCGCGCGACGAACCATCTGATGACAGAGATGCGCCAGACAGCTTAAAGAGCTCTCCGCCAATCTGGATCGGGAAGACGCGCTCTCGGGGGAGGATCTGCGGGATCTTGTGGACGTCGCCCCCGTGCAGCGGCAGCGAGGGCGGCGCAGCGTTGGGCGCCTCGCTCGGGCTCGCTGAAAGCATGGCTGCCTCTGCCGGCGAAGCAGCGGATATGGACGAGGCAGAGACAGACATGCTGCTCAGGCTTTATACGAGCAACGCCTTGCGGCCCTTTGCTGACTTGCTTTCCCTCTGTTGGCTCGTGTCGCGTTGCAGCTCGCAGGCGGCAATTGCGGGTGGCAATTGCGGTTGGGAAGATGCGGGGAGCCCAAGCTCTTGGGGGTTTCCTGGCTTGGATCTGGGGAAAGAAAAATAAAGACAAAAAAAGAAAGACTGGCGATGTGCGGACGTGTTCACAGTCCAGGTGGTAAGACGACCAAAGTTCCTCTGTGGCTTGGATCTGGAAACTACGGCGGCGCTATCAGGCAGCCCCCGGCTGAGGCATCCGGCCTTTCAGGTGCCGATTCGATAAGCCTCACCAACTCCGTTCGGGTGGCAGAGCCCCATCGCTGGCTGGGAATTGGCCGAGAGAGCTGTTTGCAGTGTATTCGGGAAGAGCTTCTCGCGGGTCGTGCGTCGTTGCCGGGCCTGGGTGCAGCGGCAAGGCAGCATGGCATGGGAAAGAATAAGGTCCGGTGCTAGAGCAAGGAAAACTCCATAGCGAGTGATTGATTGCCAATACGCGCGCGTGTTCTGACGTAAGGAGCCCCCGAGTTACCAATCTAGATGGAGGATTGCCCAGGGACCTCTGCGCGCCACACGCAGCTAAGCTACCTACCTGTACCTGCTAATAGTAGTGACAGCATGATCAATCAACTGGTCAACCAACCAAATGGTTCAATGCTTTGTGCCGTTTATCAAATCTTGTTCCCTTTGCCTTTATCTTTCATTAACAACATGACATTACAACGCCATGCCAGAGCACTTGGTCATGGCATTCGCCTGCATTCATTCACTTGCTCATCAGCTCCACCCCGCCTCGCACAACTCCCACCACCGCTCCCGTCTGCACCATCTCGCTGGCCCCTCTAGCAACCCGGTGCTCAATCTCTGCCAGCCCCTCCAGCCAGGTAATCATGACCTCTGCATTGACCTCCAGCTTTGTCAGCTGCTCCATCACCGCCGTGATGATGTCGGCCAGCGCCAGTCCTTGCGTCGTCTTCAGGGCGTTGATGGTGTTGAGGCAGCTCGTCACGTCCGGCGTGCTCAGGAGCGTCTCCACAATCTCCTTGATGGCTTCGGGCTGGGGTGCCGCAATGCAGTTGTAAATCGTCTCTGTCGTAATCGTCTCGCGCTTGATCTCGCTCTCGGGCGGCTTGGGCTCGTTCTTTAACCTCAGCGGTGTGCCTATAACAGTTCCATGCAGTCAGCTTTCTGGCCTCTTAGATTTCATGGGTTTTGGTTGAATTGCAAAAACTCACTTGATGCATGGCACGCTTGAAGCACATTGAGTGCCCGTCGCATGTCGCCCTTGCTCAGCTTCACCAGCGCATCGACAGCCTCGCCCTGAATCTTGACATTCTCCTCTTCCACCACCTTCTCCACCAATACTCTGATATCCCCTTCCTTTAGCGGACTGAATCTGAACCTCGTACACCGAGATAGCAGCGCAGGGCTAAGCTTGTGTGCGTAATTGGCAATGATGCAAAACCGTGTGTTCGCCGTGTACTTCTCCATGATTCTTCGTAGAGCCATCTGTGCAGTGTTGGTCATGGCATCCGCCTCGTCCAGGATGATGAGCTTGAAGCCAGCAATGGAATTCGACTTGGCCGCGCCGCCGCCCATGGAAAAGATCTGCTTGGTGCTAGCAAACGTCTTGATCTGCTCTCGCACCACGTCGATGCCTCTGTCGTCCGAAGCGTTCAGCTCTAGCACCATCTGCCGCATGTTGGAAGCGCCGTAGATCCGCCGCGCGAGAGCCAGGATGGTCGATGTTTTACCTGTGCCAGGCGGCCCGTAGAGAAGCAGGTGAGGAAGGCGGTTCATCTCGACAAACTTGTTGATGGTGGCGAGGATGTCTTGGTGGCCGGACACATCGTCGAGCGTTACTGGTCGGTACTTTTCAACCCTACAAAGCAGTGCGTCAGCGGCAGCTCTGGTTAACATCTCTCAGATATCATTTCGTACGTACCATGGCAAGCTGTCCTCGGCTTCAACTGGTAGATTGGCAGCACTTCTCTTGCCCTTGGTTGCCTCAGCCGAAAACGTGATATCGGCGGATGGCGCCGGGCCATCGACGTCCATCTCGTCCTCATAGTCGGACATTTTGGAAGAGGGGAAGCTTGGAATAGCAATTGGAAAAGGAGCCCAAGTCTCTTTAAAACGATTGCACTGAATATCCAACCTTGTAACAAAATTCCCGTTTTGTGACGACGTGCATTTGTCGACCGGATTTTTCCCACCATGCGCAAGGCAGACGAGCGAGCTACAGGCGTCGACACGCGCCTAGACGTGTTCTGCCCATTAAAACCCCTGTAACTGTGCCACAGCGATTATAGCTAAGCCACCCCACTGAAGCAATGAGCCACTTTTGAGAGCACGAGAGAACGATCATTCTAATAAATGTATATAATAGCCTACTAAGTTGTGGACGATTCTTGTGATAATTAGTTTTTATCCCATCTTGCCCACTACCTCTTCTCAATATATACAAGAAGGCAGAAGGAGAAAGAGAAAGGGAAAATAGAAATAATACAACAGGGCAAGACAGAAGCCACCAAAAAGAGCATTATTAGTATGCATGCTTTTTTCCGTTATATCGCGAGCCAGCTTGTCTTTAAAAGTAACGCGAACCCGTCGCCGTGCCAGAAAAATAGAGGTGTACGCCCCATGAATAAGAAACAACAATCCCTTCTCCAAATTCGTAAGAAAAAAAAATTAAACGCCCCTTGCATCCTTATATTCGTCAAAGGTAGAATATCTAAAAAACAGTTTTGCAAGTCGCCGTGAACCGATAGTCCGTTCAATTTGTGGCGAGCAGCTTGTCCCACTGGACCGCTGAATGGACAATGCCGAGACCAATTAGATGGAATAACACCGGAATTGCTGCAACTGCAAGCCATGAGATTCCTATATGATCACATCGTGTTAGTAGACACTCAATGTTCAAGCGGGCAAGTTCAGGTGCTTGCCTGAATAAACCACAAGTTTTGTGACAACTTCGACGTCGTATCTCACTCGTGGCCTCACTAGCTGAGAAAACATTTCCTTTTCTTCACGCTCATTTTCCATAGTGAGATATATTTCTGGATTCCCATTCTCTCCCCCGCCTTGCATGACAAGAACATCATTCGGGCCATTCGACGGCTCATCTTTGTATGCTGGCTTTTGAACCCCAGAAGTTTGGGCCCCTTTGCCTGACTTATCTTCGTCTTCCTCGTTAAGATCCAGATTGTTTGATTTGCCTTTTAGGCTAGAGTTGCTTCCAATACTGTCCCTTCGTTGCCGCTCCCGATAGGCCAAGGTTTCGTATGCATCTGCTGCGCTCTGTGGTCCTACAGAAACGGCTCGTCCTCGAGTTGTAGGGTGTCGAATACTCTCAACCATACGAGGGAAATCAGAGGCCTTGGGAAATAGGGTATCTAGCCGCGACCCAGGAGGCACAGATTTGTACTCGCTGGCTGGTGTAAAAAACCTTCGAGGCAGGTCAAATCCGGTCGACTCAATGAGGCGGAATACGTGGGGCAGCACTTTGAGCAGCGTGGGCTTCATGATTTCGCGCCAAAGAAAGATGACGACGATTCCAACCACCATCCTCGCCGCGACAACCAACCATGTGTACGGCAAAGCACCCATGCTAGCCTCGGCGTAAGCTAGGAAAGATCTTCCAGCGGTCCAAGTTCCAGCCTCCAGCCCAATAACTACACCGGCAAAGGCAACGCTATCATCGAAGCATGGGCAATCATCTGCAGGTTCGGGATGGATTCGTATGAGGATGATGATTACCAGGCCGATGAGGGCGGGAGCCACCCAAGAGCTGGACTGCATAGCGGCATCCAACGGCGGCCCGAAGTAGTATTCCAGCAAAGAGATGCCAGCCCCCATTATAGATCCAACTATAACATCCAGGAAGCCATGCATGCCGCAGTAAAGGCGCCCAAAGACGATGGACACACCATAAAAGTACGACAGGATCTCGAGAAGCAGCTTTGTCGTCTCAGAAAAGGGGTTGTCGGGGCTGCGCAAGAGCAGAATGGCATAGACGGCAACGGAAACGGCATTGGCGCTGTGGGTGGAGGGGAAGCCGTATTCGAGCGCTGCAGATCCAGACATGGTGATGCGGTTGAGAGGCGGCGACAGTGGTCGGGGCAGCGAGTAGAAATCTTTGACGAAGCCTGTCCAGAAGACACCCAGCGCCAAGATGTGAACCAACCTGCGCATGTGATATTAGCATCCAAAGTTTTCCTAGCTCAAGCATTGGATAAAACGGCCATGTGAAACGAAAAGTGGCAATTCTGCCTCCGTCGCAAAGGAATCAGACCAGGATGGTTTCTACATCTGCAAAAACGTACCCCTTAGCAAAGGCCGCATAACCACCCCAGAACAGCATCGGCAGGAAGATCATGAAGAAGGTATGGGTGCCGAGGTTGGCGGTGATGGCGAAGTAGCTGTCGAGCGCCGGCGTGCGCAGCTTGCTCTGCAGAGCAGCGAGGTATGGCGTCTCCCATCGAACAATAGGAAGTGCCTGTTGTCGCAGATTGTATCTCCATTTTGGCAGCGCTCTCTTGTCTGTAGGTTGCAATATGTCAGCTCAAAGGACCATTTGAGAGCTTCTAGATGCCAGTTTTCCGCTCCATGTCTCTCTCTTCGACGTTCTTTTCTCCCTTTGAATTCCAAATCACTTGAGAAACTAAGAAACACTTTCTTTTCCCCCCTTGCACATCTCCATTTCACTCCGAGCACGGTATATCGGTGGGGGAGGGCTGTTGCGTTGAAGAGACCTACAGTGATCAAGGCTCCTCAGCCCCGCGTCGGGGACATCGCCATTCTTGTGGTGATGATGCGGCGGGGCATCGCGTCGCGTGCCGTTCATGGTGGAAATCCCAGGCACTCTGCAGTGCTGTCGGGAAGGAAGAGCTCAGTGTATCGTCGTGAGACGAGTTCGGGATTCGACATGGAGCGAGAGTGGAGGGAAAAGGAAGAGGGAAAAGCAAGGACCTGTCCCGGGTCTGTTAGTGAGGTGGGAGTCGCAGTTTTAGCTCTAGTGAAGTGCGAATGCGACGAGAGCCCTGGCGCAAAAAAAAAAAAAAATGGCACTGGGGGGATGGGGATTAGAGAAGGAAAAAAATTGGAAGCTGAAGACAAGCCACCAAGCCCTGTAAAAGCTGGTGCCGTCATCTAGAACGAATAAACATTAATGCTATGTACCTAATTATGGGCATCATACTTTTCCTCCAAGCTCGTGCGAAAGCGATACCAGTCAATGCCCGTTTTTAGAATTTGACCACATCTGGGTCTCCATTCGAGATTGGTAGGTAATATTGGCCAGTAGAGCCACACGGTAGGAGAGGAAGAAACGGCCGCTGTGACAACCCGCTGTCGGGCTGCCTATTGCAGAATTGCAGATCCCTCCAAGCGCTGCTCCGCTCCGAGGTAAGCCAAGGAAGACGCCAAACAGCCCCCTGGACCGGCCAGCAGTCCTCCAGTCTCCAATTATACGAGTCGAGCAGAGTGCAACTTTGTCTCCAGCGAGCTGCCGCGGTAGGCGCTTGCAAAAGAGGGCAGTGATGCTGCTACGAGAAGCGGAATAGAGGCAATGCTCCGTAGGCAGAATGGCACAGCGATCATCACAGTGTTGCTTGGCTCGGAACAGCGGCAATGGCAAGAGTACAGAGCAGCGCCGTATTATTTAGCAGGTAGTTATTAGTAGGCTTCTCGAAACCCGCAACTCTACTTGGCGAAGAGAGACCCTTGTTTTCCACCATGACATGCATGTGCTTTCCATCTCTGCCGCGCTGGTCGCTAATTAGGCCCGCCGTTAGTGTCCTCGGCACGTCCCCACCGATTCCCCAACGGAGCACCGAAACAAATCGACATTATCCGTTCCACTAATTAGCCCGGGAAAATACAACAATTACAGCAGCAACAGAGGCACAAAAGAACACCATGGCCTTGCCATTTGCCGGCAGACACTGCGTCGTCGTCGGTGCCACCGGCGTCATCGGCTCCTCCATTGCAAAGGCATTCGCCCAACATGGCGCCGTGGTGTCGCTCCTCGGCCGCTCAGCCATCCACATTCGCCATAAGCTAGAACCGCAGCTTCGTCCGTACAGCCTACCCGAGACTGGCGATGGCACGGAAAACGCAGCCGCTTCAGCTGATATTCCTTCTGTTCACCGGTTTATTCGCCTTGATGCTTCGAATCGGGAAGAAATCAAGGCCTTGTTTAGCTCACGGGCATCATCGTCATCCGAGGTAAATACATTTATTTGTAATTTTGATAGACTCAAGAGAGATGTTTTTGGTTCAACCACGGCGCAAAGCCTTATAAGTCTTTTGTGTTTTTTTTTTTTTTTTTTTTTTTTTTTACTTTCAAGTATGGAGTCATTGACTTTCCGTAAAATAAGCCTCGACGCGATGCTTCCATTGGACCCATCGATATTCTCGTCAACTGTGCCGGCATCTCTCAAACCACGCTGCTGAAGCGAACTCCTGATGAGGAACTCTCAAGTATTGTCGACACAAATCTACTTGCCACCATGCTGGTATGCAAGCACGCAAAGATGAGACCCAACGGTATGTCTCCCCAGATCCTTACTGGTGCCTCATATGTCCCATCAGCTTGGCTAATAGCTCTGGATTGCTCTTAGGCTGCATTATAAACGTCTCTAGCCTTATGGCAACAAAAGGGGGGCTTGGCGCCACAGCTTACGCTGCATCCAAGGCTGGCGTAATTGGTAAGAGCCGATCGTATTGTGTTATCTCAAATTTTTGTTATATATTAACATACATTGTTTTTACATTTCATCATGTGGTAGGAAGTAGCTAATCTTCTCCTAGGCTTTACCCGTGCCCTGTGCCGTGAAATGGCGTCTCGTTCTATCCGTGTAAATGCTCTGCTGCCCGGTTGGGTCAACAGCTCCATGTGGACTGGTGTGTATCCTCCTTCCTCTAGCCACTTTTTGTTCTCTCGTAATCCCTATAGTATAATGCTCTCGTTTCTCATGTGCCCAAGCTAATGTACATCTCATAATTAGATCTCAAGCCAGACATTCAGCAAGCTTACCTCAAAGATACGCCCCTTAATAGAGTAGCGGATCCCGCAGAGGTTGCCGATGCCGCTCTATTTCTAGCGTCCAACGGCTTCGCAAACAATTGTATCCTCAACCTTGATGGTGGGCTGAGTGCTGCCTAAAGACAATGCAGCAAGCCTGTCAGGAATGCTATAATCAGTCGTCGATGACGATGGCACCACCGGCATCTTCTACGACTACCACGTCATCATCTGCAGAGCTGATGATCTTGGCCTTTTTGAAAGGGGGGCTCTCATCATCAGGGAGCGCCCTCTTAATGCCCTTAGATTCCTCTACCACTTCATCGTCCAGAGAATGCTTTCCGTTTTGTTGGCTATGGCCGTTGCCGTTGGTCTCAGCTGGCGAGGATTTCTTTGGCTTATGAGGAATTTCGGGACGACCGGCATGTACCGGACGGAATGATTCTTTCTGATTATCCAAGATTCTGCGATCGATTAGCATCTTTTTAACAACAACGAATTTTCTGTTCTTCGTTATATTCATACCCATCCTGAATATCAATTACCACATTAACAAGCACATCTTCATCGTCCTCATCTGTGACAGTCAGGAAACTGCCTCCCTTGATACCTGCAGGGTGGTTAGTTTTGCTACAATGTACAAAAAGGGATTTTGATATCATACCAAGTTCTGTGAGCTTCTTCTCGAGATTATCCGTCTCGTCAAGATCATATAATACGCCAACATCGTTGCTCACGGAGAATTCTTTATCTCTATAGCCAAACTGATTCTTCACTAAACCCTCGACGATATCGTGTAACGTTGCTCTACTTAGGTCGGCAATAATACTGGTGTAATAAACGCCACAGACAGGACAGTCGGGGTTTGGCTCTCGGTTCCTATCCGGAGCCAGCAGTCTTGCGCTAGCAAAAGGCGTTAAGAAAACTTCTTTAGCCTGCGCATATTCTCCTTTGAGCACTTTGAAGGACTGCAAAACGCAGAGGCCGGCGACAATAGCATTTGTTGTGGCGATGGCGGGTATGATGTTGCCAGCCATCTGCTTGATATCGAAGCGCGATTTCAAATCAATGCCGAATATGGTGGAGCGAATATTCGCACTAGATGCTACAAAATCCAGCGTATCAATGTCGTCTTTGTCAAAGGTAATAGTTGGCTCAGGCGAAGCAGCATCCTTTGTCGCTTTCAGCCGAAGTAGTCGCTTGCTAAGCCGGTCGAGGCTGTCATTGAACACAATAAGGCTTTCTTCAAGGGTCCAGACTTTCTGTCCGTCTGCTAGTATGGCGTCTTTTGACTCGACGTTTTGGCTAGCTCGTGCGAGTAAATCATCGTATTTGAGCGCTTCAGGAGCGCGACGCGATTTCCACATATCTTCTACAGACCGCAAGCGCTCGATATCGGAATTGAAGACCTTGTCAAAGAGCATTTTCGGGAATTCAGGTGTTCCAATTGCGTCTCTGATTTTCTTTAGAGCCTCTGATTCTTTCTTTAATTCCTCGATTTCCTGGGCTAGTAGTCTTTATTTAGCGTGGAATCCCATCTTGCAGTAGTACAGACAGCTGGAGTCCTACCATTATCCGCATCCGCCGAGTGATCAAAAGCCGATTCGTCTTCGCTGACGCCAAAGATTTCGCTGGAAATGAGATTAGAAAGAAATGCCAAGAGAACTGGGTATCACACACGAGAAGATGCTCCTTACTTTAGCAAATAACTTTTGCCCCAAACTATGCAGTGGATTGGCTGGCTCGGCGTGCTTCGAATGGTGCAGACAGGGAAAGATTTGGGCGTCTCTTTGGGAGTGCAGTCATAACACGCAGTAATGCCCTTTTTGATGACTTGAACTTGGCCGTTGAAACCAGTCGTTCCGCTCTCGATAAGCGGAACATCTGCAGCCAAGCACATCTTGTTCACATGCCGTCTCGCATCGAGGTTGTCCAGAGCATTGAAAACGATCTTGAAGTCGCGAAACCAGGGAACGCTAAACTCGGAGTCTTTAATGTTGGCGTGGTGCGCAACAATCTTGACGTTTGGGTTGAATCTCTGTGCCGCCTCTTTGGCAACCTGCTCCATTAATTAGCATTGCGACAGTCGAGCAATATTGGCGCAACTCCAGGCATCCAACGCACCAATGCTTTTGATTTCTTGATATGTTCATGTCGGAAGAGAAATTGGCGGTTTAGGTTGGATAGATCGATCGTGTCAAGGTCGACGATGTGAATCTCGCCGAAGCCGTTGAGCACCAGGTTTTTCAGAAGCTCGCATCCGATGCCTCCAGCGCCCACCATTAGCACTCGCGCCTGCAACTAAAGTTAGTATCCAAAAGCTGCATTCGCGAAAAGCAAGTAGAAAAAAGTCAATCAAATCGTAAGAAGAAGAAGAAGAAGAAGAAGAAGAAGAAGAAGAAGAAGAAGAAGAAGAAGAAGAAGAAGAAGAAGAAGAAGAAGAAGAAGAANGAAGAAGAAGAAGAAGAAGAAGAAGAAGAAGAAGAAGAAGAAGAAGAAGAAGAAGAAGAAGAAGAAGAAGAAGAAGAAGAAGAAGAAGAAGAAGAGGAATTTGAACGAAGATAGAAGATTGATTTCCATGGCAGATTGGGGTATGGTGCGGCTGGGAGCACTCGACTCGTCACTAAACGTACATGCTTGACCAAGGAATTCAGAGATGCGCCGAGCGACTGGTGGTTAAATCGATCGCGTGAGGCCATTGCGTTTCGCTGAGTAGGTGCAGGATGTGACGCGACAATCCGCTGCGGCCGATGAGGGTCATGAGGAGCGGCAGCAGCAGCAACAGCGGGAGCAGTGGTTGACATGCCATCGCCAGCCGCATCCGCAAGAGCTTCTTTGGGAGCCTCCATCGCCGCCATCAGTGCAAGTGTCGAGCTCAGCTAATAGTAGATGGTGGCGATGAAGATCGTCTGGGGATCGAGTCTGGAGATGGAATTCGAAGGTGATCGGTCGCAAGCGAGAAGAGAGGGGCGTCGAATCGATTGCGCCAAACTCGTCGATTTTCAGCTGTTGGTCTGGCGATGCTCGGCGCAGGCAGCTGTAGGGCGTTGAAGTACAGCGGACGAGGCCAGCGAAAAGCTGGGTTACGACCAATTGGATGAGGTCAGAGGCCCCGGGGAAATAGAGCCGACGGGTCCGTGCGCTGAGCATCAACTGATAGGGTGCGCTAAGATAAGAGTCGTCGAGCGGGCGGAGGTGTGACTTGAGACGACAAGGCTGTGTGTGCCTGGACGGGACGGAACTTTTTTTTTGTGACGTGCTCGGGTGATGCAATAGCAGTAGGTATAAAAAATGATGCTTAATAAGGATGAATTATAGTGACAATGAGGTGTAGAATTGCCATAAGATCTAACGCTAGATTGTGTAGTGTAGCAGATATGCAAAAGCTATGGAAAGCTATAACAGCAGGTTTCTAGTTTACAGCAGTAAGCCCTGATTAGGCCTCGATTTTCAGCACCAGTCCTCCACTCAGCGGGGTGCTATTCACAGCGTTTCACTCACAAGCGAGAAACTCATCAAACGTCTCTAGTTAACGGCGTCTAAGTCCAAGTTGACTGTATCAACTCCCAAATTATAGCGTCATCATTCAAAGCGCCTCATTTCCCCTAAAATGTCCGACGACGAGGTGGATCACGAACTTCTCGCCATTCTTCGGCAGCACCTCCAGGGCGTCTCTATCAAAGACGAAGAGCCTGAAACAGGCGTCCTGGCTGACGCCGAGTATGTCTACGACCATGGCATCGACGTAGCCATCGACATGCGCTCAACAAAGCGTGCCGCAGAGACCATCTATGCCCAGATGCAAGAGAAGAGCTATTCTACTTCTACATGGTCATCACACGAGCTGCATCCCAAGGCCAAGGATGAAGCCACGGCCGCATTCATCTTCACCATGGACCTGCTCAACTTTTCATTCTGGTCTGAGCTGCCTGATGACGAGAGGTTTGCCATTGAGTATAAGGGAAAGAGATGGACGGGTTACTGGAGTCTGGTGGCGGCAATTCAAAGAGCCCTTGAAGAAGGTCAGTGGCCGCCATTTATACTGCGAATATACCATCACCCTCTGACTGGATTGCTTTGCAGATATCCCTATTACTGATCCTAATTACTGGCAAAATGAGGAAGAGTGTAACTTGGAGTCCCTGAGACACGTCTTTAGGTCCTGCACAGAGGAAGAGATGCCTCTGCTTCAAGAGCGGCTTGACTGCCTCAGAGAGAGTGGTAATGTGCTTTATAACGTACGTCCTAATTCCCATATAACCGTCTCTCATAATGAGAGTATGTATTAACCATCAGAGCCAAAAGAAATACGAATGCTCCGTCGTTAATCTAATTTCCGCTGCCAAGGGCTCCGCGGCCCAGCTCGTCAATATCCTCGCCAGAGATTTTGACTGCTTCAGAGACGAGCACCCATTTGAAGGCAGAAAAAAACCCATCCGCATCATGAAGCGTGCCCAAATCTTTGTTGCAGACATATGGGCTTGTTTCGAGGGCAAGTCATATGGCGAGTTCCGTGACATTGATAAGATCACCATGTTTGCCGATTATCGTGTGCCTCAAATTCTGTCCACCCTGGGTGCCTTGTATATCGGCCCACAGATCGACGCGGCTATTCGCGATAAGAAGCTTATTGAAAGCGGAAGTCGGTGGGAGATACAGCTGAGAGGTAAGAGTTTTGCATTATGCAAATCATCTATTAGCTTCTGCTGACAAAGGTTGAAACAGCGTGCAGTATCTGGTGCGTTGAGTTAATACGGAGAGAGATCCAGAGTGCACACCCAGATACCCATGTCAATGCTATTTTGATCGACTTTTTCCTTTACGATACGATGAAAGAAATGGAGGCAGCAGGAAAAGAGTCTATTCCTCACCACCGAACACGAAGTATCTGGTATTAATGTTGTATCCTGGCTTGAGTCAGGTGTTAGTCTACAGCACCTTGTATGAATAAAAGTCAGTCATGGCACACCATGTTATATGTTATAGAATTAAAAGTTTACAATATCTGTGTATATCTACAAAGATAACACTACCTACATTCAGCCTTCATACCCATACTAGCTCAGAATAGATAACAATAAAAATAGAGACCAGTAAAGCATCATCCCTTGCACCCAACGCCAGTACTCGACATCCGAAAAATTAGTCGCCGCCCATACTTTCATCCTATGTAAATAAAGCCGTAGCATTCATTATCCGATCCATGTGCGCAGTCTCCACCTCAATGTTGTCCTTATTCTCCTCCTTTAGAAGGACCGCCAAAACTTCAATAGGAGGATTCAGACCCAATCGCTCAGCCCGTTGCCACCGCTTCAAGCGAGTCATTCCGATGCAAGGCTTCAAAAACAAGGTGTTAACATATGTCTCCATCCATACACATTATACCAATAGTATGGAGCAAAGAGAAAAGAGACGTATAAACTTACTCCGTACTGCGAGCTTACGTCGAAGTATCTTAGCACTTTCTCGCCCAAGTCGAGATCTTGCTGGTGTACTCGAGGTGCCTTGCGCTGCTTCTCAATCCCTTTCCAGTACGATTTGACCTGAGCATCAGTAATCTTTTCAGCCTTAAGCTCAGCCTCTGATTTCTCCGGAATTTGTTCAACAATTTCTTTTACCTCCTCCTCTTGCTCCGGCTCAACAACGTCTGGTTCTTCTGCGACGGCATTAACGGCTTCTTCTTGTTTACGAACTTCGTCTTTTGACGCTGGCCGCTCGGGGATGGTGGTTCTAGCAATCGTTGGCGAATCTACTACTGCCTTCTTCAAATCCTTGGGCACGGCCTTTGTAACCTTGCCCGAAAAGCTGATTGTCGATTGTCCCTTGGCTGGACCAGGGCGACCCCGGGCGCTGGCGGCCGATCTTCTTGTTGTAGGCATTGCTGCACGAAAATACCCTGTAATGCTGTTTTCGTAGAATATTGAATGCTTCGGTATGGCACAGGAATTGGTCTGCCAATGCAGAAACAAAATGATCGGCTTGTATGGATCAATGCTTCTTAATTGTATGTTGTAGACCGTTAACGATTATCCATATAAATGAGATGCAGGAACAAATCGGGTGGAGTTCCAGCTTGGCTGCCTGCTGTAAGGTGGAGGACGGCGAGGGATAATGATGCGAGAATGGCGCTAGCGTTTGGCGGGGCAACGCGAGACTGGAACGACGTCACGTGGTGGTCATTGGCATCTCAATATGGGATCCAGTTTCAACGAGGTATGAGGTCGCTTTCATGTTCATTGCGTACCTACTAATATAACGCCAAGATATTGTTCTAATCTGCTCTGCCCGAGATAATCTCAACTTCCTGTTGCCTCTCTATAGAATGAAATGCTCCTGTTTGCGCCACCAGTGCAGAACATCTCACTGCGTGCAGTCTTGGGCAGCCACCGGACGGCCCACAAGGCCTTATCCGTCTCGCTGTGTGTTGCTACACAAACACCGCGCTCAATTGACCATACCTTCACTTTCCCATCCATTGAGCCACTAAGGAGGTATTCTCCAGTATCACTCCAGTCGAGTGACGTGATCCATGATGAATGTCCCGTAAGGTTGCCCACGTGTTCTCCGTGCTTTGTATCATAAAGGGCGATGATGCCTGCATCACCCGCGGCGGCCACTCGAGTGCCAGCAGGCGATATCGCTACTGCTCGGACGGGCTTGGCAAGGCCTATAGCTCTATGTCAGAGGTCAAAGGTCAAAAGATAAGATAAAAGTGTTACCTACCGGACAGGGAATATAGAATCCTCCCCGTATCATTGTTGAACACGTAGACCGAGCCATTCTGATGCCCGCTTGCCGTGAATTTCCCATCCCTACTGAGATCCACGCACATGCCAAAGCTGCCTGAGCCCGCGCTGCCCGTTTCGTATTCGCGAATCTTGGCTCTGCTCCGATCCGCGACGTCCCACACGTTGATTCTGCCATCGTTGGTGGTGCCCGCCAGGTAGCCTCCATCCTCGCTGAGAGCAATCGCCCATACTTCACCTGGTTTGACCGTTGGACCCGTAACTTCGCCGCCGTCGCTCCACTCGCCAGTCTCTTTGTTATACTCCCATATCTTGACCTCGCCCCCGAAGCCAGCACTGGCGGCGTAGAGGCCGTTGCGCGATGTGCAGATGTGGTGGCAGCCTAGCTTGTGGGCACCAGAGATGGACTGCTTCAGAGGGAAAGAAGGGTCAGTGGTATCATGTACGTGAAGCGTTGAAGAGCCACTGGCTGAGAGCAGTGTCTTTTGTGTTGCTGCCAGCGAGAATATGTCTGTGATATGGGCTGCAAGCGATCTCTCATCAGCTGCCTGAACCCTCGGCGTGTGAAATGAAAACTAACCGTCGTCCACCGTATGGGTGGTCAAATATTGCTTCGACTACATGGCCATATGTGTGAGTTTTTATGAATTTAGTCAATTGATTTGGCGAGCACCCTTACCATTGTCACTTTGCTACAATGCTGTTGTTGCTTGGAGGTTGTTTTCTACAGCGCTATCGTAGAAGCTTGGGGGGCTTGTGAGCTGGTGGGGTTGATAGCTCGCTGTAGCATCAAATGTCAGATGCGAGTATAAAGTTGGCTACCACGGGGCTGGTTCCCATTTACATCATGCCAATTAGCTACAACTGATGTGATTTTTCATAATGACTGCCTAGTACGTATACAATATTTTTACATTTAAAATAATCAGATGGGTGGCCAACAAATCTTATGCTACACCATGCGCAAGTTATAACAGTTCTTGTATTCGTAATTTTTTTTATACATCTGTTTGGAGTGTTTTTTTTCTACCATCCAGCCCTCTATCCTGATTTTCATATTGGTACATAATGAGACAAAGCATTGACTAAGGCAAATGCCAGCTGGTATGCTCGATCTGGCCCGAGGTCGTAGTACATCGGCCTTTGACATAGGTGAGAGGGAATCCAGCCGTCTATCAACCTGCGCGCTTAAAATGGACTGCTCGTAGGATAATCCTGACGCCATATTCTCTTCATTTCTAGAGAGAAAGGGGAAGTTAGCATTGCATCTAAATGCTGATCCGCTACCCGTGGCCATACCTTCAAGACAGTGCTGGCATAATCTGTGTGTCCTCTTGATTTCTCCGCAGCCGGGACACTTGCACAGATGATTAACATCTTTCAAGGCCTTTCCAGCCATCTGCCTCGATCTCTTTTTTGAGTGAGAGACCTTGTTCTTGGGCACTGCCCGCAGGACCGATTCCCAGATATCGCCCAGCAGTCCAGGAATGTTGATGGTGACGCCAGGGACAGCAATTGATAGTGAGGGAAGGAATTTCAGGGTATATGGCGTGGTGTAAAATGTCGCCCAGCGAGAGACAGCGAGAGAGAAGGGGGATGCGAGGCGAGGAAGGAAAGCGGTCGCTGCCATTGTGACGGTTTGTTCTTGTATTCTATATCGTTGCGTGGTGGAGCGACTTGCGCAAAACGTTTATGCGCACAGAGAACCGGATTCCGACTCCCCAGTGCAAAACACGCTGCGAGTATCTCTTGCGATCGAAGTTTCTTGTCGTCGACTCGGCTCGTTGTCTTGTCTGTTCACCAGCTCGATGCAGGGTTCGATTTGTCGTGGTTCATGATCATGCACCTTATCAAGAAAATCGATTATCAAAATCTTGCCTCTAGCACCACATCCCGCCTAGCACCAAGCCAGGTACCCCAAAGTACCCAAGTACCCAAGTACCGCCACACAATGCGGCTTCTCGCAACGCTGCACCGGGCTAACTGCCTTAGTACCTCTAGCTAGGTATACGGGCCAATCACGAGCCTCCACAGCACGGACAGGTCTGCAGCCAATTAGCAGCTCTCCATGCTACCCCTGGCACCTTCCATTCCCCCCTTTCTCGTGTCCTGGCCTGCTCCTGCCCCTACGCCGAAATTATTGCTTGCACTACCTGGCAAGGCAAGAACACGCCAACTGGCCCAGTAAGGAGCCACCGCCAGCCAGTCCAAAAAGTTCCCCTTCTCCAGGATCGCTACCAGTGCCTCTCACAACCTCCAATTCTACCCATCAGGTTTCCGCTTTCTGAATTGCTGGCCCTCGCGTCTGCTGTCTTTCGTCTTTCACGCGTTTTCACCCACGCCCACGCTCTTTCTTGGAATAGGGAAGAATCGCTTTGTCCTTACTCCTTAACAGCATCCATCTCCTTCATTCGTTTCTCCCAGTCTCTCATAATCAATCACGATGGCGACTCCATCCACTATCACTCCTAGCAGCCATGTCGGTTTCGACAGCATCACGTCGCAGATTGAGCGCAAGCTGTTGAAGCGTGGATTCCAGTTCAACGTTATTTGCGTTGGTAAGTGGCGCGCGCTGCTGAGGCGTCTTGGGGCTGATCAGCCCATGAGCCGATTGGAAACTAACTGGATTGACAGGCCAGACTGGCTTGGGCAAGTCGACGCTCATTAACACCATCTTCGCCTCGCACCTCATCGACTCCAAGGGTCGTCTGCAGCCTGACGAGCCCATTCGCCAAACCACCGAGATCCAGGGCGTCTCTCACCTCATTGAGGAGAATGGTGTCCGTCTGAGACTCAACATCGTCGACACCCCCGGCTACGGCGACCTTGTCAACAACGACCGCTGTTGGGACCCTATCGTCAAGTACATCAAGGACCAGCACTCCGCGTACCTGCGAAAGGAGCTTACCGCCCAGCGAGAGCGTTACATCCCCGACACCCGCATCCACGCCTGTCTGTTCTTCATTCAGCCTTCCGGCCACTCTCTCAAGCCCATTGATATTGTCGTCTTGAAGAAGCTGTCCGATGTTGTCAACGTTGTGCCTGTCATTGCCAAGGCTGACACCTTGACTGTTGAGGAGCGATTGGAATTCAAGGAGCGTATCAAGGCCGAGTTTGCTTTCCACAACCTCAAGATGTTCCCGTACGATAACGAGGAGTTTGACGACGAGGAGCGAGCTTTGAACCAGCAGATCAAGGTACGCATATAGTACACTATCGTCGCTACTACCCAGAAATGTTGAACTAACATGTATGTTTCTTTGCAGAGCTTGGTTCCTTTTGCGGTTGTTGGCTCTGAGAAGAACATCATCGTCAATGGCAAGCAAGTCCGTGGGCGCCAGAACCGCTGGGGTGTCATCAACGTTGAGGACGAGAACCACTGCGAATTCGTCTACCTGCGAAACTTTTTGCTCCGAACCCACCTCCAGGACCTCATCGAGACCACTTCCCAGATCCACTACGAGACTTTCCGTGCCAAGCAGCTGCTTGCACTGAAGGAGAGCAGCGCACACGGTGGTGGTGCCGCCAGCAGACCGATCAGCCCTGCTGCCGATCGCGAGATGAGCCGAGGCTCCCAGCGAATGGGCATCAACGGATACTAAGTCTTCGCTCGTGCTTGACGAGTAGGAGAGTGATGGCGTTCTCTGGGTGGAACGGCGACCAGCCAGTCTTACGATTATTCTCACCTCGTGGGTGGTGTTATGCGCGGTAAAAAGCAGTGTATTTTCTATTTGGAGATGTGTGGACCAGCTTTCTCTGCACCGCAATCCGACTCAATATTCGCTGCGTTCTCACTCAAACAACGCAGAGAGACGGAATGCGATTACAAAAAACTGGGCGCGCTCTCACCAACCATGCAACGTTTATAAGGGCAGCATGAACTCTACCCATCGTGAAACGCTCAGTGGTTCGACGTATCTCGTCTGCGGTCTTTTAATACGCATTTATTTTGTTTTTAGTAGTACCATCGGAGCCTTCCTTGACCATTTTCTTACGTTTTAATCAGATCCCCATACCTGTACTTTCAATATACCTACAGTTAGTTGAGTCGCTAAGGAAGAGAGTGGCAGAATGGAAAGAGAGATAAGAGAGAGAGAGAGTATGATATGTTGATTAATTTTGCATTTATCTCCTATTTTTATACTTCCAAGCTTGTCTCTATTTTGTGAATAAATTCGTGAGCCTTGCATCTTTTAGCGATATCAACAGCAATAGAAATGTTGTAAATGACGCTCTTTATCTATATTGTATACTGGATGGGCTTTTTTGGTGGGTATTTGCCATGAAATCGTATCGCGCAGTTGTTAGTCTTACTCCTAAGACTTATACACAAACTCCTCGAACTTCTTGTAGGATTCCTCGAGGTCATCGTTGACAATGATGATGTCATGCACGCCGGGTGTCTGTGAAAACTCAAGCTCCTTTTGAGCCTGAGACAGTCTCTCCTGGATGCTCTGCTCGGTTTCGGTGCCTCGGCCGCGCAGGCGCCTCTCCAAGGTCTCAATTGACGGCGGGGAAACGAAGATGTAGCGGGCCGAGATGCCGGAGTTTTTGATTTGCTTGACGCCCTAGGTTTTTTTTTTAATTCACACGTTAGCCTCTGAAACTATTTCATTGATAGACGCAGATCTTTTGGTGGTTTGCTGAAATAAGTCACTGCGGTTGGCATTACCTCCATCTCAATGTCCAGCAAAACGACCTTGCCCTTCTTGGTCTGCTCCTCGATGGTCATCTTGCTGGTGCCGTAGCGGTTGCGGCCGTACTTGGCATGCTCGACGAAGCCGTCCTTGGCGATGAGGTCCTCGAAGTCCTCCATGGTCACGTAGTGGTAGTGGACGCCACGCTCCTCGCCGGGGCGAGGGTCGCGCGTGGTGTGTGAGACGGACAGGCAGAAGGTGTCTGGGTGGCGGTCAAAGAGCATGCCGTAGAGGGTTCCCTTGCCGACGCCAGAAGGGCCGGAGACGACGATGGGGCGGGTGTCAGGAGGAGCTGTTTAGGTGACAAGAGGAAGAAAGAGTCAGCAAGCCTCTTTTTTTTGGGATCTTTGGAGGAGAGTTTGGAGAAGGCTTACGGGTAGCCATTGTGCTTAGCGGTCGGATTACGGAGGACCGTGAGAAGAGTGGGCGATACGTTGATATGGCCGGGAGGCGGAGAGGCATATGAAGATTGTGGTGGGAGATCTTGACTTGAAAGATCGCGGGATCTGGACCATCAACTTGGTGTCCCACTAATAGCCACACTCTTCACCGTATGCAGATACAAGCGCTCTCGCCAATGTTGGCGAGGGGTGGCAGAAAAAGGGTCCTGTCTTGAAACAGAAAACGGCAGGCGGTGAAGGTGAAGATTGACAAACCAATTAGACGCGGGGATGGGTAGCATTAATTACCTGGCAGAGACGAAGCCACCCAGTCTTGCCACTTTTGGTCACAAGAGGTCAGCCCCTAAATTGGATGACGGACAGGGGATTGGGGGACGCTCATTTTAATTTTCCCTGCGCTGCTGGAAAAGCGAGATTCCGGGGAGGAGCCTGGGCGAGAGACGCCACGCCCAGAAGAATGCCCCAAGACCCTGAGAGTGTTTACGCTTTATGAGACAAGAAGGCTTCGCCTCCGTGCCAAGCCATCAGGTACACGTATAATAGATTGATTTTGCTGCTTTGGAGGTTGAAATAAGGTTCTAGTGAGGTCATTGGGAGGCTGTGCATGTGTTTAATCTTGTAAAGACAAGATCTAGAAAGAAAAGCGCGGCGAGTTTATTTTCATTGCTCTTGGCCTTAATTTCTTGTCCCTCTTGAGCTCCTTGATACGATGCGCATGGCGATCTAGACTCTACTTGGCACCGCTTGGCAGGCCTAACAGGCACTGCTACTACCTAGCACCACTACTAGCTAGTAGTAAGTACGCAACGATTGCTTCATACATACAAAGAGAGCCAACAAGAGAGAAAGAGAAAAGCAAGACTCCGCAGTAAACAGCGTTTCGCCACAGCCATTGTTCTGACGCAGAAAGGCATAAATACGGGGTTACTCTGTCGCTAATAATGGTGGGCACGATTTGCTTGGACTGGCTCTGGCGGCCACTTACTTATACGAAGTCCGGGGGGGCGCGCGCAAGTACTGCTCGTACCTGCTCGAATGGGGAAATTATCGATCTCTTAGTTCCGCCGACTCGGCGTGAGCGGCCGCGGACACGAGGAGGGATGGACGTTTTATTGCTACGTATTTGTAGATGTATGATTCGTGTCTGCCTAGGCATGTAGGTTGGATGGGTATTGGGGGATATGGAGGATGAAGTAGGCGACATGAGAGGTGGAGGAACAAGACGAGATTCGAAAAGAGGCCATTGGGGAAAGGGAGAAAGACGATGCAGGGCCACCTGAGCAAGAGCCAAGCCATGCTGTGCCATGCTGTGCCAAGTGAAAGGCCAAGAGGCCATCAAACGGTGGGAATGAGAGGCATTTCGGCAGCCTCGTATCCTACGGGGTCTCTGTTAGCGAGCAAAATGCCCAGTCTTGCACTATAGGCGAGTGCCGCAGAGAAGACGGCCTCGGGAGCACTATATACAATACGGTGCACTAGCAGTACCTAGCATACTATAATCCCCTAAGTAGAGCTGCATACACTGCAAATAGTACTAGTAGTTCGTCTCAAGTATAAATCGCTACCAAGCACCCAGATCAACGATCTTAGCTGAGACAGTCCGTCTCACGCTGAGGCTCCCTCTTGCACGCCGCTGCGACGGATCTGCAGCGCCCAAATCAAACGTTCCAGCGGGGCCCCGCCTGTTCCTGGCCTACCGCACTAGCGCAGCGGCAAATGGTGCCATTCAAGAGTCGGTGCCCTGAAGCTGGCAGGGCCCTTGGAGGAAAGGTCTTGTGAGCGCTACCGAGTGCTACAAGTACTAGCCCTGCCTGTAAATGCCCCTGGCCCGCATTGCAATTGGTGGGCTTGGCTGATCAAGGGTCCAGCACACGGAGCCCGCGACTACTTGTACTTACAGCTGGCCTCCCGCCCATCATCGCATTCCCTCCTAGCTTCTGCCAAAGACACGTTCGCGCTCGTTTTGCACAAAGTCGCTCTTTTTTTTGTTGCTTCGCTCGCGGGAATCGCCTCTCGAGCTTTGGGAAGTGCTTGTTTTTGGGCTTCCAGTCACTCTTTTCCGCTGTCTCGAGAAATCATCCCTCGCTTTCGCTTTTTGGAACTGCCAATATCATAAACAGAGCTTTATTGTGATTGCTTTCCTGTCGATACTTCATTCCTTTCATTTCTTTTTTTGAGAATTTCCAGTATTCTTTAGAAAACCGGCATTAATCATGCTTGTGAGTGGCTCCCCCTTGCATTTGGATGCTGTCGTGAGAGCCGTGTTTCAACGCTGCGCATAATCACATACAATTGGGCTACGCAGCCCATTTGCATTTTTCCTACTTGCATACCATCTCTCTGTGAAATCCCTTGTTTTACCCAATGCTAACCCAAAATGCGCTGCAGATGCAAGCTGCGCTCGTGGCCCTCGCCGCCACCACCGTGGGAGCTGTCAAGCCTCTCTCCATCAAGGGAACCGACTTTGTCGACGCCGACGGCAACAAGTTCCAGCTTGTTGGTGTTGCATACCAGCCAGGCGGCAGTTCAGGATACGACCCCAAGTCGGGCAAGGATCCCCTCAGCGACGCCGATACCTGCTTGCGTGATGCAGCTCTTCTCCAGGTTATGGGTGTCAACGCCATTCGCGTGTACAACCTTGACCCCAACCTGAACCACGACGAGTGCGCCAGTATCTTCAATGCTGTAAGTGTACCAATGGTTTCTGTGGCCAACTTGCTGTCCGCACTGTGACAAATGCCGTAGCTAATATACCCGCCTCCAGGCTGGCATGTACATGGTCCTTGACGTCAACTCTCCTCTGGTTGGCGAGTCTATCACCTCATTCGAGCCCTGGACGAGTTACTACGAAGCCTACTCCAACCGCACCTTTGCCATTGCCGAAGCCTTCAGCAATTACCCCAACACCTTGCTCTATTTCTCCGGAAACGAGGTCATCAACGACATCCCCTCTGCGCAATTCGTGCCCCCTTACCTGCGCGCCGTTACTCGTGACTTGAAGAACTACATCAAGAAGAACATCAAGCGCCAAATTCCCGTTGGCTATTCTGCCGCTGACGTTCGCGACGTTCTGTGGGACACCTGGAACTACCTGCAATGCTCCGAGCCCAACGATGATGGCGACATGAGCCGTGCCGACGTCTTCGCCCTCAACTCGTACAGTTGGTGCGGCCCTGACGCAACCTACAAGAGCTCATCCTACGACGTCTTGACCGACAACTTCCAGGACACCTCCGTCCCCGTCTTCTTCAGCGAGTACGGCTGCAACACCCCCATGCCCCGCTACTGGAACGAGACCCAGGCCATCTACGGCCCCGACATGACCCCCGTCTTCTCCGGCGGCTTCGTCTACGAGTACACCGAGGAGGACAACCACTACGGCCTGGTCAACATCTCCGGCGACACCCTGAACATCATGGGCGACTACAACCGCCTCAAGGCCCAGCTCGCCAAGATCGACTGGAAGTCTTTGCAGTCCCAGAAGGCCAGCGGCAAGGCCCCCACCCCTCCCAAGTGCACGTCCAGCCTCATCAAGGAGAAGGGCTTCGACAGCAACTTCACCCTGCCCGTCCCTCCCCCCGGCGTCCAGAAGCTCATCGATAACGGCATCAGCCCCAAGCCCAGCGGCTCCATCGTCAAGATCTCCAACTACAACGTCAAGATGAGCGTCAAGGATTCCGAGGGTAACGCCGTCACCGGTCTCAAGGTTGTTCCTCTTAGCGATGACGAGTCCAACTGGAGCGGCAAGAACTCTGCCGATACTGGATCCAACTCCACCACCATCTCTTCGACCAAGCCCGGCACCAGCGACGCTCCTAAGAGCGATGACAAAGACAGCGCCGCTGCCTGGGCTCACCCTGCTTCTTGGGCCCTGGCTTTGCCTTTGGTTGCCATGCTCTTCATCTAAATTGGAGGTGGAGAGACGGGGATAGCGGAGTTCAATCTTCAGTAACTATTTTGTGCAGGGAGGAGGAAAAGGGGGGGATACAGAAGAAAATTAATGAAGTTGCTTTAATGTAAATACATGTCTTTCTCATTCTGCTTTGAACTTTTAGATATCCCATTTAGCTCAGCCATGATGATGATTGTCTTCTTTATCTTCTCTTTCTTAGGTAGGATGTTTTCATAAAAATACCTATTTATCTAGAGCGTATCAAGTACAGTACAATACAATCCATGGCTCCGAACTCCCAATGCCGGAATTTTTGCGATCATGTAGCGCGTGGGGGACCTGCCCCTGGATCTGAGTTAGACGGCACGTACCGCTAGGTCATTCGTTAAACTTTTTTTTTTTTTCTTTTTCCCCTCAATTTTCTTCTTCCCCTTCCCCCTTCCTTCAATTTTCTAGTTTCGTTATAATTTCGTTCGTTTCGCCCACCATTTATTTCAAAAACCATATCAGGCACTGCGGCTCTTATCCTGCGAGTCCCTTCTTGGCGGCTGGTTAATGTCCTTAGTCTTGTCCAGGCTGGTGGTGCAAGACGGGTTGGTCTCGCAGGGCAAACAGTAGTCATGGGTGCCAAAGTCGGCAGCCTTGCAGCACCCAGAGCAGCAATAATCGACAGGAGGCGACGGTTCGATTAGGCGAGCCATTCTTTTTTCTTACACCGAGGTTATGCAAGATGAATGTGAAAACGATGATTATGTTGTCTCCCTATTGGCCGGGTTGTCACCTACCCCTTAGGGAATCTGGTTAATAACATTCCGCCAAGCGCACAGAGCTTTATGTGGATTGGATTTGGAAGCAATTGCACGACATGACGACGGACAATCGAATAAAAAGGCACATGATCCCAAACACCCATGTAAACGAGGACAGATTTGAGAGAATCCACACACCTTTGATGCACTGGCAGTGGATTATTGGTACCCACGTGCCAGCTCAGTCAGGTAGAAAGCAAAATTTCGAGGTTGCTGCTCTGAACTTGTTGTATGGTCCTGCGCTGCGTTCCGTATCTGTCGTGTTCCTCGGGATCTCCCCGATGACTTGTGGCGGTAAGTCACTTTGGGATCAAAGTCGTAGCGCAACGGCGGGTGGCTTATATAATTGCAGGCAATGACGTGCGTTTGGCAGGTTCGCAGCGAAAGCGAGAGTGGGGGTGGGGGCTAGAGTTTGTATCGGACGCAGATCAATGTCTTTGTTTCCTCTTCTCAGAGGGGACCAAGGAGGAAAGAAAAGATCGACAGGCGATGAGAGACGAATATATAAACACCGAGTGGTTAAAAAAAAAGAGCCAAGGGTTGTGGGGAGCAGAAAGATATTTTCCCCTCCCCTGGGCCCTGAATATTGCAACGTTTCGGGGCCGTCTTTTATTAGGGGTATGGCTGGAAGGTGGTGTGGGCGCTCTTTGCCATGTAAGTGCGGGCTTGGTTGGCGCTTGTTGTATGGGGCACGTCAAAAGTAAGAGTCACAGAGAACGAGGGAGAAAGACAAACGAAGAAGCGGGACTGACGAGCGAGAGACGAGGTTGCGGGAGAAGACGGAGAGGCTGGACGACTGCCGGCGGTTTTATATATACAGATACAGGCACTAGGCAGGTACCTCATGATTCGAGACTGACGCCATCGTGGGCAGAATCCCATATAGAATCCTGGTTAGCTTCAGCGTTACCTTATCCGGCCAAGGGAAGGCAATATTGGGGATTGGAGACAAGGAGAGGGGAAACAAGAGGGAAAGAGCCGTTGTGGCCCAGCAAAGTTGGAGAAGCTGCAACTGCAACTGCAACTGCTGCAACTGTCACACCTCCAGCCCCGGCTCTACTGGAGCGGGAAGGCACGCGGTTGATGGAGCGAGTGCTGGATAGGATAACGAGATGGGCAACGGCAGCAGCGGCCCCGGGGCTCCTGATCCTGCTGTTACCACTGCTGTTGAAGGGAAGAGAAGGCGAGGAAGGCACAAGAGAGGAGGAGAGAGAAGAGTGGAAGGGAGTCCTTGGAACTGTTCCCCTCGATTCCATTGACTTGTCACATCAGGTGCTGCGTCACGCGCCCAGTCGCTGCGACCTGGCAAGGAGCATCATCAGATGCATTTCAAAGGAAGCGAGCGAGCGAGCGAGCACGGTCTGGCAGAGTCTCACTGCATATTCTCTGAATCCGTCGCCTTATGCAGCCCGGAGGGCCGATCATGAGAACTGTGGGCATCAGACCTGGCCGAAGGGCGGTCAGTTAGCCACAGCGGACGGCTCAGTCAGTTTCAGCAGCCTCTTCTACCTGCCGCCTGCTCTCGGTGTCTCTTCCCTCTCTCGGTCTAATGAGCCCTCACAGCCCCTTTGTAAGCAGCACTGCCCTATCTTTGCTATTCTGCCTAGGTGTTTCATTTATTTATAATCCATGCATCGGTCCGGGCCCATCCCAGCGCATGAGCTGACTTATATCACATTACCGTCACCAGAGGGATCAAGAAGATGCTGCGCGGCTGACCTTTGCAGAGGACCGAAAGGATATGATGTGCAACGCCGTGGTGGGTGAGGAGAAGAGGGTGAGAGAGTGAGTGAGTGAGAGAGGATGCGAGAAGGAGAGAGGGGTAGAGAGCCGGAGTAGGCTTTCCATCCCAGAGCCTCCCATGAAGGACTAGAATGGCCGAGATGGGCAATTCTCTTTTCTCTAGGATTGTGCTGGATAGAATGAGGTGCTTTACGCCCATTGGCGCCTATCGCGACGAATTCGCGTTAGTAAAGACCGAGAACCCCGAGTATGGGAACAGCATATGGAGCACCCGCAGGAGGGAACAGATCGAAGCAATGGCTCCTCTGGAGGCCGCTGGGAGGTAGAACTTGCGTGCAAAAAAAGAGCCTACATTCGTCGACGACTTGGGCCCGCCACGTGGCAGGTGGCTCAGAAGATTGCCGGATTCTCTCTCGCGCAGATACTGTATATGCCCCAGAACGGAGTACAATGGTACCTTTACCCATTTGCGAAACATACGCAGATAGATGCCTTGAGACAGGCTGGGAATGGCGTCGGAATACTAGATAGCACATCGCCGGGCATAATTTTGCTCCTCGGGTTCGAGCAAATCTCTCATCTCGTATCCACAATGGAGTTCGTTCCGCGGGCGTGGTCTAGGCACAATTCAGGCAGGCAGCACGTCTAAAGACGCAAACTACGGCCACGTCCATCTACTAAGGTGTCATCTAGATGGTACCTGGGTATGCTCGTACTGCGCAAGGGCACTTTTGTCATTTAATCCTGTATGCAGTTCTCGTATAACCCACATTAGTGCCTGCTATTTTCTCTTGGCTCTACGTCATTTGGATAGGGCGACAGAGGCTCGACAGCTACATCGGCTAAACGGCATGGAGATATCATATTGAATTTGTATTATCATGTTTGTTTGTGTCGTTTGTGTCGTCTCCCGCAGACATCCGCTTTCCCTTTATCCAGCCTTGTGCTTCCTTCGACACACACATTTTTTCTTCTTCTTCTGTGAAAGTCTTCCCAAGGCTATAAAATAACAAAATAAGCTTAACCCCACCATCCCGTCTAGATTGCAAAATACAAGAACGCAACAATATTAACTTGAGCTGATAAAAAGTAGCTATATCGTTGTCCGTAATATGACCCCCCTTTTGGGTCCATGTTTTACTCCCCCCACTTAAGCCTTGAACTCCTCAACGTTGCTGCTCTCCCACTTGCCGGGGATGAGAGCCAGAGGAACAATACCGGAGACGTGCATCTCAGGGCCAAAGATCTTGGCGTTAAGGCCAAGTTCGGCGGTGGCAGACTTCATGTTCTTCAGACCCTCCTGGTAGTTGGGGCCGGCACGACGCACCCAGATCTGAACGTTGTGCTCGATCAGCTGAGGAGCGACGTCACGGAGAGCGCGAATGACACCCTTGAAGGTGCTGGCGACGTTGGTGAAGTTGGCAATACCACCGCCGATGAACAGGACCTTGCCCTTATCGGACATGGGAGCGCGCAGCATCAGGTCCAGGACCGTGCGGGCGTAGTGGTAGGTTTGTGACTCGGTGGGAGCACCAGAGTATTCACCGTAGTTGGCCAGCTCGTCAGCGAAGCCAGCTGAGGCAATGGCGTCGGCATAGACGACGGAGGCACCACCACCAGCAACCAGAGTCCAGATACGGCCGGTAGGGTTGAGAACGGTGAGCTTCAGAGAAGCACCAGTCTTGGCGTCCAGCTCAGCGATGAAAGCCTCCTCCTTGGAGAGCTCACGGCCGAAGGGAGCAGGGAACTCCATTGGGGGACCAGCATCGATGCTGACCTTGTCGCCACCAGGAGCAATGTTGGTGAGGCCAAGGGCAGCAGGAGATCGGGCAATAGCCCACTTGACACCGCACTCGAAGTCGGCAGTCTGGTCGAGCTTGGCAGCAAGATCCAGGAAGTGGACAGCAGCAGAGGTCTTGTCCTCGTTGGGGATCACAACCAAGGGGTTGATCTCGAGGTAGGTGAACTGGCAGTCCACATAGACGGCGTACAGCCGAGTAATGAAGTCAACCAGGACATTGTGAAGACCAGAGGGAATGTTCTTGAGAAGGGCAGCGGCAATCTCCTCGTTGGAAGGGTACTCTGAGAGATCCACGGGGATCAGGAGCTTCTCTGCCTTGGCGTCGACATCACCGACGTCAACACCACCCTCGTGGGTGAAGAGAATCCAGTCTCCCTAAAACAATTGAAAAAGATAATGTCAGCAAGCTTGTTTTGAGAGATGGCATATAACTGATAAGATATGATGGGAGCTGAGCTGTGGATGGAGTTGAGATGTGGTGTGTAATCGCGCGAACAGGGGTGCGGCTAAGTCCTGTCCAGGACCCTCCCTATTGTGACATCCGTTCGTCCGCCCGGCCTCTCGTTTCGGCAGGCTACGGAGACAAATTTCACACCGAGTGCAAGCGCCATGACCTGCTATATATAAAGAAAATCCTTCTTTTGCCCGAGACCTTTACATCTCACCAATCTTCTTTTAAATTTCAACTGTGGGTTTTTTTTTCCAACCTTTCTTTGTTGTCATTCACCATCAGAGTCACTTGACTCTATCCAGATGAGCAGCATGTGGCGCTTCCGCAGATGGTGTGTTTGTTGAAACATTTCAAAAAGAATGAAGTGAAAAGGAAGATGAAATGAAAAAAAAAAGAGGAAAAATCACTCACATCGCGGACTGAGTTGATGTTGATGTAGTACTCTGTGTCTTGAGGGTGAGGAACAAAGGGCTCTACCAGGAACTGTCGCAGAACACCAGATGTGTGCTCGACCTTCTGCTCCTTGCCAGCTCGCTCAGCAACCCAGGCCTTGGCCTCGGGCCAAGTCTTGTTCAGGGCCAGCAGACCGCTCTTGCCTCGTCGCTTGATGAGCTGATCGGGCTTTGCAACAAACTTGGCACCGGGCTGGAGGAGCCAGGGGTAGGTAACCTCGGCCTGGTTCAGGACGTCCTCAACGGCAGCATCCTCAGGGAAGGACAGTGAGGCGAGTCTGGCAGGAGGGTTGTGAGTGGTGGGCGCAGGAAGAGGACTCGGCTTGATGACAGGAGCACGGGTCAGGTGGTAGTTGAGAATGGCCTTGCCATCGGCCTCGAAGATCGACTTGGCGGACATTGTGATGAGCTGTGTCTACGACGAGAAAGAAAGAATTCGGAAGTGGGATGAGTGAAGGAAAGCCTAGTCTTTTATGCCGTCAGCAGATGTTGAGGGACGCGATGATGGAGGAAACGAAGGACGGGATTCAATTGCTGCTGCACCAGCGCGAGTGCATTACTCAACCGCAGAGGCAAGCTTGGGCACCGAACAGCCGGGAGACGCAATTGGATTCAAAAGACGACCAGGAGGCAACGAGCAATCTATCCAGGACCAGAGCGATTGGAGGGGCAAAACCAGTTACAACTTACCGCAAAGCAGAGGATTCAAGCGACTACGACGTGCAATTGCAAAGTCGAAAAGCGAAAAGGCACGGAGAGTTGGATATCTGACGAAGAAGGGAAAGAGAAGGAAAAGTGAGCCTAAAGACCAAGAGGTGGATGGCAGGAAGAGGATGACTTTCAGCCTTTCAGAAATTTGGGCGACAAGACGACAGCTCCACGTTGGCCAGCTCGCAGGAGGGGTTTGAGGGGTGATGGAGCTCAGCATACAGATTTCGGGGGGCAGTACTTTGGGAGGGCGGTCAGGGGGGTGCTTGGTGCCTGGTGCCACTAAGGGTCGGAGGTGCGTGCCAAAGCTGGCGCCAGCCGGGTGCGCATCTCACAGCGACGCCAGGAAAAAAAAAGCATTGGGGCGAGGGAAGCTCAATGGGCTTGCCATTGCTCTAGCTCGAGTACCGGTACTTTCAGGAGTCGTTCCCCCCAGTTGTTGAGAAGGCCCAAGTGGATCGCCATGATTTTGATTTTTTTTTTTCGCAATCGGAATTGGATCTCAGCCTGCGTCGTTTTCGCTCTGACGCCGGAGAGTTCCAATTTACCACAGCGCACATGCGCCGACTATCGCAACGATGGCTTGCAAGGATCTCGGGACCGTAATTTCTGGCGCCGAACGCATTCCGCGGGATTCTGGAACCTCCGATAATACGGGCTTATCTGGATTGTGCTATCCCCGGGTCTTTACGAATGACTTACTTTTCGGAGCCTTGCCCTGGCTCAACCCCCCTCTTGTTCGCCCTCACGGTGATCGACTGATCAGTGATGGATGGGGTTTTAACGTTTGCATGGGGGCTGCAGCAGAGCCCAACAGAGACATGCTTTTGCTGCAAGGAAGCCTGGGAGCGTGCTATTGAGCGGCTACTGGCCATTATAGTGGGACAAGGCTGAGGGGGGCCGTTTTCGCGCTGCGTCCAGGACGTCTGCGTTGCTGTACAGTAGCTCAGGCACAAGCACAGCAACGTATTCGTACCCGTTCCAAAAGCGGTGGGGACTGGCTGCCGGCTCACTAACCTAAACGTCTGTCTACTGTAATCAGCGTTGGGTAGAGCAAGGGCCCAGGGCGTCAGCCACCATAGAGTGGCCTCCCCACCATGGCTGCCCCTCCATTTCTAGCGCACAGCATTCGAGTTTCCAATGAAATGCATCTCGACTGCCGGACGATGCTAGCGGCATCAGCTGCCTAATTTTGGGACGGGAGAGCAAAGCGCAGCACACGAGGTACCCGAGACGGAACAGTTTGGATTCCTGGATGCACTCCAGCCAAGACCGTTGCTTCAGCGGCCCACGACCTTCCATTTCAACCCTTCAATGGCAGTCACGCGCATCCGGCCACAGCAGCGTGACCTCTTCTTATCTTGATTCAAAAAGTCAATGGGGAGCAAGGAGCGCAAATGCTCTTCTTGTGGTGGGAATATCCGATACCGCATTCGTTGCGATGGAGAGTGGCCCGTTGAGGTACCGATACCACCGGGTCCAAGCCGTGTTAGCGGCCAGTGGCTGATGGACCGCGACCGGGTCTTTGTCCCCCTAGTTGGCTGCTATTGTGTCTCGAGCCTTACGGCGCTGCGATTCAACATTCATGATTTACCCCAAAAATCTTCCCCAACTCCTTTTGTGGCTGTTGCCGTGCGGATTTGGCTCCTGGCGCCCACCATTCCGCCCCCTGAATTGGAAAAAAATACATTGCTGGAATCTCCCTTATCTGGTGAGGGAGCATAAGAGCCAAAAAGAGGGACGCCAAAATTAGACTGCTACGCCGCAAGGAGCTGTGAGACGGACACACCATTCCTACGATATAATTCTCTCTCATAGTGCGTCAGCATCGGCGATTTGCGTTTCACTCTGAATTGAGGTAAGCAGCTGTTCTGCTTGTTTGTTTTCATCTCCCTCTCGCTTTCGCACAGGGCTGTATGCACCACACAGGCACATGCTGGTCGGTCCCCGATCGACGCTTTTGGGTTCCGTTAGGCGAATGCGATAGCAGCGCGGCTTCGCTGGCCGTGCCCCACCGGCGCCTCGCAGGTCCCCACCGGGCTCGCAATTCGTACCGAGTACGTGCACCAGTCCTGCGGGCTGGTACAGGGCGCGCCGGTCGCACAGGGTAATACAGGGTGCAGTCGGCGGCTTGTACTTGGCTGGGCGGTACGAAGTACAAGTGCGGATACGGCGCATGCCTGGCAGCCCATCCGCTGAGCTTCGGCCCCGCTATGTGCTCTTGGTGGCAGCAGCTAAGCAGCCCTCCATGGTCCAGTTGTCACTGCTCTCCTGAAATCTGGCTGGTCTCCCGCTTCTAGGCCTCTCTCCCCCCCATTGAAAGTTGCCTTTTGTCAATTCCTCTCCTCCTTCTTCTCCATCTCTCGCCTCATCTCCATCTCTGTTTGTTGTGGTTTCTGCCTTGGTGGGCGCAACGCAGTACGGCTACAATCAGTCCTTTTGTCCAAGCTCAGCTGTTAACCAGTGCTTTTTTTTCTGCAGGACTCACCCCGCCATTTTTTTCTCCTGCTTTAATTCTCTTTTCCCCCTCCTCCATTCCCCCAAACCAGCTCCTCACGAGAAACCTCTTGACGAGCTCACGCATCCATCATGTCCGGCTCCAAGAACACCCTGTCGGCCAACGACAACATCCAGCGCTTTGCTGCTCCCAGCCGACCCCTCAGCCCTCTGCCCGAGCACGCTCTCTTCTCGGACAAGACGCGATGCTTCGTCTACGGCCTGCAGCCCCGAGCCGTCCAGGGCATGCTGGACTTTGACTTCATCTGCAAGCGAAAGACCCCCTCAGTCGCCGGCATCATCTACACCTTCGGTGGCCAGTTCGTCAGCAAGATGTACTGGGGCACCAGCGAGACTCTGCTGCCCGTCTACCAGCAGGTCGACAAGGCCATTGCCAAGCACCCCGATGTCGATGTCGTGGTCAACTTTGCTTCTTCCCGAAGTGTCTACAGCTCCACCATGGAATTGATGGAGTTCCCTCAGATCAAGACCATTGCTATTATTGCAGAGGGTGTTCCTGAGCGAGTAAGTCCTGTTTTACCTTGATCTTCCTGCCCCTCTTAAATTTTCGAGCTTTGAGAAGCAGAAGCCGCAAAATAGCCCAATTGGAACCCAATTAGCTAACCACCTGTTCATAGCGAGCTCGTGAGATCGCCCATGTCGCCCAGAAGAAGGGCATCACCATCATTGGGCCCGCCACCGTTGGTGGTATCAAGCCCGGTTGCTTCAAGATTGGTAACACGGGTGGTATGATGGACAACATTGTTGCCTCCAAGCTGTACCGCAAGGGTTCCGTTGGCTACGTCTCCAAGTCTGGTGGTATGTCCAACGAGCTCAACAACATCATTTCTCAGAACTCCGACGGCGTCTACGAGGGTGTCGCCATTGGTGGTGACAGATACCCCGGTACCACTTTCATCGACCACCTGCTGCGATACCAGGCCGATCCTGACTGCAAGATCCTGGTTCTCCTTGGTGAGGTTGGTGGTGTTGAGGAGTACAAGGTGATTGACGCCGTCAAGCAGGGCATCATCACCAAGCCCATTGTTGCGTGGGCCATTGGTACTTGCTCCAGCATGTTCAAGACCGAGGTTCAGTTCGGTCACGCCGGTTCTTTTGCCAACTCTCAGCTTGAGACTGCCACTGCCAAGAACCAGGCCATGAAGGAGGCTGGCTTCTACGTCCCCAACACCTTTGAGGATATGCCCGCTGTGGTCAAGGAGGTCTACGAGAAGCTCGTCAAGGCGGGCACCATTGTTCCCCGATCTGAGCCCGTTGTCCCCAAGATCCCCATTGACTACTCTTGGGCCCAGGAGCTCGGCCTCATCCGAAAGCCCGCTGCCTTCATCTCTACCATCTCCGATGACCGTGGCCAGGAGCTTCTCTATGCCGGCATGCCCATTTCCGATGTCTTCAAGGAGGATATTGGTGTCGGTGGTGTCATGTCTCTGCTGTGGTTCCGCCGCAGACTGCCCGACTACGCCTCCAAGTTCTTGGAGATGGTTCTCATGCTTACTGCGGATCACGGTCCTGCCGTCTCTGGTGCCATGAACACCATCATCACCACCCGTGCTGGCAAGGACCTTATCAGCGCCCTCGTTTCTGGTCTGCTGACCATTGGTTCCCGATTCGGTGGTGCCCTTGATGGTGCTGCTGAGGAGTTCACCAAGGCCTTTGACAAGAACATGAGCCCCCGTGACTTCGTCGACAGCATGCGCAAGGCCAACAAGCTGATCCCCGGTATTGGCCACCGTATCAAGTCACGAAACAACCCTGATCTGCGTGTTGAGCTTGTCAAGGAGTACGTCCGCGCCAAGTTCCCCAGCCACAAGCTGCTCGACTACGCTCTGGCTGTCGAGACCGTCACAACCTCCAAGAAGGACAGCCTGATCCTCAACGTTGACGGCTGTATCGCCGTGTGCTTCGTTGACCTGATGCGCAACTGCGGTGCCTTCTCATCCGAAGAGGCTGAGGACTACCTCAAGATGGGTGTCCTCAACGGTCTGTTCGTCCTGGGCCGAAGCATTGGTCTCATTGCCCACTACCTCGACCAGAAGAGACTGCGCACTGGTCTGTACCGTCATCCTTGGGATGATATTACCTACCTGCTGCCCAACCTCAGCGAAGGCCGGGGTACTGAGGGCAGAGTGGAGGTCCAGATGTAATTTGAAGCTGAATGGAAATGAGAGGAGCGTTAGAAAATCTTTTATAGCAGCTGTGGGTATTGAATGGATTTGGGAAGGATTGGTGATTTGTAAAGGATTGAACAGCGTCACAAGTACGCTGCGGAGAAACATTATGAAGTATTTAAATCATATTTTGATTCATGACAATAGAACAAAAAATTAATTCACCACGGCATGATTATCTGTGACTATTCTTAATGCTTATTCGTGAATAACGAAATTTCAAAACACTTTTTTTGCAATGGATAAAGAATTTACTCACTTGGGTTAAACTGTATCCCAGGTAGGACTCGTAGAAGCTGTAGTAAACCATGTACATCATTCGAGATTTTGTCACGTGACCTAGACAAGGCTGTCCCTTGAGAAGCTAGGTGATATCTTATCGCGCAACCACCAGCAACTTTATCGCGGGCTCAACCCACTCGAAGAAACAAGCCGACCTACGAAGCGACGAATCGAATTCTCCCTGTAGAGAAGCAAAGAGGAAGCAGGATTTGAAGCACTGTATTGCTGCAAGATCTTATTTGTGTTACTGCCGGCGAATTGGGACACTCTTGCTTTAAGGAATCGGTACGGACAGGCTGCACCTTTTTTGGCTAGGATGCATCATTTTTGCTAATCATGCGACAGCGACAATCGAACATCAAGGAGTTATTCGGACGACGACGAATAAGTCTTGCCTCGTCTCGCTTCGCCTCACCATCTGAAAAATCAAATTCCGCTAAAATACCAAAAAACACCGAGAACGAAAAAAAAAACACAATGTCCTTCTTCCGCATCACCCTCCACCGATCCGCCATCGGCCTTCCCGAGCGCACTCGCGGCGTGCTCCAGGCCCTCGGCCTGCGCCGACGCATGCAGACCGTCTTCCACCCCGCGGAGCCCCAGTTTGCGGGTATGATTATGAAGGTCAAGGAGCTGGTACGCGTGCAAGAGGTGGAGAGGAGGTTGACCAAGGGCGAGGTCAAGGCGGAGAGGACGCCGGAGAAGGGATTCTATATTGAGAAGGCGGTGCGACGGATGTGAAAAGGGGTTTTTTTTTCTTGGTGTTTTTCTTTTGGTCATGAGCGTTTTTGAGTGGTATGATCTGAGGGTGCTTCGTTGGGGGTGGAGCAATGTGTATATATGTATGTAGATGGCTTGGGTGATATATGTCAAAAAGAACTGTACGATATTGTAACGGCAACAATGTACGAAAAGATGGAGAAGATTAACTTGAAAATGGTGGCATGAGAATGGGACGTGCAGTCACGCAGCGGCTAGGGATATAGACAAAAAAACAAAACGATTTGCATTACTTTGTAGCTATATCCATCTCCTTTTCATCTCCCTTCTGCTCTAACTGTGTGATTGAAAAGAAGAAAGTCACAATATCATCACATTAACACCTTGCTATCCAGCACCCATTACCGGTGAAATCCGTTAGCAAAAAAAAAAAAAAAAACAAAAAGATAATCCTACAACATAATGCCGAGGGGGGTTGGTGAAATGGGAAACCAATTTTGAGCCAGTGAGCCGCTGTCACCGCCAATTCCCAGCCCACTAGTTTGATACTAACTTTTAAAGGAAACACAAAGACGAAAAAAACACAATGTAGAAAGTAATTTAGCCAAAAGGAAGTCTTGAAAAAGATCCTAGGGACGTATGAGCAGTGGCGTGGCGCGTTTTCTTTTCGCCCACTCGTACCTTTGAGAGGTTGAGACGAAACGAGGCACGATTTAAAAGCTCCTTGCTTTATCAATGTACTCCTGAGATGGAGTCTCGTACTCGTTAACAAAGTACGTTTCGCAGTTGCGCCCTAACCAGGAAGTGAACTTTCCAATCTCTTCTCTGAGGCGTGACACCGACTGCTGATCCATATTGGTCTGTGCAAGGAGTTCAGGTAATGAGACTGCGTGGCAAAAAGTTAGCTAAAACAAATGCTTTTTCAGGTAACTAAGCGCGACGCGGCATATGACGAACCAATTAAGCGGGCAAGATGCTCCGCACCATAAACATCACAGACATTTTTGTACTGAGGGTTCTCCTCCGCGTTGTCCCAAAGTTTCCGCACATCCATGTACTGGTGGCGTTCAAATCTATATATTAAACTTTTAGCAGATATTCAACAAAGCTGAAGGAGAAGCTTCACGTACCTGTAAAGAAGTATTCTGCTCAGAGCCTTCTCGAAATATTCCCTAAACCCGGCAATAACCTCTTCTAGGATATCCATACTCGAAGATCCCTCTTCCCTTCGTGGCCGCTCAACGGCAAGATAATCTTCGAAGATTTTGGACACTGGTTTTGGATGGGGCAGGGGAACAAGTTGGTTGTTTTTAGTAATGTTCTCCCAATCATCAACCAGCATGGCCTGAACATGATCAGGAACAGATATGTTGATCATTGGCTTACTGTGGAAGGCGTCTTCCTATGGAAATAGTTAGAATATGTTTCAGCAGCTTATGGTACAATTGATGAAGGTAATAAGACAATGACTACGAGAAATGAGGCCATGAAAAATCATTGATGAAAGAGACAGGAAACACAAAAAACACAAAAAGTAAGGGTTAAGAAGCTACTGGCTTCTCTAAACTAAGTGCGGCATTATAAAAGTGCTCTGGGTATTTACCGGGTGGGGTTGAGCTTGAGTTTGATCTTGGTCGGAGGTTTATTGCCATTGAATTCGACCAGAGGCTTCTTGACAATGAACTTGATCCGGCGCTTCTTGACAGGCGAAGCTGGCTCAGATTGCGCGATTGCTTCGGGAACCGGTGACGGACTCCCGATACGAGCTCGTGGACACCTCTTCGACCTCGTCCGTCTAGGAACAGGACGAGAATAAGCGTAACGGTCGTCCCAAAGAGGCCTGTTATCCTTACTAAGATAACGATGGCCTTCCTTGGGTAGCTTGACCAAGTGATCAGGCGCTTCCCGAAACCGCGTTGGCTTTTTGTTCACCCTGCGGCGTGGTAATGGGGAAGCTTTGGGAGACGGAAGGGGGGGAAGAGGAAGAGAGTCCTCGATACATCCTCGAATGTTGGATGTAGGAGCCTGGCCCAGGAGGAAGCTTTTGGTGTTCATTGCAAATTCGAGCGAAAAAGAAGTGTAGTAAGTGAAATGAAAGGCGTCGTAAGAACGTCGATAGGGTAGAATGAGAATATCGATAGCTGAGAACAAGAATGTCGAAAGGAGAAAATAAAACTGTCTGTAAGGGCGTATGATATATCGACGAGGGGAAGAAGAAGACCACCAAACTTCGGGCTCTCTCATCTAAGTTTGAACAAAATATTCATCTTTTTCAGACTTTGGGGCTAAGTATTCTTCCCATCTCAAAATGCCGCCGAGCCATCATGAAAAGGAAGCTTAAGCAAGCCAAAGCTTCGTCAAAGACTCATGTTGCAAGAAGTAACGCGATATCAAAGTCCACTAGGACGGCTGTGACTTCCACTCTGCGCCTTGTTTTATAAAGCCAAAGACGCCGCTTTCCGGCCAGGAAAAAAGCCAAATACGCGCACTTAATCGCGTTTCCTAGGGTATACAGCGCCATGCCATTCCCGCAAAGCCCCGAGAGAGAACTACTCCGACCCGTGAGGCAGAAACTGAAAGCATCCTGGCAGACGCGGCCAAACAAGAAACTCAAACAACAAACGCTACATGGAAAGAACAAGAAAACAAAAGCAACACGCTTTCACCATAGAAAGACAAAAAAAGCTTCCGCTGAAGGACGAAAGAGATAACAAAGAGAGCTCCAGACGCTGAAAGGCAAAGCAATTCTTACCTGCTCAAGGTCCCAGTCCTTGCCTCTCCTACCGCCCCTGCCTCCCTGGGTCACGGCCGAACTTCGCTCCTCGCTGCCGCGCGCCGACTCGCCGCCGCTCTTGATGACCTTCTTGGGCACCTTTGTGGTTTTCTGCATGCTGGTCTTGAGCTGCGCGTGTAGCTGAGCCGCCAGCTCCTTGTGCTCGTCGTCAAAGGGGCGGATGCGGTCCACAAGAACCCAGTCGTCCCACGTGTTTTTCCACCCTTTGTAGTGAACCTTGTACCGATATCCTTCATTAGGCTTCTCTGCGGGCTGCACATCCATAATCTTGGCCTCATAAAGCATGTCCATGTGGAAGCATAGGACTTTTTCGTCCTTGCTGAATGGCGGAGGCGGCTGTTGTCGCGCAGGAGCCATGATGAAAACGAGAATGAGATATCTGGGACAAGGAACTTAACAGAAAATTCTGCAATGAATAACCTTTGACTTTCTGAAGGTAAAATTAAAATGAGTAGTGAATTGTGTAAGTTGAAAAAATGCCTTGCGCGATAGCCTCTAGTGAGATATCAAGATTTTGATGGAGTTGGAGTTGGGGATGGTAGTCAGGAAAAGGACCAGTACAGGGAGACACGTGAGTGAGATGGAAGTGAATTGAGCACAGAGTGGTGTCCGGTGCTGTGCCCCTGGTCTGTCCGGGACCGATGGGCACTAATGCCTTCTAGCCCCAGCAGCTCCAGGGCACTGTGCTGGGGCGATGCCAGCCTGGAATGGCTCGATACAGGCACCTGCAAGTGCCATTGGCTTAAATTTCAGCGGGGAGCGGCAGCATGGATGTCCAGAACGCCGGGAGACATGAATTTGCTAGACAGCCAACCACGCGACGCGAAGCCTCCCTGCAGAATGAGAGAGAAGAATGAGAGGGAAGAATCACGGATGGCTACTGAACGCAAATCATTGAACACAGCTTTCAAGTCATTCATAGTTATTGACAACGAAAAACAGCCGCAGAGGCGAATTTTCACCAGGTTAAAATCTCTTCTCTTTATTTTCCCAGGTTGAATCGGGGGTATCTATTACTACAAATCCTCATAAAATCTCATCATTTACCAATGTTTCGTCTCACCTCATAAACGCCTTGTTGAAGACTTTTCGGATAACCATCCTTAATGAACTATTGTTAAAACCACCAAATTGTTCTTCCTAATCAGAAGAATCAACGCACATATGCATATGTTGAATGCTCGCCTAACCGACCTTTCCCGAATCCCAAGCGATGTTAAAAGAACCTTTTTTTGTGCGGGTACCGTTGATAACCCGTTGTCATCACCTAAAACCATGCCCAAACGCCGATGTTGAAATCGTGCCTGGCTAAGGGAGCAATTTGTGCTCCCATCAAAGCCAAGCCTTCCTACATTGCAACAGTAGGAAGAGAAAAATTATTGTACTTATTTGCTGTACTTGGCACGGAAGTGCTTGGTGGCAGCGATCATGTTGGCCAAAGCCTCCTTGGTCTCCTTCCACTGGCGGGTCTTGAGACCGCAGTCAGGGTTGATCCAGAGCTGCTCAGGCTTGAGGTACTGGAGCATCTCCTCGATGCGGTCCTTGATCTCCTGCTCGCTGGGAACACGAGGAGAGTGGATGTCATAGACACCAGGTCCGATGTGGCGAGGGTAAGCAGAGTCAACGAAGACGCTCAGCAGCTTGGCATCAGACTTGCTGTTCTCGATAGACAGAACATCGGCATCAAGGGCAGCAATGGCGTGGAAGAAGTCCTGGAACTCAGAGTAGCAGAAGTGAGAGTGGATCTGAGTGGAGTCCTCGACACCAGTGGTGGACAGGCGGAAAGCCTGCACAGCCCACTTGAGGTAGGCATCACGCTCCTTGCCAGAGCGGAGAGGGAGACCCTCACGGAGAGCAGGCTCATCGACCTGGATGACGTCAATGCCGGCCGCCTCAAGGTCGACAACCTCGTCACGGAGAGCCAGAGCAAGCTGCTCAGCCTGGACAGACTGGTGAACATCATCACGAGGGAAAGACCATCGCAGGCAAGTGACGGGTCCAGTCAGCATACCCTTCATGGGCTTGCTGGAGACAGAGACGGCGTACTTGGACTCCTTGACGGTCATGGGAGCAGGGCGGGAGATGTCACCGACAATGATGGGGGGTCGGACGCATCGAGAACCGTAGCTCTGAACCCAAGCGTGGGTGGTGAAGGCATAGCCGTCCAGGCGCTCGCCGAAGTACTGAACCATGTCGTTTCGCTCAGGCTCACCGTGAACGAAGACATCGAGGCCAAGCTCCTCCTGGATCTTGACGTTGTCACGGATCTCCTTCTCAATGAAGGAGTCGTACTCCTGGGCGGTGATCTCGCCCTTGGTCAGCTTGGTTCGCGACAGACGAATCTCCTTGGTCTGGGGGAAAGAGCCGATGGTGGTGGTGGGGAACAGGGGGAGCTTGAGCTTGGCCTGCTGGGAAGCGATACGAGCAGGGAACTCAGACTTGCGGTTGTAGTCGGCAGGGACAATCTTGGACTGGCGATCCTTGACCTTGGGGTCGTTGGTGCGGGGAGAGGTAGCACGAGCCTGGATAGACTTGGCGTTGGCCTCGAGCTGCTCACGGACGGCAGCAGGGCCCTCAGTGACAGCCTTGGCAATGACGGCAACCTCGACGGTCTTCTCAGAGGCGAAAGAGAACCAGTCGGCGATTTCAGCATCCAGCTTCTTCTCGCTAGCCAGGGTGTGGGGAGTGTGGAGGAGAGAGGAGGAGGTGGCGACAATGACACGGTCCTTGCCGAGCTTCTGGACAGCGCTCTCAACAATCTCGATGGCGCGCTTCAGGTTGGTCTTCCAGATGTTTCGTCCGTCGACAACACCAGCGGACAGGACGGTCTTGGGGCCCAGAGCACCAATAACGGTCTCAAGCTGCTCAGGGTTGCGGACAAGGTCGATGTGAACAGCGTAGACGTCCTTGGGGACGAGGTCAAGGTTGTGGACGATATCACCGAAGTAGGTGGTGAAGACGAGCTTGGGGATCTTGTCACCCAGGCTGGCGAACTTCTCATAGGCAGGCTTGAAAGCGGCCTTGGTCTTGGCGGGGAGGTCGAAGACGAGAACAGGCTCATCAATCTGGACGGTCTCGGCACCAGCCTCCTTGAGCTGGACGAGAAGCTGCTCGTAGACGGGCAGAAGCTTCTCGAGCAGGTCAATGGGGTCGACGGACTGGCCACGGTCGGCCTTTCCGAGGTGCAGGAAGCTCACAGGGCCAACAAGGACGGGGCGGGTGACAATACCGGCCTCCTTGGCCTCGTTGAACTCAGCAACGGCCTTGGGGGCAGCAGACAGCTTGAAGGTCTGGTTGTCCTGGAGAGTGGGCTTGACGTAGTGGTAGTTGGAATCAAACCACTTAACCATCTCCAGAGAGGGGACGTCGACGCCTCCCTTCTGGTGGCCACGGCCCATGGCGAAGTACTGGTCAACAGTGTCAAGACCATCCTTGGTGTAACGCTCAGGAACAGCCTGTGATTTCAGCGTTAGCATTCATCGTTCTAAGTAAGAGACAGGGCGGAAATCTGTAACATACACCGAAGTCCTGGATGTGTGAGAGAACCTGGTCGTACAGGGCAAAGTCGTTGCTGGGGATGATGTCGACGCCGGCATCCTTCTGGATCTTCCAGTGAGCCAGACGAAGTCTCTTGGCCTCAGTGAGGAGCTCCTCCTGAGAGATCTTTCCAGCCCAGTCTACAAAATTGATTAGGTTAGAATGCTTTGTATGAGATCGAGCAGGAAAGAAGAAGACTAACAGTTTTCGGTGGCCTTCTTCAGGTCACGGTTGACACCCATGCGGGGGAAACCGAGAACCGCGGACTGAACCATCTTTGCGATTGGTTTGGATACGGACTTGACAAATTGGTTTGGATTGAAAGAGTCACTGACAACGTTAGTCGAGCTGGTCGGTAGGATCGGAGTTTACAGAGTATTGGAGATCAGAAGCTTACCAGGTATCAGCTGGACGGTCCTGCCTGAGTCGCAGCGGAAGAAGAGAAAATGAAGAAGAGTCCTTTACAAAACTAATGTAAAGAAAAGGACACGATGAGGAGGATGGGGAGAAGAAAAAGAAAAAGGAAGACAGAAAGGACAGGGAGAAAAGCTGGGCAGCGACCTAATAAGTGGTTTGGGGAAAAGCGCCGGGCGGGGGAGGGGTAAGACGAAGCGGTCGGGTTCTGCTTGGGTGCAGGCGCTGTGATCGGGGCTTTTCTTTTTCCAGTGGAGCCTATCACCGTCGACGGGCTGCTGCGTTCCGGCCAATTTGCTGCGCAGCTCCAGCCTGGCTGGCCATTGGCAGCTCGAGGAGTGAGAGCCAGGGGCGTCAACCAAATTGCGCGATTTGCGCCATCGGAGGTGGCTCCCCCATTGATTCTGCCAGAGGAGAATCTTATTCATTGCTGTGCGTAATGACAGGCTCTGCGATGGATCCCTGCCACGCCGTATTATCTGAAATTTCTTAGCGCATGGGCGGGGTGGTGCGAGACGCGAGCTAATAGCTCCCTACCACCGAATTCGACATGAGGTGCTGCGACTGGAGGAGGTACTCGTACCGCCGCGCGCGAATCCCACATACTGAGCGCGTTGGTACAGGTACACGCTACTGCTGATAGCTGTTAACACATGCAAAAATTGGATTTGATGCATTCTTCTGTTGAGATGCTCGTACTCGTACTCCGTGCAAACGAGGAGCGGGTGGGGACGATGGCGAGACAGGATTTGCAGTCACAGCATTCATCAATAAGGTAGCAACGATGCCTATTACTCGTGCTCGTGGGCGGCGGACGACAATGATTACAGGCAGTTTTTGCCTCCCGATTAGAGGTACAGTTGGCCGGTTGCTAGCGAGCCAAGTGCAGAAATTTTTGCAGCAAACCTCTATTGGCCTATGACACGAACCCCTCCATTGTACCTTGTGTGCTGCAGCAGACCTGGTCTTACTACAACAGTTTGGTCAACATTACCCGATTGCCACGGGGGGGCAATAAGCAATCGCTTTATCACCCAATACCTATGTAGGCTCAACTGACAGGTGTGCCTCTGCGATATGTACCCTCATGTAGCAGGAGTCCTAAAGCAGCAGATTGCAGATGGAATGCTGTTACAGGGAGGTGGACAATATGAAGTACCTTCCTGACCAGGTGTCTACCAGGCAGACACTCAACCGTCCAGTAACAGTGGTGGCATCTATGAGCAGCTAACTCAACCATAAGTTGGGTGCATAGACCCCCATCGAAATTCGACTAAGGACAAATAAGGGTCTTCCCAGATAACACTAGTAGACTACTGCACTTGGAGAAAAAAAATTGATGAGCTCCATTAGATCCGATCTCGCAGCCATGAGGCCAGCGAAAGAAAAAAGAAGCTTATGGAGCATTACGGCTGGTGATCTTCATCTTGCTAGTAGTAGTAGAAATCGTAGAACTCTCCGTAGAACTCTCCGCAGAGCAAGAATCGCCCCTAAATAGGTACTATGATACAAGGGAGAATGAATCTCTTGCATAGGTTAGTAGGTAATAAGCAGTAGCGAATCCAATTGAATCCTCTGCTTTGGCGTGGCCCGTCAGCGTCAGGCCCCCCAGACGAAAATTCCCCAGCTTCCAGATCTGACGCCCACTTCGACTGTGTCGGTTCATTCTAATCGCATTTTCAGTGGCACGTTCAACAGCACACCAGCTGCATATGCGCTGTAGAGATAGCATCTTCAGAACCCCCTACCCGAGAAGGCTCATACATAAACAGACTTACAAAGCTTCTAGAGCATGCAATCTAGCCTACCATCTGAGAAGTGATATCAATGGCGATGGTGTCATGCCATGGGTGCATTACTCTGTGAACCTAGTGGTTGGTGCCATGAGTACCCTGACATCCCACACCCGTACGACGGATTCCTCTTACCTGGCATAGCCCTTGGCCCTGCAGGGTGCTGATGCTGATGCCTGATGTGTGTACATGTGGACTACCTCCATGGATGTGCTCGGCCCTTTCTACCTACCCACGAGACAGTAGCTTGTCTTCTGACTATTTTCGACCTCAATCGAAGGATCTGGGGCAGCTCTGCGTAAGTACATTATTAAGGAGCTTAAACTTAAGACTGAAACTCCATCGCTCAGAATCCATTCGGAAGACTTTTTTTGAGAGTTATCCTCTTACGCTCCGTATTATAACGCAGATTCCTAGATGCAGGAGCCGTACACTACCATATTTTCGCGGAGTCAGTATTGGTATGTAGAGAACATTATCAACTATCACTGCGCTTCACGTCCTCTATTTCGGCATTATTCGCTTTCGAAGCCTCTGAGAGCGATATGCTGAAGACCTTGAAAAGCCACAAATTGTATGTGTTAGAAAATGGAATCTATTAGGGGTTTTTAAATCGGGAGAAGCCACAAACATCCAGCCAGTCGGCACTTCACAAACTTTTAACATTATCAGACAGCTTAGGCTTATTCTGCATTATAACTTTGAATGCGGCTCTGCAGCTGATGCTCTTTTACAGCATTTTCAACGCTCTCGGAACAAGCTACTACTATGACTTTCGCAAATTGGCTCACTTGTATCATCTTCCGAATCAAATACTCCTTCACCAATATCGTGCTGTTATTAAAAGTCCGACACGGCGCAGAAATCACATCCGCGTACGGTCCTCACTCCTGAGATCGACAAGCCTTGAGAAAGTAGTTTCGGTGGCTGAATATACTACTGGTAGTGGGTAGATACTCAACTAGGTACTACTATATTCACGAATTGTAACATGTATCAAGGTACCAAGCTGAGCAACGAATAGGTGACGTGACCTGCTTTGCCTCGATGTCCGAGACCAATTGTTCGCCGCCGCCGCCTGCTTTCGGGGCATACCCACTAAAGGAATGGCAACTCGGGCCAAGCTCATGAGCTGCGCGCTTTTCCGGCATTCAGCCGGAGCTACTCAGATCCCCAGCCAATCGGCGTGCAGTTTATCACCGAGCCGACCATTGACAAATCCAGAGACCGAAAACCCACGGCCTTAAAAACTACTCTTCAGCAACCCCATTTTCTCGCCCAGCTGGAAATTTCCGCCCCCATGTAAACTATCCATCAGCATCACAGCCATGGCTAGTATTGCATCGTCAGCGCTGAGGTCGGCGAGCCGCCTAGGCTCCAGCACAACGGTTGCTGCGGCGTCGCTGCGAGGAATTCAGCGTGCTGCCCTGGTGGCGGCTACGAGGAGGAGTGGGAGGCGAGGATACGTGACCGAGTCCAAGAGGGATAATGCGCGGGTCGAGACAGCTATCAAGCTGGATAAGAAGGACTTTGCAGATATTCCTCCTGCGCAGTTGGACATTTCCTCACCTAACATGAAGGTTAGCCCGATGGCTGGTACGTCGTCCTTGGTTACCTCTTGTTGCGAACATTCGAAATGAAGAGCCACAAAAAAAAGGCACAGAGGCTAATGCGCATCTGCAGAGGTCCTCAAGACCGCGGCCGTGATGGAGGAGGGCCAGAGGCCTATCTACCTCGACATGCAGGCCACCACACCTGTTGATCCCCGTGTCCTTGATGCGATGCTGCCGTTTTACGTCGGCGAGTTTGGTAACCCTCACTCAAGAACGCACGCTTACGGCTGGGAGAGCGAAAAAGCTGTTGAGGAAGCCCGAGAACATGTTGCGAATCTGATTGGCGCTGATCCGAAGGAAATCATTTTCACCAGCGGCGCCACGGAGAGTAACAACATGAGCATCAAGGGCGTTGCTCGATTCTTTGGCCGATCCGGCAAGAAGAAGCACATCGTCACCACCCAGACTGAGCACAAGTGCGTGTTGGACAGCTGCAGGCATTTGCAGGACGAAGGCTTCGAAATCACCTATCTGCCTGTCCAGAGCAATGGCTTGATCAACATGGCGGATCTCGAAGCTGCTATCCGGCCTGAGACGGCCCTAGTCAGCATCATGACTGTGAACAACGAGATCGGAGTTATTCAGCCGGTTGAAGAGATTGGCAAGCTCTGTCGTGAGAAGAAGGTCTTTTTCCACACAGATGCTGCTCAAGCTGTTGGAAAGATCCCCATTGACGTCAACGCCATGAACATTGACCTCATGTCCATCTCATCACACAAAATTTATGGCCCCAAGGGCATTGGCGCATGCTATGTCCGGAGACGACCGAGGGTTCGGCTCGATCCCCTCATCACTGGTGGCGGGCAAGAGCGTGGTCTTCGAAGTGGTACCTTGGCACCACCATTGGTTGTTGGCTTTGGCGAGGCCTGCCGTGTTGCCAAGGAAGAGATGACAGTACGTTATCATGTCCCCCTTTCTCTCTTTTCCTCTCTCTTCTCCATTTATCTTTCATATCTCCAACCCAAATTCTCCCCTGCGTCTATATGATGATCTGCTTATACATGCATGGCTTTCTGAATGGCCCGTGACAAGGCCCTTCGTGTTGAGTGTAGCAACCTGTCTGATTTTGCGCTTTCTTTCCCTACCTTTCTATTGTTGGACATGATTTGCCGTATCATCATTGATTGACAATGACTAACGAGAATCTTTGCATAGTATGACTCGAAGAGGATCAAGTACCTATCAGACCGACTGTTAGGCGGACTGCTAGCTATGGAGCACACATCTCAGAATGGCGATTCCAAATCATTCTATCCCGGCTGTGTCAATGTTTCATTTGCTTACGTTGAGGGCGAATCCCTACTGATGGCCCTCAAGGATATCGCTCTGTCTTCGGGCAGCGCTTGCACTTCGGCCTCGCTTGAACCTAGCTACGTGCTCCGAGCGCTTGGAAACAGCGACGAGAATGCACACAGCAGCATCAGGTTCGGTATTGGCCGCTTTACCACCGAGGAAGAGATTGATTACGTGCTGAAGGCAGTACGGGAGCGTGTTACATTCTTGCGCGAGCTTAGCCCCTTGTGGGAACTTGTGCAGGAGGGCATCGACCTGAACACGATCCAGTGGAGCCAACACTAATATGTCTCAAGACTGAAATATATCTGTTTGATGGTTTGGGATGGGAAGTTTTAACAACTAGGTCTGGATATTGGCGTAATCAGAAAGGAGCTGGCTTTAGGTGCCAGATTTCACGCCGGCACAGGCCATTGTAACAGCACATTGTACATAAAATAAGATACCTGATTCTCACTCGTTGATGAGCATGAAATAATGACAATTCTGTTAAAGACAATATTACAGACTCAATTTACTAGTGCTAACGTCGTGATCACTGCGAGATAATAGCCGGCACGAAGCGGCTTGGTGCTCTGACCTGGCGTTCGAAATATTTCTACAGCACTGTATCGACCTATGCGGTTCTTGCTTCCCTTTAACTTCAGCTGTCCAACAGGCGCTAGTTACGTGTCCCAAACCGGCAATAGAGCTTGTTTCACCCGTTTTGGGCCAGCCAATGTGGCAGCGTGGATCTCCAGACGTTGTAACGTGGTTGCCATCGTTGACGATGTCATGACGTCAGTGCGCCACCACGGCTTGTAAGTGCCTGCCAAGAGGCTGCGCAAGCTCGAAGAGCAGTGAATCGCGATGACATCAGCGGTTTGCGTCAGAAAGGCTCTGGTGAATTATTTGGAAGCTGTTATCGTCATCGCGATCGTGAATGCGGTTTCCCTGTTCGATGGAGGATTTGCGCGTTCGATAATTATTATAAAGGCCCGAGTGACCTTCGCTTCTCTCTTCCAATTTCATCATCAACAACCATCAATACTCAACAAACAATCTCAACAAGCAATCTCAACAATCTATTATCAATCTTCCATCATACTTCTATTTTCAACACCAACCGCAATCATGTCTGACAACTCCAACAACAAGCCCTCTACTCTCCAGTCCTACGTCGACTCGGCCACTGGTGCCGTCCAGAACGCATTTGGCAGCTTGACTGGCAACACAGGCGACCAGGCCAAGGGCGAAGTTCGCCAGGACAAGGCCAAGGCTGAATACGACGCCTCTCAAGCAACAGCCAAGCTCCCCGGTGGCACTATTTCCAGCACAGGTGCCTTTGCCAAGGATGATCCCAACAGAACTGAGGGCTCATGGAACCAGACGATTGGTTCTGCTAAGGAGACACTTGGAGGTCTCGTTGGCAATGAGGTATGTTCACTTTATACAATACTATTATCTCTAAGCTATAGCTAACAATGGCGATATAGTCACTAAAACAGGCTGGACGTCAACAGAACCTCGAGGGCCAGCAACAGGAGGCAAAGGGCCAGCTACATGACTACGGCCACGGCATGGGAGATCGTGTCCAGGGAACTGTTGGTGGCGCTGTCGCTGGTCTTACTGGAGACAAAGAAGGTCAGGCGCACTATGAGGAGTTGCACGATAAGGGCAAGACACAACAGCGTGGCGCCGAGCACGACATCCAGAAGCAGGCAGAGGCCGACTACTAGACTGAACACAAACTGAAGGTGGTGAAGGGAAAGAGCACCTAGAAACGTGGAAAGATACCCTAGCAGAGTTATGAATATCAAATTGTCATGATTAGTCTTTAAACTTTATTGTTAATTGTTCGCCAATTGACTCGATTGATTTCAAAATTGTCAGATATGCGCGTACTGCTCTAGCTAACATCTGATGCCATAGTTATATGGATCATGGTTCCCATTGAAGTGATTGTATATCACGAGATTGACTGCCCTGCTTGTTCGACTTTTTCTTTTATGGTAGTTGCTAATCAAGATTGTTAATCAACCTTGCGAACCAACCAAGTCAACAAACATGTCACAATCGAGATGACTAGCCCGAGACAAAAGGGCAAGCCCATCCATGTCCTAAGACCAACGTTAAAGAGCGGACCGATAACCAGCTCGCATACTAATGTCCCCAGGACCTCACCAGCAGCAATTACTCCAAAGACGGCCCCCGTCTTATGTTGGCCTATGTGAGCCACGAGCAGCGTACGGCACAACGTCGGCACACCAGATCCAAGACCAGATAGTACGACACCAATGATGATTAGGCTGGCCTTGTCAACCATCATCAGGAAAAAAGAGCCGAGAACGAAGAGGATGACGCTGCTGCGGGCGAGGATGCGGTCTCGCTTGAGAGCGGAAGATGACGTTTTCTTATAGAGAGTGTATGATGCTAGAGGCAGGATGACAAGCAGTGTGATGAGAGTGACGGCGGCGTTGAGAGAGAGGAGGAGCGCAGCTCGTGAGAGGGGCCAGTCGAATTGGATGGGCATGAGGCGCATGATTATACCGTACTGGGTTGAGACGGCTGGCACGGCGAGGATGGCGCCTGGAAGGAGGAGTACGGCTGGGCGACGAGAGAGGGCCTTGAAAGTGGATTTGGTAGATTCCATTGGCGTTTTAGAGACGAGATTGTCGTCGCTGCTGTGGTGGTTATTGCGGATTATGGGAGTGACTTCTCCGATTGGAATAGGAGAGTCACGGCTGTGCAGTGTTTCCGGCATGAGTGTAACCAGGAGGATGCCACCGACACCGATAAGACCGAGCGAGATGCAGAGAGGGTGCCATATGGAGATATCGGTGAGGCGGCTGGCGACGAGGGGGCCAAAGAGTTCTGCGGAGAGCACGGCGGCGGAGACCCATTGGAAGCATGTTGCCCTAGATTGGCAAACGGGGGGAGAGATTAGCATGAAGGGGGAAATATCCGAGTAGGAATAGGGAAATGGGGAGAATGCTTGAGATACCGTTTGGACTCGGGGGTCACATCTGAGATGCTGGTGAAGACCATGGCTTCTGCGACTCCTTGTCCTCCGCCGAGGAGCAAGATGGCGCCAGAGGCCCAGGTGGCTCTTAAGGGGATCTGTCGCCACCTCCATAAGATGAATAGGAAGAGGCTCTCAGAGACGAACAGGCTTAGAATGCTCAGAGCTAGGATAGGCACACGACCAACTCTGTCGGCTAGCATTCCGAGCGGTAGAGATACCAAGGCACCTGTATAACCAGTGTTAGCATCACATAAAGAGGAGAAACGAGGTAGACGCCAATGGGGGGGGGGGGGCAAAAAGTTACCAGCAAGTGTGCCCGAGATGGCCCCTCCAATCTCAATGATATTCAGCTCTCGCTGCACGGCTCTACCGTGACATTGCGACTCTGGTAGGAGCTCGTCGAAGGTGAGGCCCAGGTGGCGCTTGCATATGGCATCCTGCAATAGCTTTGTGGATGGATAGTCGCTTATCGAGAGACCGAGGCTGATGATGAATAGGTTGACTACCAGGAGAGGGAGGAGCCACTGTATTGGCACGGCTGGACGGCGGAATTTCAGTGCCATGATTGTTTGGATTTGCCTCTTTGAGGCTTTTATGCGGATGCTGGATGTGTAAGTAGAGGCGTCGTTGTGGTGTATGAGGAGATCAAAGCGAGGGGGTTGGGTTCTTGACACTTTGTGATAGCCTCCCTCTTACTATAAGTACAGTCATGCGCATAAGAAAAGAAGAAGGAAGGAAGGAAGGAAAGAAAGATACAAATTGACAGAAGAATTGATGTACATATCTGCTTGATCGATATTTTTTGTAGTGTAGAGTAAACGGTCGCATATTCTTTAGTGGATTGTTGGTCGTGAGAACAATGGGGAGAACACCCGAGACAATAGCTATTCAAGAATCGAGCATTTTTATTTGCTTCAGATATAGCAAGTTGGCTGGCATTTTGGGCACGCAGCCCATAATTTCCCTCGTCTTGTCCATTCACAGCCTTTAATACTATGTAGAATCATGCTTTCGGGGCTATTGCTAGAATTTGCGAGCTGGAGCCGCTGATGAACGTTGGAGGGGTGTGGCTGTTGGCGATGCGGCTTCCCGCCACGGGCATCGAAAATGCATATATTCTGTACTACGGTAGGGAACGGAATGTTTTTTTTTTTTCCTTTACTATTACACTAACTGATTTTTTTATGATGAAAATTATGTTTATTATATGCGTGTAGAATTGTATTCTTCTTGCCTGCACTTAGACTATATCTCACGAATAAGAGGATCAGTAGTTTCTCAGCAGACTTTATCAATCAATATCCCTTTGACTACTTTGGATCGTATTTTGACTCGCCTAGAGTCAATCAAAAGCATGGCTGTATACGTGATATTTCGCTTCATTCAACACGCAAGAGCCCCAATACATATGTATGTACTCATCTCTGTGTGTACTTTGTTGGTATAGTCAATGATCTTCTGGTTTGTAATCGGGTCAAAAGCTAAGAAAAACTCTTCTAGCCCTTAGCAAGAAGCTGATGGACTATACGATTCTGTGCGAGGCGAGCAGAATAATGAAGTGTGCTCCATCCAGAGTTGCAGAAGATTGTGGCAATGATCACCTATTTAGAAGTCATCATTTTTTTTTTTTTGGAAACATCACAATAGCTCGTCTTATAGAAGGCTAATGATGCCATAACTTGTGCAGTGATTGATACCTCAACGGTTGAGCATTATAGGCCTACCGCTCTTCCTGGTCCAGTATCGCCAACATAGCACTTATATACACACCTCCCTCATTAGCATCACGAAAGTTTCAATGTTCTTTCTATACTCTATAGCCCAGTTCCTGCCGAATAGGCTTGAGTCTTCCTGCAGTGATATTTTCGTCCTTTGTTAGTAATATCAGTATTAAAAATGATTGTTGGTCAAACTCCTTTGATGTCGTCGTAGTATTTTACGAGGAGATTATGGCGTCTGACTCTATTAAGCATTTTACATCGTCAAATTTAAATAACGGACTAGTTGTCAACCTATTGAGGTTTCAATAATAGAAATATCATTATTTTTTACTGTTCTATATTCTACGTAACCAATCCATATAAACCATATGGACAGTAGTAAACAAGCTGGGCATTTACTGGTCAAAGATCTACCATCACAGCAAAGCAGCAATTGTTTATGGCTATAGTACTCTCTCATAACATGTACTCATGGGCAAAGTACCACCATCACTACGCTAAAGGCTTTCTGTCGAGGCATGAATTCAAGTATCGGTACAGCTGATATATTTACTAGACCACCAAAAGGACAGTGAAAATCAGAATGATGACTTTGAACTTGGCGGATATCTACAGGTACCTTACATCTAACATGTCTTCATCTCAGGCCTCGCATCTCGCAATACAAGTACTATGCCACAGAGCAAGCAGCCCTTTCGGAAGCATCTGTGCCCACATCGGAGCCTTCAGCAGGCCATAGGATTCGGTCACTGGCCAATGCGCATCGCCGAGCTTCCGCGGAAAGGCGCCGCAACGGGAATCGCCGAGCTGACAGCCCAAACGATGCTTGTGCGATGCGTCGGGGAGCAACTTTTGCGCTCGTCTCACCACACGTCACGATCCTCTCTGGTCTCCCTGTTTGCGGAAGGACGGTGATGCTATGCAGGCCGTTGAAGTAAGCCGATATGGAAACTGCACGTTGCCGGTCCTGTCGCATCCCGGCGCGGAGTCATCCGCTAGCTGTCCATCCCGTCGATCTTTCGTGGTTGGGGTCCTTGGGGACGGGCGCAAAAGGATGAAATCCTTTGGTGAATGGCGACGCTAATTCATATTCTGTACACGGCGAGATGCGGGATGGCGATGTGTACAGTAGAGGTTGTATATCGGCATCGGTGAGCCTATTCGTCTCACAGTTTCTGCATCTTTTGTGGAAAACTCAAGCTTGGTCACCGCAACTCGGTGACTGCCTATGAAATGCTGCTTACTATGCAGATTTGTTCATCTGGCAATGCCGGGAGACATATTGCTCAACTGCCGCTGTCCCTGCTTATAGCTAACGCACAGTCGGAGCTCCCCTGGCATACAGCTGCGGGCCGGCGCCTTATTGAGAATGTGGCCAGATACATTCCGCGGAGTGTGAATCTCCCATTCGTAGGTTCATTTTGGAGCGTCGATGTGGTTGCAGAAGTGTAACTCGTTAGTTGGCTCTGGGAGGAAATATGCAGTCAGCATCGGCTGTTCAGGCAGGTAGATGTAGACGATGGAGAGAGCAAGAGGGAAAGCGTGCAGTCAAGCCTTGTAGCGTAGCATTGCTACCACAGCGCCGTCTCTCTGGCGGGGGGAAGAATGTGACTATCATGCATTGTGTCCCTGTACATGCTCGAATAGGCACATCTGTGCTCTCGCACATCTCCGCTGTAAGATAAGAGGCGAGTGCGAGATCAATGATACTACTATGTCGCAGGCCGCTCTTTGCTAGCACATGTCGCTAGGATAGCCAAAGAGCATCAAGGTACATACGTGTAATTTTCGCTTCATTTTCCCTCAAACCAGCTACAGCTACAGCCAAGTAGTAATACGAGCAAGCTGTGCTAATGCAGCGCCATCTTCACCGAATGGCTCAAGCTGCACCTGCAGAAAACCTGCGAGGCGAGTGACTCTGAGCGCAGTGCTACGATGACAATACAAGGACCAAAGCGATTGAGATAAGCGACAAAAAAGGCACGCCTGGCCAGTCCTGAGCTTCAGCTTCGTCAGTGGCTGGTTCCTACTTGCTACAAGGGCCACATGAGAGACCGCGCTCTTTCGCTTGCTGCCTGCCAGGCGCTGTCTCTGCACGAAGAATGCAGAGTAGCATTTATTGTGTTGAAGAAACGAGGCGAACAATGCAGTAGTACTTGGGATTCCGCAGCAATGGCACCAGCAGCATGTAGTTGGAATTGACGCCAACAGCTGGCGGAGTTAGCGCAGCCAGTCAGCAGGTTGAAACGAAACACAAACATTGAACACACTGTTGACGAGTCCCCTCTTGGCTCCAACTCGCTCCGGCTCGTTTCGTGGCCTGTCTACGCCACGAGGGCCCGGCTCGGGACTTGGGTTAGCGAGCTGTGGAGCTGCGAATCCGAGACGTGGGCATTGGAGCAATTAATCAAGGAACGGCTGCTCCATCGCAAGCCTTATGCGCGCAATGAAAGATACAGCAACCCACGTGCGTGGAAAAATGCTGGCCTTGTTTGAAGCGTTTGCTCGACGCTATTGGTTTTGCCTCGTTGGGCCATGGCCATGGGATCTGTCAATCAGCCTCGCCGCCTCAAAGGGTCACGTTTGGGGCGGCAACGCAGTGCTAAACCGTCATAGCCGGGGTAGCGACAAAAGCACAATCAATCAATCAAAAGATTGAAGGCGCCATACTTTGTAGCGGGTGGCTGCTGGTCGGTGCGAGCCGCCAGTGTGAGCTGCGGCGGGCAGTTACTGTTCGACAACATGTCACGATGCCGAGCATCGGCCCATGACATGCTACGGTGTTTTGTACAGTATTTTGCTTGCTTGGTCAAAAGCTGAAATCTAACTTGAGACGACAAATGTGATTACATGGCAAAACGACCCTGATGCGCTTAGATTGTCGTTGTGCCATGATCCTTGGCGCGTGGAGCAAATGAGCGCCGCATGTATACTAGTCTGCGAGGCTAGCAGTTTTGTCTCGTGTCTCTCATCTTGCTCCCAGAGGTTAACAGCCCTGTTCCTCGAGTCAGGTCCCTCTCAACGGTCAAGTTAGCGAGTTTATTACCCCGAGTACAGCTCAAGATTTTTTGTTTCTTCACTTTTCTTATCTCTTACGGAGTAATTAGTGTTAGAAACCATCGTTCTACCGCCGCGTCTCCGCATAGCGTTTGTTAGTAGCGCAGGTTCCTGATATCAGGGTTGCCACTTTGGGCAGTCTTGGCTCGGCCGATTGATGCATCTTTCCGGTGTGCTTCTGTGCTAGCAAAGTTCTGTAAATCATCAATACATTATTTATAGAATGCTCCGAGCTCTGTGCAGGAGTGCGGATGCTAATGGAGTGGAGGCGCGACCTGAAGGAGTTTGACAATTATTAACCAAACAGGCAATGCTACTGGTGCTATGTATGGCCATCTGCTGTGATCAGCCAACACAGTGTTAGCTTCATTTGGCATGATAGGGGATTAGAGAGTAGAAGTAAAAGCAGAGTCGCACCAGACACGTGAAAAGCACACGGCCGCCAGCCAAAAAAAAAAAAAAGAGGCGCTCAGGGTCCCTGCTGTTTCGGCATGCTCCCAGCCAAGCTTCCCATCGCCGTGGCCTCGAGTCTTGTCCCGCCATCGGTCTTATTAGGTGCATCCAGCGTCGACGTTGAGGCAACCCCTGAAAGCTGCTGCTTCTAGCGCCGGTGGAGCCCTTCGCTAAGGCACTAAAGATCACGCTAGGGTCTCCATGCCAGGCCGCTTGGCTGCTTGGGGCATCCTGGCCACCCAAGTTTAGGCAAGCCAGGGCCAGTCTCGCCATACATGGTCGGAGTGGAGGCGGGACTCTGCAGGATTGGGGGTGGGAAATGGTTGCGCGCAAGAGGGTCAGAGGATGAGTCCGATGACAAGCAGGGCGAGGGAGAAGGAACAAGTGCAATCTGAAAGAGTGAAAAAAAAAAAAAAAAAGAAAAGAAAATGAAGTTTTTGCGGTGAGGCGGTGCGGATCAAAGCAAATAAAAAGGGAGGGATGGAAATGAAGAACTGTAGGGCGGCGGAGGAAATCTGGAGGTGTGGGTGGTGCTTTGCTTAATTACCGGCTAGACCAGCATGCTGTGCGATTCAAGCATTCACCCGCTGCCTGCGTGGATGCAAGAGAGCATTGCACGGCACGTCGATCCTCCTAGAGGCTTGTCTTGCAGCGGCACTGGGTCTCATTCTTACGGGACTACAGCGGCATACGGTGCCCCGACCGCTTTGCATGTACAAACGCCGAATCGATGCTACAGTGCCGTACGCTACCTGGGCCTGCACTATAACACTGGCTCGACGACTAGCACTGCTGCTATAGAAAGGGGTCGACATCAATCTCAAGACAGCCGGCAACAAGAGAAAAGAAACAGAGCTCTTTCAGTGCATCGCCCCCCCTCCCCATGCAAATCTCCATTTCGCCGCCTTGACAGACTAACTGGCCACTGTGGATGGCATTCGCAACCTTCTCCTCTTTTTACCTTCTCCTCCTCCTCTTCCCAGCAACGGGCACGTCACGGGCTGTGCTTCTGCAGCATTGACTCGCCAGCGCACAGACGCCTTGACGTCTCCCACGATACTTGTAAGTCCAGTACCAATGCCGTTAATCGTCTACCTGCGGCCCCAGCACTGTCGCTGCACTAAGCAAAGTACCGCCTACCGATTCCCCATAGTGGCTGCTGTCATCAAGGCAGCGTCTGTTAGTCCTCTTGATCTAACAGCTCGGCCGGCCCCCTTGATGCCCTCCCTCTTTTTTCAGCTTCATCCGCAACATGGCCTGGCCGCCGCGCCTCCCAGCTCCCTCACACTGCTGAGTTGCACCCTCTCGGCCTCTGGTTGATGCCATCAGCCACCGCTTGCCTGTCATCCCGTCATCCCCATCTGATTGCTAGTGCCAACATCCGCTACCAGCCTGGCTTTTGCTCCATTGTGGCACCAGCTGTTCACGCTCGTTTCTTTTTCGTTGCAGACCGGAGTCACCTAAACCAGCATTTACCCTCCTGTGTCTCATTATCTCATTATCCCCGTCCTTATTAGAGAGCCATGTGTTAGCGGGCCTGCTGCCAGTCCGGTCGTTCGATTGTGTCCCGATTCATGAACTAATTTACGACCAGGGGTCCCTTTCTAAAGCATTGATTACCTTTTCGCGGCCCCATATTCCACGAATAGCTAGGGACCGTCGCTTATTCGCCTTAGTTGTCGACGAGTTTCGAGACCTCGACACGAATATTTCGACTGCACTCTTCTCTTTTCTCACGTGGATTTCATAGTATACAAGTATCCTTTCCAATAGCAGTGATTAAGACGAAAGACAAACCAAGATTTATACAACTTTTACAGCCACATTCGGTACAAGACCTGCTTTAATCATGGCAGGCTCCGCCGTCGAGTCGCGCCCGACGAGCAGCGTTGGTGCGCCGCGCGATGTGCGACCGCGAACCCAGAGCATCTCTAGCGACAGACCTTCGATCGCGAGCCACACATTTCTTGCTCTTCCGCAGTCTATATCTCCAGAGGCCGCCTTCATTGCTTCATCTGCAGCTTCACAAATCGTGACCAACAATCACGACGGCCACGAAAGCACCTGGTACGACCAAAATGGTGTCGAACCTTCTGGAGAGGCTGCTGTGATATCCCCTGCTGCCTTACAGCTCGTCAACAGTTTTCTCGATCAATTATTACTAAACTTTTTGCAAGTCGCCAAATCTACCTCTCTCTCGGCTCTGCGACCTGCTGTCTCCGACGTCCTCAAGCCAAAATTAGCCAAAGAAACTATAAGCAATGCTGATGAAGAACTGAGGGAGTACTTAGGGGGCTCTGAGGAAGAAGAGTTTACCGACCCCCAAAGCCCCCATGCACGAGATTGGGACGTTGAATTAGCTTGGAAGAGGGCTAGATTGCGATGTATGGTCTATTCCTCTCTGGGAGACTTGGAAGAAGAGGACGAGGATAAATACATGACGCAAGAAAATCTCGAAATTGGCGAACACGAGAGAACGTCCGACATCATCTCGCCCGCTGTGGCCATCTTTCTTACCTCAGTCCTGGAATACATGGGCGAACTCACGCTTTCTGTGGCTGGACAGGCAGCGAGTCAAAGGCTGCGCTCCAAGATTGAGAGGGAGCTCAAGGATGGAGCGCGCAGCCCGGCCGCTGTTGCTGAAAGAATCGTAGTGGAGGACATTGATATGGAACGCGTCGCGCTTGATCGAACTTTGGGCCGCTTGTGGCGAGGGTGGAAAAAGAGGATGCGTGCACCGCCAGGCGAATATGTCTCCACTCGATCTCTTTCAATAAGCCACGCTGGTTCGCTGTACGATCGTAAGAGTTCCATTAGTGAGCGTGGTACTGACTCTGCCGAGGTGCAAGATGACGCAAGAGATGCTGTGGAGGAAGACGTTCACCCCATGAATATTCCACTGCCCATGGGCGAAAACGACATTGCGGAGATTGAGGTGCCAGGTTTGGCCCACTATAGTGATGATGAGGATGAAGCAGACGAGGAGGAAGAAAAGGATTTCGACAAACGCCGCGTCAAATCTTTCGCCGGGGCGTCCTCCTTACTCAATGAATCCCAAATATCAGCAGACTCAGAGCACTATGCCACTTTACTCAGCCTTCACAGAAGATCCACCTCACTACCAACCCCCAGAAGGTCAGTCTTTTATGCAACTGCGCGACCGAGGTCGAAAACTGCCGATGCCGCGGGGAATGGCATCCCTGAGCTACAAGAGCTTGCGAGGCTCTCAGTTACGGAGGTGGAGGCGAAAGCGGCACCTGCGAAAAGTCGTGACTCTGATGAAAGCGGATCGGATGAATTTGATGAAGTGATATATGAGAAAGCCGAGATCCTGACCTCGTCCAGAGTGTCCGTCTCCAGCACTTCATCTCGTTCCGTCTCAGATACGGGTAAGGCCATTCATCTGAGCAGGTCTTCGAGTGTGCACTCTGCACGCATCATTGACGTTCCGCCCCGTAGTCCAGCCACTAGTCGACCACGTTCAATGGAATCGGCCGAGCGGCCACGCGCAAGCACTGTGTCTGGAGCAAGCCCGCTATCACGTCCAGGCGGTGCGGATGAGATGCGCAAAGCCAAAGCCATTGACACTGGCTCGAGAACAGGAGTGCCTCTAACGGCAGTAAGATCTCCAGTCGAGAGGATGAGGCCACCTATCCCAAATGCTGCGACCATCTCTGAATCTGAGGAAGACGCCGATCAGGTGAATCCAATTGTCAAGCCTGTACCAGCTTCTCGAACTCGAGATCAGCTTGGCCGTCTCCCACATGGCTTGCAAACAAATATCAGAGCTGCTGATAGAATTTCGGCTTCTCCTCAAAGTGACCAGCCTCATTCTGGCACCAGGAGTTCATCTCTGAAAACCGCTCAAAGTGCCACAGATACACAATTTTCAGACGTTCCTTACAGGTCCGGGGGCCATTCCAATCGAACGAAGGGGCGGCCCACCGCTGAGCTTGATGAGGAGGAAACAACTCCGTCCCTGCATTCCATTGCTCCTCCTCGGCAGATCCACACATCTGGTTCGTCCTCATCTTCTGGCGCCAGTCGGTTCAAAGCGGTCAGAACTACTTCAGACGACGCATCGAACCGTGCTGAAAACATGGCGCGCAACTTTGAAGAGCTAATTCAGAGCAATCAAACCATCACATACACGTTGACGCCGGAGAATATGCGTGATATCGATGTACGTTCTGATCCCATCCCCAACCTCGAGCATTCTCTCTCTTTCTGCTCTGCCTGCTTCAACCACTACAGAGTTTGCCTGTTTGCTAACCTATCTTCCAGATCAAAAAATCTGCCGACAGCCCTGTTGTGACAAAGATCACCCGTAAAAGCGAAGATCTTATGCGATCCTCGCCGGTTGGCTCAAATGCATCACAATCAATTCCGCGGGCGCAGCCTGCCAGCCCCAAGGCTTCTTCTGAAAACACAACCAGACTTTCTGGGCCGGTTCCTCGCGCTCCGGCAGGAGCCTACGGCGCGTCTGGTCGTGCGGGTGGGCCCCAGGCTCGAGATGCTCGTGCACCTGGCGAGTCTTTGGCAGACTTTGCTGAGTTCATCAAGTCTACGGGCCCAGCTGGCGACAGAGGCCCGGCAGCTCTGCGTAATGTGCACGTCCCTGTCAACCCACCCAAGACCATTCCAGAGTCTCAGCCAGTTACCACCATGAGCAGCCGTAGCACCAACAATCGAAATCGATACCAGGCTCGAGAGCCTGCTGCCAGTAGTAGAAACGACAACTCAGACCTGATCGATTTTATAAGGCAGGGCCCAGCCAGTGCTGCGGGTAGTCAAAATCACATCCCTCGACATGTGGCTCCTTTCCGTAATCCGGGCGATTCAGAGATGATGTATGGCGCTGCTGGAGGCAAGGCGATTGATCCGGTACTTCCCGATCTGCGACATAGCCAAGCATCTACCAGCGTGACAGATTACTCGATGCCGTCGATGCACTCCTCTGTCAACTCCAACTCCGCGCTTCTCAAGAACAAGAGCATGCCCAAGGCAAACGCGCTCTTTGGGGAAGACGATGAGGATATGGGCATGCCGATGCCTGTACGAAAAACTCGCCGAGTTCGTGATCCGTACGCAATTGACTTCAGTGATGAGGAAGAGGATGATTTCGACGTGGCTCCCAGACCGCCCCCTAAGAAGGAAGAAAGTCTGGCAGAGTTTTTGCTCAACTGCGAGCCTCCACCGGAGCCTCCGTCTCCGCCTACGAAGCAGCAGCCAAGGAGGAAGTCGAGCACGCCCGGTCTTATGGGACGGTTTGGTCGTAACAACTCTAAAGAGGTTAACACTCTTCATGAATCTCAATCACGCCCTGGCACTATGGGTCTCGGCAACGAAGCCCGCCCTTCGAATACTCGCAAGCATGTTCCAATTCAGATGCCTCCAGGATACGACGCGTATGGGCCTATCGATGCTCATCCTCCGGTGAACAAAGCCCCAGTGGAGCGAGCCCCAATGAACAGAGTCCCAATGAAGAAATTCGAGCCGCGAGAGCCTGCATTCCTCGGACAGACAGGAGATTTAGCCAGGTTTTTACGCGATTCTGAGCCGCCGCCAGACTTCAATCCCACCCCAGTTCCAGTCCAGCAGGACGAGCCCAGCGGATTCGCGAAATTCTTTGGACGACGAAGGAAGGCGTCCGTTGTCTAGGCACCGAATTCTCTTCATACCAATTTATCAGCGTCTTGTTTTATTGCACTCCTCGATGGCATTGCCCCGGTTCTAGAATTTTTTCATTTAATACCCTTCTACTCGACGATATATATATCTATACACTAAACAGAGTATAAATACACGGTCCAATTAACAGAGATTTGGATGAGGGGGAGAGCACCCGATAATAGTATGCTCTTTTACATTCATCTTATACGCAACTATTATATCTGGAAATACTTGATACCCAAGACTAATTACTAAAACTTAAAGAGATTCTACACGGGAAGTGGTCTTGAAAAATAGCAGTCGATATAAGCGGCTGACAATGATTTGGCCATTGCTAGGATAGGGGGGACAAAGGGAAAAGGGGCCAGGGGGGAATCAACTACTTGTTTGTTTGTTTGCTTGCTTGTTTAGTTGCACATACGCACACACTCTTTCTTCTTTTTCAAATTCTTTTCGTTAGCTTTGTGTTATTTAGATCAATGGATACCTCGTGCTGCGTCATTGCTTGCTATTTTTTCTCTGGGCGTGAATCATTTTACATCTTCTGTAGTTGGAAGCAGTCCTGAATCTCTTTCTGTATGCTAGGTCATTACATCGTTTGTTTCTAATAATATCACATATATACCTTCCTATTTAAGGGTTCACAATTATCTACTTCGTTACAATAAGACAATTGAATGATCAAATAGGTATTGATGCTTTCCAAATAAAAGAGTAAATTGAGATACTGCCAATTTGCATAAAATACTCAAAATGACCATCAAAGTCTCGTTTCCAGCGAGACCAAGCCAAGCCAAATTCATAACATTACTGCGTAAATATATATATATACGTGTGTGTGTGTAAGAGATATCCATCCCGTTCCCAAAGATTAAAGACAAAGTAAGAAAGCAAAAGAGAAGATAAAGTAAGCAAGAGAGATATGAAAGACAGAAAAATGAGAACGGAATAAGCCAGCCTTTTGTTGTTGTTTTTTTTTTCGGAAATAGGTAAAAAGCCACCAAATATTTTCAAATAACACAACAAAACGAAAAGAAACCGTTAAGAGAGGGGAAAAGGAAAAGAAAAAGAAAGAAAAAAAATAAGATGAATAAAACTTTGATGAAAATGACATGACGATAGAAAATTGCATCAGATAAAATATTAGAGAGAAAAACTCCGGGCGACATTGTTCCCAGTCGCTCTCACCGACCAGAAACCAGAACCTTGCGCCACGCTAAAATGTCATTTCGTAATCATAGCAACGATATGGTAGAGTAGTTGAGTAGGAAACTGTTGGAAATCGATCCAATAAAACCAAAAGAGGTAGAGCAAAATAGGAGAGAGGAGCTTCGGGGTGGAGGGAGCTAGAGCTCCACTTCTGTATGTGAGTCGAGTGTGGGTGATAAGCCCATGGAGAGATGGGTAGGGTTCATCCAGGTAAAACTAAAATGAGAGGGAATATCCTTGTTGAAAAGATACGGTATTGTCCATCATCTGATGCAGAAAATGCTGTGGCTGTTTCCGACTGCTTTTCGTTCAGAAACAAGCGTCACTTGAAGAATATAGCCTCAGCTTAAATCTCCATTCGCCCGGCAATATCCTCGCTCATAAGCCTCTCCCGCCTTGTACTTGTCATGTCGTCATCTTCGTCGTAGTCGTCATCCTCGTCTAGTGGTTCATCTTCAGCAAGGTCATCGTCTGAGAACTGTACGATGTCGCCATCCTCCCCTCTGTTCCAGTAGAGGCCGTCATCCAACGGCTCTTCATCGTCCTCAAATGGTGGTACTAACTCGGCGTCTTGGTCACCAAGCCAGTACTTTGTCCGTTTCTTTGCGCCATCTGACTCGACCGCGGTATGTCGCTTGTGTAAACCGCCCTTGGCCGGTCTCAAGGTTGGGCTCTGTGAGGAAATGACCGGGACAACACGGACATAGAGGTAAGCGACTCTCTTGAGCATTCTGTTGAAAAAGAAGTAGTGAACCGCCCAAATGGCGCTTTCGTCTTCTTCAAAAGGGTCGACTTCTGGGTGATAGCTAAAGATGGTGCACTCATTAAGACGCATCTCTTTGTTAATCAAGGACCAGCACTGTGGACCCCACTGGGCATTCAAGTCGCTGCCGGCGGATGAGTCGTACGATGAGCCTTCAAAGCCAGGTCGTACGTTTTGCAAGATTGAATCCAAGTTGGCCATGACACGCTTCAAGTTCCTCTCACGCTTGAAATCGCCGGGCCGCAAGACATGAGAAAAGTCGTAGTGAGGGTGGCTTGCATTAAGCGTTGCAATCAGATAGGCAAATGTTCGTCGGCTGGCAAGCTCAGACAGAGGGCCGAATGCGCTTGAGTGCGAGAATAACTGCATGCTGCGCGACGTTGCGAGCATGTGTTCCCGGTCGGGCGGTGACAGGCTGGCGCCTAGCTTGAGCAGCGCGGCATGCTGGGAACTGAGATCTTTGTCGATATTCTTGTATAGTTTCTTGTCGGACCCGGTGGATTTCGTTGTGTAGAGATCGCATCCGCCCGTGACGTTGCAATCAGGGGTATTGAAGTTGAGAGCGCCAGTTACGGCCTCGAATTCTTGGACTGGGAGGTACTGTATCGCGGGGAATGTCTCGTCAGATTCGGCTTGTCTCAGACTGGCGCCCGTTCATTCATTTGTTCTACTTACCTTCATGGTGGCTGCTAGTTGCGAGTTCGTATCTCAGCATGAATAAACGATGGAAGGTGCAGATAGAATATGCCGCGAGGGTCGGCAAGTTGCGCCAAGGACAGAATCTGGGCTGCGGCTAGAGTATGTCCGCTGGTGGGCGGGCGGAGAGTGTAAATGTAGTGTGAATAAGCTTTGGAGGCAGGAATTCCAAGTGTCGCCAGTGTCGGTGGAAATAATGGCAGCTGGCTGGAGTGCGGTTTTGGGTTTGATCAGGCGTGCGTGCTGCGCATTAAAGGCACCCGAGGACGGAATTGGGCTGCGATGGCTTGGTGGATGGTATGGTAGCGCAGTTGCAGTGACGCTCGCCGACCTTGTCTGCTTCGTGCTCGCGGATCTGCACGGAGTTGGTGGATCAAGATCGCAGCAGGGAGTGAAAGCGATTCGCTCAGCCCGACGTCTTTGTCGATTGAGCGCGGTAGTTGTGTCGTAATCTTGGTGATCCCGAGAGCGTGGTGATGCGGCAACTAGCAGCGTCGAGAGCCGAGCAGTGCCGTCGTTCACGGTAGCAAAAGATCAGTCAGTTGTTCTCAACGCAGGAGGACAGACGTCGAATTGGAGGACGGGTGGGTGGGAGGCCAGCCGGTTGGTTGGTTGGACAGCGTTCGGATTAAAGGGGAGAGCGAGAGGGCGATGGATGCAGCTCGTGCAGCTGTCCTGTTATCGTCTCATGGCTAGTGCACGGCCAGAAGCCGGATCGGGTGACACGCAGGTGGGAGTCGCTGCTGGCGAGTGCAGTGACATCAGTTGCCAGATGGTGGGGGGCTGCGTTTGCGTGCTGCAGCGGTGGAGCGCGGAGGCAGAGGGGGCGGGACAGCTGGGCTGTTAGGGGCTGTTAGGGGCAGGATGGGGAGTCTGGCCAGTGGCCAGTGGCCGGCAGCGCCTGTGCGGCTTCACGGCCAGCAGAACCGCCGCCGGCCAGCGCAGTGCTAGCAGAGCCAGTCGCATTGCGCCGGCATTGGATCGTCCGCAGCCAGAGTGTTTGCATGGCCATGGCCGTTTCGCGCATCGCCCACGTTCTCACGCAGCGCCGAGTTGGTTGGCGGCGGCCGGCGAGTCGGTGTGCGGGTACGTGGCCTCTGCCCCCTAAAGCTCCTGACCCGATCGCCCGCCATCGGCTGCGCCCGGCAAGGCATGAATAGCCAGCAAGAATCATTAGTAACAGTAGAGGCAGAGTCATGGCGGCACCTCCGCCCAAAAGAGGGGGGCATTTCTGACGAGCCCATTAGCTGGTGCCGCCGCAACGAATAGAGACTCGGGGAGCTGCCACGCGCGGCAACGACAAGACGGAGCGCAGCGGCCAACGGCCTGTCACCAATGGCAGCATGTGCCGCAACGGAAAGAAGACGACTGTCTAGTTAGTTGACTGGATTGGGCTCAATGGCGTGGGAAACTAAAAATCATGAATTGGCTTTGCGCTTCTTGCTTGCTTTCCTTCTCGTCTCCTGGTATAGTAGTATTAGATTCGAGCCTCAAGCGCCAGCCGATATGTCCCCCGACCCCGGGGGCTAGTCCGTGATATGGAATATCAGGGCGGCACTTGGGTTTCTCTTCGCCTCTCCCTTCCTTTCTTCTCTTGATATGGTAGAGGATGGTTTTCCATCCTCCAAGATCTATACACACAAAGAAAAACATGGTCATATCCTCTCTCCAACACACCACCCGCCCCATTTCATTCTTCCCAGTGTGCCCTCTCTTCTCGTCGAAGAGATGCTCAGTTTCCTGAGACTTCTGAAATCAAAGAATTCCCACTGTGCGAAGCTTCTCTACAGTGCTCTCGACCTGCAACGCCAAATGTTAATTATCAAATCCTTCTCGGATCGTGCCCTCGATGACTCCAAATAGCCAGTGGGACAATATGGGGCCGCGATTGTATATATATATATACTCCGTAGCGGTAGTCGTAATGGTGAGTTGGCGTCAGTTAAGGCGATGAGCAAGAACCGTTTGGGCCAAAGCTTGCGCACGCGTCCCGGCTTCGTTCGTGCGTATTTTACATGAGTTTGGTGACCTCGTCTTCGACCTTTGCGTTTGGAAATCCGTTGTCAGCTGCGTCAAGTCGCGTTGCCGTCCCCGGAAAAGGATAAAAAGGATGGCGATGGCGCATCATGGTGTGGGAAAGAGCCAGGATCGGTGCGATGCAGCCGGGTTAAACTCTACGCAGGACTCACCTCCATATCTTCCAATGAATCTTGCTGTCCAATACAGCGCAGCACGTTCTTCTTACTGCTCTCCTGCAGCTCTCCTGCAAGAAGCAGTTCGTCGAGGATGTAATAGGCCTTGGTAAAAGAGAAGATGATATCAAGCTCGCATACGTTGCCGTAGTACTTGTCCATCTGTTCGACGTATCGATGGATGATTTCGAGTGTAATCAGTTCGTTGTCCTCGGAAGAGCATCCTGCAATGAAGAAGAGCGAGGCGTATCGTCGATAAACGATTTTAGTGTCTAGAAAATGCAAAGATACAGTCAGTCCCCGTTTCGAAGCGGGAAAAAAGGGGGTTCATATGAGAATATTCGTTCACTAACCCTTGTACTCCAAAAAGTTGCACATGCGTGTTCTTCGAGCGAGGACGAGCTGTGATACGTCCTTGACGATCTTGGCCTTATCCTTGGGGGACAGCGTCGTGAACCATTTTGCAAGCCGCTGGGAACAAATGTCAGCAAGGCCCATCCCATACCGGTTGCAAGTTGCCGTCGTGGACAACAGGGAGAGCTACGCACCACCTTCCCCTGACGGGACAACAGAATAAGATAGCTGGAGAGATGCGGGTCAGCATCATGTGGCCGCAAGAGCAGAAGCAGCAGACGCAACGTACTGAATCGCCATTATGACGGCTCTCTCACATCACCGAGAGGGACACGATGACGGTCGAGGCGCAGTGACAAGGTGCAAGAGACGCAGCGGGGACGAGATGCGGTTTGAATAGACTTGAGCTGGCGTACTCTGGACGAATTGGCCAGGTCGGTGACGAGGCAGTAGCGCGTGCTTCGGATTCTGCCTGTGCCTTTGTTCCGTGCCCCGTTTCTTCCAGACCCAGTAATAGTCGGTACCTCTCACATGTACTGCTTTGTTCCTCTGCTCCCCTCTTGTCAGCACAGCGCCCTTGACAAATGGCAGCAGCGCTAAAACCTACAGCCGCAGCCTTTCTAGACGTGCAGACCTAGACCGAGACACTGTGAAGCGCAAGCCCCGCGTTGCCCTTTACTGCGTAATCAGAAGGGTCCTCGCTAAAATCTCCAGAAAGTCAATTGTATCTAGCAGCCAGCTGAGCTCCAATACGCACAAGACGAGGTGAACTCAACACTGCGTGGGGGACTATCAGTTTCTTAGACGTCACTTTAACAGTAATAAGCAGAGGCCGGCACACATTAATAACCTGTTTAAAGAGGCCTCGCCCTCTCCCCCAACAATAATGTTATTCAATAGCTCCAGCAGCCAAGAATAAATGAACAGAGACTGTAACCTCAATTGTTGACAAAATCAAACTCCTCCTTCTCCGGCCGCCAGCCTTCAATATCCACCTGTGGCATTAGTAATACGGCTCTTACATCCCCATAACCTACCGCCACAAGCGCCCATCTGGAGTAAATTGGCAATTTAGTTAGGCCGTTGAGACGTGAAAAAAAAAAAGTTATTGCTCGCATATGCCGAGCACCGGTCTTAGGCGCTTCTGACTTATAAGGCACTGTTTCCAAAAACTTGCTCTTCCTCTTACGCTCTTATCCAACCCAACTTCATAAAATCGCATAGAGTATTCTATTTAGAACTCTCTCAATTGCTTACAATCCATCACAATGACGAAAATCATTCTCTCTACGGGGTTCGTTTTTCCCCTTTGCTGCTGCAAAACCCGCGCCCTTTTTGCTAACCCGCATTGTGTATAGCAATGTCATGTCCGGAAGCCCTTCCATCATCCGCAAAGCCGGCGGCAAGAGACCAAGATCGAACCTGGAACTCGTCAACTCTCTCCGGGACAACTTTGTGGCCACGCGCCTAGATTATGCGATTGCTGCGTCGCCAGTGACAGCCAACGGCGCCAACACTCTGCCTTCGCCGCCCCAGACGCCGGTGGAACTGTGGACCGAGCGAGACGAGAAGACGCTGTACATTCCGAGGATCAACTGGCAGGCTGCCGGTCTGCGCGAGGAGGCCAGCGACTACGAAATCACCGTCAAGCTGTTCCTGCTTCCCGGCACGACGGTCCAGGACCGCGAGCAGTATGCGCGCGAGGCGCTGGACCTTGTGCGCAAGGAGCTCGGCATCCAGACCATCGACCTTCTGATCGTCTCCTTTCCCGGAATGTCGTTTGAAGGCACCTGCGAAAAGGCAGCCGAGCGAATCAACGCCCAGCAGGGAAACCTGGAAGAGGAGCTTGCTTCCTGGAAGGTCTTTGAGGACCTGCACAGTCAAGGCCTTGCCAAGCGCCTCGGCGTTGCCGAGTTTGGCAGCGAGAAGCTCCGTGCTTTTCTCCAGCAGACGGCGATCCGCCCGGCCGTCGACCAGGTCAACCTCCAGGACTGCTGTAACGTTCCCGAGCCTCTCTTGAAGTTGGCGGAAGAAGAGGGCGTGGAGCTGCATGTCCACACCGATTGCACCGATATCCTTCCGCGCGGCACGCTGCGGGAGCTCCTCGGCCACGGGCCCCAGGGCGCCGGAGTGCTGGCCGATCCTGCTAATGGCGGTGCTGGTCTGGAAGGCGAACTCTTTCCCCAATGGGTTGCTCGATATGTGGCATATGTCAAGGACCGCGGCGTGATTGAGAACAAGGGCTACTTTGCGGGGGCTGCGCTTCAATAAGAAAAGAAGCTTCTGCCAAGGCCCTTTTTTTTCCTTTCAGATATAGCATGGATCTTTTTTTTTTTTTTCAATTGTCACTAAAAGCGGTGTTTTTGTTTTGCATTTTTATCTTGATTTATTCATTTGGATATCATAACAGCGGGCATCATTACATGGAACTATATGCTATATATGTCATAAAAATTTCTCCTTTTTTTTTCCCTCTGGCTAGCAAGAGAGAATCGAAGAAATTGAAAAGGATTCCCTTTTTTTCGATACTGGTCTCCAAGTCTCGTCGTATCACATTTCTAGCCGAGCATACTTCGCTTGCGACCTCTCATCCTTACTTCTTCCAGCTTCTTGAGGGCTACGCCGGCCTGCTTAAATGACTTTTTATATGCCTCCAGGACCTCGTTGAAGATGCACTCAGCACGGGGATGTGTGCTGCCAAAGGCACGCTCGAGGACGTATAGATCAACTGCCCTGTCCTCGTCGTGTACACCTCCGCTGGCAAGCCCAAGGTCTATGATGACAATCTCTCCCTCGAGGCCGGTCGCGTTATCAGGCTGATCGCCCGCCGGAGGCTTCAGCATCATGTTGCTCGTCGTCAAGTCGCCGTGGATGATGCCAATGCTGTGCATCTTGCCCACCGCCATGCCTATTTTCCGCATCAACTCCTTTAGCTCCTCGTCATCCTCGATGCCCTCGGTCCTGTTCCCCAGTCTGTTATTGATATTGACGCGCACGGGCGTGCCCTCAATCCACTCCAGCATCAACCACCCCGCGGACTCGTCCAGGGCATACACCGAGGGCACGCGGAGCCCATCTCGGCGGCACTTGGCGAGGATGCGAGCCTCGGACAGGATGCGGTGTCTGGTCAGGCGCTGGTCGAGGATGGGATGCCGCCACGGCTTCGGCGGGCGGTACTTTAGGGCGCAGGCAATGTCGGGCAGCAGGTAAGTCGTCTTGTAGAGCCGGCCTTCGGCGCCTTGTGTGATGAGCGTTGGCGGGGTCGACGCGGGGTTGGTGAGAATCTTGGGCAGCGGAAATTCATGCGCCAGCGCGGCGTCCGATACAGCGGCCGCCATGGCTGCTGGGAGGGCGAGGAGATCGATCTGGGCGGGCGGGAGAATCAAGAAAAGGCAGAAGCGCAAACTGGTCTAGTCACAAGCCTGGGTCAGAGATTTTCTCCGAAGGTACAAAGAACAATTCAAGCTTCTAGTTCGGGGCTGGGGCCGCTGCGATGCACTCTGCAGGTCATTCCTGATAAGATGCAGTCACGGCCATTTTTTTTCCCTTCGCTGCAGGGCGCAAGAGAAAAAAAAGATGGGCGCTATGGTGGGGTTGACAGGTGGGATGGCGGTGCTATTGGCTACAAAGGGATGGGAGCTGCCGATATGCAGGACAGTGGACGCTCAAGTTACTGCCATTTGTGGGCTGGGCTAGGGGAGGGGATCCAAGGCCGCTGCAAGGGCTGCAGAAGCTTCCATCAGATGGCTAACGAAATGATGTCGATATGCGATGCGTAATCATTGAGAGAAGCTCTGTTGAATCAGGTAGCTTTGGCGTTCTTGCTTTGGCACTAAATGTTAGCATGCTGCCAGGTACATGCGTGGTCTGCGAGGCAGGCAATTCCAGCTGGTTTCTCTTGGTTTCCACGGATCCTGTGCCATGCAAACATTTGTGTGCCCTTGTGACTGGTCCAAGGGGCAGCTCCGGTCTAATACATGCATGTTGATGCTGCTAGCATGAACACCCTCCCCAACGTCTTTCCATCCGCCGTCATAGCTGAGTCTCTAGCTGCGGCCCTGCAGGGCGTACATGGCCTGACGCACGTCGTCGTCGCCATGCCACGGAATCCGGGACGAGCGTTGCAATATCGCTTCTAAGCGCTTCCGGGGACCAGCAGGATCGAGTCTGGCGCACAAAGCACAGTATTTGCTTCTCCGCTTGCAGCACCATGAGTCTGCCTGCGTGTCTCTTGTCCTCTCCCTCGGCTCTTGGCCCACGATCCCAACAACTTGCTCTCCAGATGCAAGAGTGAATTATTATTACTCTATGCTGCCACACCCACCCAATCAGGGCTAGGATCGGCTCCTCCTCCTCCTCCGCTACGCAACTCGTCATCCATTCCGCCGCCTTGGTTGGTAATTTTTCCTTCTCTTTGTTTCTTTCTTCTCTTTTTCTCTCTCCTCCTCTTCCTTTAGTCTGTAAGTCAACCAAAAACAAGCTCCCGCCTCCTCGCGCCGGACCATGCCTCTGCCCTTCCAGGACGGCATCACGACTTGTGCTTCGCTGCCCTCCGCTGCATAATGGCCGACTCAGGCTGGCTCCAGTGGGCCTACATACTGGCCGGCTCCGCCACTGGCATGACCATCGTGATGATCGCACAGACTGCGAATTCGTACTGGACGGCGTACAGGGTTGCGCCGCAGGAGGTGGCTAGCTTTATCGACACGCTTGACTTTTCCATTGAAGAAAACGAAGGCTACGACCGCGACATCTCCAAGGTTCAGCGTCTTGAAGACAAGATCCGCCTCAATCGTCTGCTACGGGAAATCCAGAGGATCGGCGATGACTTGCGCGACGACCTGAACCACCTTGTCCGCGAGGAGAGCGCAACCACGCTGCGGACCAGCTCGAGGATCATGTGGGCGTCGAAGCGCGCGCAGATCGAAGAGAGGATGAAGCGACTAGACTCGCTTCGCATGCGCTTCATGATGGTCTATCTGGGCATCATCACCTCCATCGCCGAAAAGCAGCCTCCCCCTCCACCACCACTACCCAAGCAGCCGGAGAAGACGGCCGCTTACTCAACACCCAGCAGACTCTCGGCGAAGAAATCATTTGATGATCTGCCAAAGCGCACACCGACTCGAAGACTGACTACCCAGGCCATCGGTCACCACGAGCATGTCGAGACACCCCAGCGGAGTGGCTGGGCCGGAGTTGTCCAGGAGTTGCAAATGTCGCCGCGGATGCGAGCACGACATGCTTCCATCGAAAAGCTGATGGAAGATCCTTCACACTAAGGAGATTGAAAACCCGGGTCGGGCTGGCTACCTTGCCCATTTAAACCCCATCTTGTCTTTTCTTTATGTTGCTTTATTTTCTTTTCTTTTCACGATTTTCTCTCGTAACTGGCTCAACTAGACTGAGCTGCCAACTCAGATACGATACACCTGCACACAAACAAACACACTCACAGACACATTCAACGGCATACAAGCAGTAGAATCAACGACGACATGGCCACGACTTTCCTTATGAATCTTTCACGAACACTACCGGTAACGAGAATGACTAAAAAAAGAGATGATATTATAAGCCAGAATCAGTGTTGGCCAACAAATTTCTTTAACGACGTATGAGAAAAGAGATATATCTAACTTATGAGGCAACAAAATGTCTTGCCATGGCGCGCGCGGTTATAAAGATAGGGGCGGCGGATTTTGGGTTTTGGATTTTGGATTTTGGATATTTTACTTCCTTTCATTTTTTGGATTATTTCACACAAGCACTCTTGAGATACATGTAGTTAGTATACTCCCCCTTGATTCTATTACTCTTTAATCCAGAAAAAAAAAATAACAGAGAGAGTATGAGCAACGTTTATAGTATTGAGCTGCGTTAGACTCACTGAGTTCTGACATTGAATATCATCTACATCTGGCTGCCTCATCAAGCAGCCCGCTGCGTAGGAGCCCTCCTAAGCTGTCCCATGCCATGATGCAGGCTGTAAGCCGGTCACGGATGCAGCTTGCACCCCACACACGGGGCTGGCGGCTCCGTGCTGCTGTACACATCCGGCCGCGGCTCGCCCGCCACGTTGAGGAAGCCCACGGCGCCCTTGTCGATGCGGAAGATGGCGTGATCGACGAGCGTGTACGTGCCCGGCACAAGGACCTTGAGGTCGACGATGGCGGCGCCCGCCGGCGGCACGCTCAGGGTGCTGACGAAGCGCCCCGGCGGGCTCAGCACGTCGCCGTCGCGGTATGCGCGCAGGAAGTGGCTGCCGATGACGTGGAACGAGCTCGTCAGGTTGGGGCCCCCGTTGCCGAAGAAGATGCGCACCGTCTCGCCCGTGCGCGCCTTGAGGGGGGCGTCGCGGGTCAGCGCCGCCTCGCGCCCGTTGAAGACGACGGCGTTGGGCTCCTCGCGCAGGCCCTGCGGGTACGAGAACTCGACGGTGGACGAGGGCCGCCCCGTGTCCTCGTCCGGCTCGGGCGGCTCGTGATACACCTCGCTCTGCATCACGTAGTACTCGCGGTCCACGGGCGGGAGACCCCCCGGGCCGGCCGCGGCGCTGTCGTCGTCGGCCGGCTGCACGTACATGAGCCCGTACATGCCGTTGGCGATGTGCACCGGGATGGGCGCCGCCGCGCAGTGGTACACGAACAGGCCCGGGCACAGCAGCCGGAACCGCGCCGTCTTCGTCTCCCCCTCTTCGGCGTTGGTCACTGCCGACCCGCCCCCGGGGCCCGTAATGGCGTGCGAGTCGATGTTGTGCGGGTTGCCCGTCTCGTCGCGGTTCGTGAGCCGCAGCTCTACCACGTCGCCTGCGCGCGCGCGGATGAAGGGGCCCGGGACTGTGCCGTTAAAGGTCCACGCCTCGTACTTGTACTGGTTCGTCACCTGCATCAGTTTTGGCGATGTCGTGAGGTCCACCTTCACGAGGGCGGGATGCTTGCGAGTCACTGGCGGTGGCACATGCGGCGCGGATGTGAGCACCGCGTGCTCAACGGGCAGTGAGGACACGTCCGGAGGGTTGCTTTCGAGTTCATTGTAGAAGGCGAAGCGCGCATCCTCACTGCCAAGCTGGTCGGGGCGTTAGCCGCTCAGGATATATATAACTCCAAGCGCCATCTTCAATACATAGGAAATCGTAAAATCGCGTGCTGTGTTGTTCTTCTGCACGCTGGATGCTTACCGTCTTGCTGGACACATCCTGGACCAGATACATGCGAGAGTCTGCCTGCCTGGCGTAGTAGGCGGCGCTCGCGGCGACAGCCCCCGAGGCAGTAAGCACGGAGATGAACCGCAACGTCTTACGAGCGCCGGACGGCTTCAACGGCGTGGGGCGCGCCAAGCCCGGTTGTACCTGCATGGAAGAGCCACCCAGTCGCCATGTCAGGGAGTCGGCCCTTTGCGCAATCCTCTTGAAGAGCGTTGAGGCACTCATGGTTAAGGTTGTTGGACGAAGTTGGCCCAAGTAAGAGCAGGAGTGTTTGAACTTAAGCAAAAGATGGAAGACAGGCGCATCACGCCCTGGAGAAACAACTCCGCGGACATGGGCCCTTTTCGTCGACCACATATACATCGTGGCCCTGCTGGCTGTGAGGCCATCCTTGTTGGTATGCAGGCGCACCTATGAGTGGGGGGGGCAAGAGAGCGAGTGCGCCACACTACCTGCACCTCCATGTGCCTTACGGTGCCGAAGCTTTTATAGTTCCCGCTTTACGCGGAGATGCATTGTTGAGGCGAATGGCTTTAAGGAATGGCCTGACAATCATGTTAGGCCGGTGTAACAGCTTGACCAACCAATAGGACATCACGTGTGTAACACGTCGATGGATGGCCTTCCCTTGCATCAATTATGCATAACCTTCTCGCTTTGCATAACCTTCTTGTTTTGCTGGCGAAAGAAGACCTGTCTTAACGTGTACGCAAAGCCAGAACAATGGTCTGTCAGAACCCGACTTTTATAGTTACAACAACAGGCTTAAAGAGTAGACCAAAACATTATTGCTTCACGAAGAGGGCATACACAGGCTTCTCCCTCGCAGTTTTATTGCCCTCTATCATGATTCATAATTAATTGAATTTTCTCTTCCTATTTGCAACATCTTTGCACGGTCATTATTCAGATCAACGCTTTTTCTTTATTTTAGCTACCTTAACCCCCCTTTTTATGATCAGTTACGAGTGTGAAGGCTTATGGTGAATATCGATCAATGGGAAGGCAACTCAGAAACAGGGCCGGGGACAGTGCCGTTCTTTTCACCAACTATATTATACAACGTTAGAGCTTGACAAAACACATAAGAAAGCATGAATAAACAATGGATGAAGATGAGTTTGAAACTTGAACGTACCATCCAAGGCGACCAAAAATCTGCTCACACAGTTGTAGGCAGCGACCTATAAGATGTAAGAATCAGCAATTTATCACACAAAAAAAAAAAGAAAGAAAGAAAGAAAAAAAAAATACTATCTTTTTCTCATGTCTCATAATGCGAGATGATCAAGGAAATCAACTCACCGTTGCCGTAATCTCCACAACCTCTTGATCATTAAAATGCCTCTTCAACGCCGCAAAGGTCTCATCTTTGACTTGCACGTTTCTCGTCATCTCATCCGTATACACCAGCACAGCCCATTGCTTCTCACTCAATAGCCCCTCCGGCCTTTCTCCTAGAACATCCTTCTTCACGACCTCCATGGCATCCACGCTCACGCCGCCCTTGATGGCCAGTGGCGCGTGATGTCCCCATTCATACCACGCCTTGTTGCATACAGCGACGCGTGAGATGGCCAGCTCGCGCACATCGTCGGCGAGAGAAGTCTTGGTACGCACGGCTCCGAGGAATGAGTTCCAGCCGTCTGCTACGGGGGGAGAGTGAAGGAGCGTCAAATCCAGTGCCTGCAGAGGCCGTGGAGCGCGGCGCTCGCGGATGCGCTGCACGATGGCGGCATCTTCAGCGGTTTGGACTGGGGGAGGGTCGGCGACGTATGGGAGACGCATGATGTGTCTGATGTGTGTGAAGTGGCTTTGAATTTGTCTAGATTTAACAAAACGACTCAAATATGAGATGTGGCTTCTCATCTTCCCTTACCATTGACAACAGAGCTGTCTATCTTATATATACTTACACCACCCAGGAACCCGGCGCGGGGTATCCGGAGCCACATCCCGACCCGCAGTCCACATCGGGGCCGAAAACCGGCAATTCTATTATCCCCCTACTGAAAGCAAAGAGTCTAGCCAATGGTATGACTAACCTCGGGGAAATAGGTCGTTAAGAGCCTTGTTTAGTCATTGAGTATAGCAGATCTCTGGAGCATCTTATTTCTGTTCTCGGATTGGTGTGGATGGAATTGACGATGTTGGAGCACAGGGAAGCGACTACGGAAGAGCATACAGCTGTGTTATCGACGTGTTGGCAAAAGACAATGCTGAGAGTTAGTCACTATTGCTCAGCTCATGGCGATGATTGATGAATATGACTTTAGAAGGAAGAATTGATGATGCTATACAGTTCATGAGCTAGTAATATGAGTCAAAAGAGATGGCCCAATGGCATATATGCTGTAAAGGCACACAAGTTGAACATCGAGTCTCTTGCTCTGTTGAGAGAAGATGGGATGTTGGCGCGCAGCGTAAGCCAAATTAGCGCCACTACCAGCCAACAAGGAACCCCAAAAAGGACGCAAAAAAAGGTTCTGGAGGGAGTCGAACCCTCGCTGCTGGAATTGATTCATTCATCAAAATCCAAAGTCCTAACCGTTAGACCACAGAACCCACGCTGCGATTGGTCGAAATTTGTCGTATCTCGCCTTATACACGATTCGCTACTAGACTTTTATGCAACCCTTTTTTTTTTTTTTTTTTTTTTGCCCTGCAGGGTAGCATTTCTTCATGCCGCGGAAATGTCAAAACGAGATGATGGGAATGCCAATTTTGCGCTAGAAAAAATTGATTCTTCTTACGTTCAGTACATTAATATTGATTTCGTGGAGTTTCGGTATTATGAAACCGTTGTGGCTTCCTGAAACCTCAAATGCCTTTGGATTTTTGCTCTTGAGTTTGTGTGTTGGAATTGGAAAATATCCAAGAAAGAAAACTTGTATGTGGCGATGCAGCTAGTCATTTGAATCCAATTGGGCCTTTACCTAAACAAAGATAAGATATGTCATAATTTACACCATGTTTACAAGCTTGACTCGATTTGTACATTGCTCGATACCAATTGAACGATAAGTCTTGTTCGATAGACTAACCGCAAGAATCGAATACAGTGCGCCAACTGAAGAGTTCAAAGCACGGGATAGAAAGCTTTGAGTAAAGTAGCACTGGCAACCAGCGTCTGAGATTTGTAAGCCAAAAATGACAAGGCCATATGATTTAATGCATGAGACTCGTTATTTAAATGGCAATACTGTAGATAAATAAAGCCGCGCATGTCTAGTCCAAGAGCTCGGATGGCCGATGTTAGTCATTGCTTTCCCTTTGGTGCGAGTAAATCCGAGACACAGTACGCAGACTGTAGCCTTAAACTTCATGCGAAGCGCCCACTTACACCTTTTAGATTTCCCATCTCTGCATAACTTTCGCCCTTGCTGCCTTTCATAACATTAACAAGTACAATGAAAGGCTCATATCTAGACAATCTTGCGGCGCCCTTTGAGGCAGACCGGCTTATCGAAATCCGCACCTCTGGAATGAAACAAATGCCCGGCTTGAATGTCATGTCAGGAATTGACAAGCAGATTCGCACGGTTTCCATAAAGGTTGATAAGCTGGGACTTGAAGGAGATGAACACGACCCTACATTTCATGGCGGCCTAGACAAGGCTATCCTTGGATGTAAATAGTTTCCTTCATTTCCGATATCAACGACTCTAGACTAATAGACTGGCTTTACAGATTGCTCTTCTCATTATCCGTCGTGGCAAGAATCTTATCCCGACAGAGTCGATAAGTTCGTCCCTGGGGGTTTTGGAGAGAACTTTGTCACGGCGCACATGAATGAACGAAATGTCTGTATTGGTGACGTTATCTCTGTTGGTTTAGAAGTGATCCTCCAAGTATCCCTTCCACGGCAGCCGTGCTTCAAACTCAACCATCGCTTCTCGTTGAAGAATTTCGCCCCTGAAACTTACAAGACTAGCCGCACTGGATGGTATTACCGCGTCCTCCGCGAGGGCACCGTCAACGCTGGCGATGAGCTGAAGCTAGTTGAGAGGAAATGGCCAGAGTGGACTATTGAACGGGTCCAAGAGTATCTGCATCGCGTGACTGACAATGATGAAATGAACGAGAAGCTGGCTGAAGTTGAAGCTCTCGGTAATGAGGCGCGCAAGCAATTCCAGAGACGCGTGGCCAAGGCGCAAAGACGGAAAATGCAAAAGAAAGAAGACGCTTGGGAGAGCTTCAAGGTGATCAGCCGCAAAATTGAGACGCCAAGAACCATTTCACTGGTAATCGAAGCCCCCCCGAAGCCCCATTCTGAGAAATACCCAATCGGAGCACATGCAAGACTCAAGCTTGGAAATGGCCTTGTTAGAGCATACTCTGTGGTGTCAAGTAGCGGAAGTGGAGCTGAGCAAATTAGAAGATTGGAGTTTGGTATTGCTCTTGACGCAAATAGTCGAGGCGGGTCGCGGTATATTCACCAATCTCTCAAAGAGGGAGATACCATCCAGGTGAGCAATGTGACGAGCGATGTTAGCGGAACAACAGGAGCGGCAAGCCATCACGTTTTTATAGCCGGAGGCATTGGCATAACTGCATTCATGGACATGATGTACAAATACGACAACATTAACTGGAGCTTTCAACTCCATTACGCTGTACGGTCTTCCAACGACATCCCTTTCCGAGACCGGTTGGAATCATATGGGGACAGAGTGATTATATACGACAAGTCTAAGGGCCAAAGGATGGACATCAGCAACATCATGAAGACCCTTCCCTGGAATAGCTACACATATGTTTGTGGGCCCAACCGTATGATGGAAGCAGCCAAAACCACCGCCGACGAGGCCGGCATTTCGCCGCAAGAGATACATTTTGAAGCTTTTTCCGCTGACACCACCGGGGATCCATTCGAGGCACAAGTCGCCAACCGCAATAATAAAGTTGTCAAAGTCGGAGAAGAAGAGAGTTTATTGGAGGTCTTGAAGCGGGAGTTTGGTGATATTCCTTCAAGCTGTGAAGTGGGTAATTGCGGCACATGCAAAGTTTCTGTTATAAATGGGCAAATCATTCATCGAGGCTCAGCGCTCATGCCGGATGAAAAGGACGTCTCCATGCTGTCATGTGTGAGTCGTGGCGTGGGAAGAATTACTATTGAGGTGTAGATGCTTGATGCGAGCAAGATGACTGTTTTTTCATAGAAGACTGTGATTTACTTATGCGAGATATATTACATCTTTTATTCTACTTGTACTAGAACTTCCTCTAGTATCACCAGCTCGTGTGAAGGCAACGTCTATTTATTCTTGGGAACATTCATCACACGAGATCTAAGAGCTGTCCATGCAGAATCGCTAATCAGCTTTGTGAAAGAGCTCTTAGTATAATTATTCCCACCTAAGTAGTATCTAACGGCGAGATGGCCGAGTTGGTTATGGCGTCAGGTTAAGGCTACCTTAACAGCAATTCCTGGTGGAGCAATCCGCGTGGGTTCGAGTCCCACTCTCGTCATTTTTTGCTATTCTGAATATCTGCAGAACAGTTCTTTTTTTATTTATTTTTATTATTATTTACCTAGAATATTATATTTTTGATTTCTCCTCAAAGCATTCCTTGATTTCGTTTTTGACTTATGGCAATAGTATTCTTTATTTGCTTGCGCAGTGATACATGCAGACAGACGCACTAAGTACGACTGCAGAGGCCGGTTCATATCGATACGGAAGTGGGGCCAATTTTTTCTCAAGATCTGAGCATCAAACGCCAGCAAAACTTCGTTCTTATGCGAGAGACGCATAGCTGCTACCTCCTAAACATCTCGCCAAAATGGCTCCTTTAGATGCGACTGGCGATCAGTTCGCCATTCTGCCCATTCAGATGCCTCCGGCGCCTTCATTCCCAGAGACAGCTATTCATGAAGTACGGATACGAAGAAATGCGCCCAAAATCCCAACGGCGAATGATTCTCGCAGTCTCTTCCTGAAAAATATTCCTGCAGACAGCACAGAGCCTCATTTTAGGGCAATTTTCACCGATCTTGTCGGCGCCGGACGATTCGAGACTATAACCTTCGAAGACGACAACAAAGCCGCTGCTGCGATCGATCCTGCCCGAGCGATCAAGATTGCTGGATTTGCGCGTAAACGTAAGAGAGGAGATGTGGAAGATGAAGAGAGAGCTGAAGAAGAAGCTGCACGACTACCTGATATCTGGACACGCCAGCTGCATAGAAGCAGTAGCACAGCTATCGTGTTGCTTGCTGATGATAAGAGCGTACAACTCGTCCTCAAGGCGATTGCGAAACTCCAAAAGACCAAAAAATATCCTGTATGGGGCCAAAGCATCTCCGGTGACGTCCAGTCGCTGGGTTCACCATGGGTCTCTTCCCATTTACGGCTCTGCCGCGCCAACAAGGCGGAGATACAAAAGGCTACACACGCATTCTTCAATGTATTCAACAGGAAAGAGAAGGAAGCTGCTGAACTCAGCAAGCGACTGCGCAACGAGCCTGATGAGGATGGCTTCGTTACTGTTACACGTGGCGGAAAGGTCAATCCGGCGAATCAGTTCGAGGCCGAGGAGGCTAGACGAAAGATGGTAGAGAAGGCGGACAAGAAGAAGTCTGAGTTGAAGGACTTCTACCGATTCCAGCTGCGAGAGCGACGGAAGCAAGAGCAGGCGGAACTGCTGAAACGTTTCGAAGAGGACAAGAAGAAGGTCAATGCGATGAAAGAGAAGAGAGGAAAGTTCAAGCCGGAGACATGATGCAAAGGGGCCTCTCTCGGATGATCAATGAAGTGAAGTGAGTTGAGATTTCATTTACTTGGGCTTTTTTTTTTTTTTTTTTCTTTTCTACGAAACGCAAGCATGATGACGCACGCGGGGCCATCGAGAGGCTAGAAGAGATCTCAGGTTCGCCTGGCTCAATTCTGGCTGATGTCGAAAACAACCGCGTAACAACAATCTTCTCAACTCTTCTGAGGCTTGGATAAACAGACGAGACGTTTTTTTATGAAATAATCTGCGATGAAGGTGGTATTAACGCCGTATCTAGGAACACTGGAGTTATTGGCTGGACGAGGGCCTCGAATGTACGAACAGGAACGATTTCTTATGTGGGGTAGATGTATAATCTCGGTATCATCTTCTAGAGGGATTGCGGCTTCGTTAATACCCCGTTCACCAACTTACTGGCTCCGTTTCAGTGAGTTACCGTCACATTAATTTGCAAGTTGAGCGCTACATACCACTGAAGTCGCTAGAAAGCTCACCAATGAGGATATCGTGCCACGGGAATGTGGGCATATGATGATACCACCAATGTATATAGATATAACAAAAGCATATATATTCTAAACAAGTACGGATTCAGTTATCCTATCATGTGCCCATCATGTCTGGGTCTTGTCGTTTAATATTGAGAGACGTACAGCACAAATCAAGTTTAAGTAAGAGAAACAAGTTTGAGTGAGAGCCTTAGTGAAGCGATTATATGAACATATATTGAATGCAAAAAGGTAAAAAAAATTTTTTTTCAGATCAATTTTCTGCCTTCTAAGATAACTATTGTCTGTTGCAAGTGGCTACGATTTTAGCACTTGCATGGCATATTTGATGCGTGGATGGTTTGTTTGAGCACCCTTGCTTAGTCATGCAAAGCTTATCCGGCGTTGTTTACTTCCTCCACATGGCAACCAAAACCTTGCGGTCGCATAGGGCCACCACCAAGCTCAGTCTACCTGCGATCAACAGCTCGATTTTGTGTTGGCGCATGGCAATAAGATAGAGACTGACTGCCTGAGTTATTTCGCCATATTTTACTCGAGCTGTTGCATCTAGTCAACATGATCGATGCAGAGAATCTTTGGACGGCTTCGCAGTACATCAACAATCAACTGCTGTCGAGGGGACTTCTTCGAGATGGCCGCGACATCGATTTCACAGGCCTTGGAGAAGAGCAGTATAGTACTGCAGAGACTGCGAGTCGCATCATAAGCATCCTGAATGATCTCATTATCCGACGAGATGTACGTTTTAGGCACTCTCACCAGGTCTAATAAAATTAGCCATTCAAGCTAATAACCACCAGCGAGATGCGGAGCAACGCGAATCCCTCTCAGCAGCGCTGCGAAATATTAAAGCGGAGAATTTGAAATACACAAACGACATTGCCCGACTATCAGAGAAAGCCGCCGAAGCACAGCGCAGAAGCGATATCGCCACGGCTTCCGAAGCTTCGCTCAAGACCCAGCTCAAGTCAGCAGAGTCGACCGTGCGAGGACTCAAAGATGAGCTGGCGCGTACAAAAGGATTAGTGGCACAGGTGCGAACGGCATGTGCAACTGAAGTACGGAGACGCGATCGACAAATCGAAAGTCTCAAGAAGCAGGTTGGCGAGGCGGGTCGTGCGAGAGGAACAAGGACCAGCTCTGGGGTCGTGTCGATTACCGTGACAGGTGATGTGGGCAATGAAAGCAGGAGGTCGCTCACACGTGGAGGAAACATTGAAGACGAAGATTATTCCTTGCGTACCGAGACAAACTCTTTCCTTGCTAGCTTGGCGCAGAACTTGAGCGAGGAGAACGAAACTCTCTTGAATGTCGTGCGGCAGGCGAAAGATCGTTTGTGCGAGATGAGTGGATGGAACAGCGAAGAGAAAAAAGAAGATGCTGAGGTTGTGAAGCCGCAAGGCTGGCAAGAGATGGCATCGGAGCTGGGTGCTGTGATGGAACACCTGAGAACAATCTTAACGAACCCATCCTTCGTGCCAATTGAAGAGGTTATGGTGCGAGAGGAAGAAATCGATCGTCTTAAAGCTGGTTGGATCAAGATGGAGAGTCGATGGGAGGATGCTGTTCATCTGATGGATGGCTGGCGGAAGAGAATGGCTAAAACCGGAAAACCTATTGGGGAAGAAGATCTCAAGATGGGACTACATTTGAGCCCGGTTCGCGTCTCTAATGTTGAGGAAACAAGAACCGGACGAGAACCTGGCCTGCCAGCCGTGGCAGAAGAAAGCGAAGAAGAGGAAGAAGAAGAGGATGAGTTGAAGCGTTCGCCTTGTCGTCCTAAAGGACCATACCACGTAATGGCTGATGACGCGGACGCGGATGAAGAGGTTGGCGATCTCGAAGAGGACATTTATGGTTATAGTAATGATGAATCAGGTGGCGTTGACGATAACGACGGCAATGACGACGGCGATGATGGCAACGATGACGGCGACAATATGGAAATCGATGACTATAATGTTGGAGCACCGGATAACCATGTCTCAGCGAGTGAACAAACTTCGGGGGCGGCTGATGATAATATTCGACGATTTATGGACTCAGAACAACCTCCAATACCGCCGCCTCACTTAGTTCCTCTTCAGAATTCTTCTTCAGCTGGCAATCGTGGTCCGTTGCAAACTAGACATCGACAGAAGCCTAGTGGCTCCATCATGCAGCAGTCAACTGCAGTTACCAGTGCCGAAGCTTCTGATTTCGCGTCTATTCGAGCTGCAAGGCAGCCTGCAACTTCCCAAAGGCAGCGACCTGATGCCGCAAAGACAACCAAACCTGAAGAGCGGCCCCTCGTTGCATCGACCTCATCTCTGGATGAAGCTCTACTGTCAAACTACCGAGCAGAAGAACATCCGTCCTCTCGAAGCGGGCCTGCGGTTGGCGCCAGTTCTAACACGGGAGGCATACGATCCAACCCACGTCGTATGCCTGTCCGTCTGGCACCAACACAGGCAAACAGAGTCTCGCGGCCACAGTTTGGCAGCTCACCATCTAAAGCTGCGATTGCCGCTAAGCTCGCCGCCTCAGAAAAGCAAGCTGAGGCTGCGCGCGCGAAACTCCAAGCCCTTCGCACCTCGAAGACTGCTCAAGGACCAGCGGTGGCCTCTGCCACAGAGCTGTCGAGACCCTCGGCGGCGGCAAGAATAAACGCTTCGGTAAGCGGTCGTCCCAGGAGCACTAGTCCGGTAAAGCGCGAAGTTGCGCAGCAAGAAGCACAGAAACCTGAGAAACGCAAGAGGGATATCCGGGTGGCTAAAGTCTCGTCGAGACGGAGGAGCACGCTCAGTCCTTTAGAACTCCAAGGCTTGATATCTGGCAATGTTGAATGAGAATATGGTAGACATGAACGATCGTTGAGAAGTTTGGATGATTGCATGGCTTGGAATTTATGATACTGCAACAGTGACGTTTTTTATCTGGATAAGACTTGTTCATAAGGGTGTCTTTGAGCGGAGAGGAGAATTTTGGCTTGGCGTTTAGGGGTTACAAGATATCGCTATTTACTAACGACGGGATATATCATGAACACTGATTGATTATTATGATACTTTGCTAGTAAAAATGAATATGAAAATAGCCTTTGGAAATAACGAAAATGATTATTTGTACTAGCTATCATTGAAAATTACCTCCTTATATCGAAAGAACGCCGAGTTAAGCTTTAACGGTATTATACGTGACTGCTTTTACTTGCCTTCCCAAGCTTGCCCGAGACCTTTAAGCATTGCAACCACTGCTTCCCCTTCCGAAGATCGAGGGAACGAATTAATGAGCGAGATTCCATATTCCAGAATGCCCATCGCGTCGGTCAGAACTACTACCCCTTCATCCAGACGTGTTAAAACCGGTATATACTTTTCACTCCAGTTGGTGTTGCGAAAACAAGCATCTTCAGGAGCAACGCCGTCAATAGCAACAATGCAGAGCCCAGGCGTCGGCAAGTTCGTTTCTGGCACTACATCCATGGGATTCTGCTGCCAGAGATCTTCCATTGGGAATACTGACGATGATGCCTCTGGGATATTTGGGTCCGAATTGACAGGCGCAAGGTGAGAAGCGGCCCATAATGTCAAGATTGCTCTGCGCACGGCTGCTGGCCACCACCAGGGGCGTGCGGCGGCGCCGATGCCGCGAAGGTGTCGTAGCGCTTGGCCGCAGTGGAAAATGGCCTCTTGGCGACTGCGGAAACCTCCCTGATTTTGGAGAAAGCGTTGCCAGAAGGTGAGGTCGAGGATGCCTGGGTTGGTAAGTCGCTCGATGTCTGCTAGATTGGCTGCCAGGTTGAGGAATATGAAATGGTAAAGGATCAGGCCAAGTATGGTATCGCTTGTATATGCTTCTTGCTCGATATGAGCTTCCGTGGCAAGTATATACCACGATCGAAGAAGTCTCTCCGTTTCTAGCACGCTGGAGGCAGCTATGCCGCTAAACACCAGAGAGGGGGTGCTCCTTGCCCACGAAAGTAGGCTCCGTGACTGATATGTCAAAGACTGGAGCGGGTGGAGGAGAAGCTGAAGATGTCGTGGTGGCACTCTGCCTGGTAGTAAAGTGCCGTGAATAAAGTCTTGGAGCAATTGCTTCAAGGTTGGACGAAGCTCAAAGCTTGGTGGCTTCGCCGCGCTGATGTCTGAGTATAGGCCATCGATCAAGTACCAGTAGCTAGTCTGTATGATGGATCTAGTATGGCACGGAAGGTTGGGATCGGGAAGAGGACGTGCCAAATCGGAGAGAGAAAGTGCCTGCTCAACATCGTGGAACAAGCTCAGTTCTTGGTCCAGTTTGACCCAGTTGTATGCCAATCTGTATGAATAGTTAGAAAACAAAAAATTGGGAAGCTTTTTTAATCAACAGAGACGTGCCTATCATGATTTAAACGTTGGCTATCCACATGCGGCTGTTGATGATGAAGCCGTACTGATTCATCAATATGAATGTTTGGACGGTGACTGTCAAAAAGCCCCTTTTTCTTAAGCCTTCTTATCCAGATCTTTGCAGAATTTAGCTTTGGGATTTCTGGTAAATACGGATGATTGAGGGCGCCGCCAACATCGAGGACGGGATTGCAAAGATCGCCTTGAAAGCTGGATGTGTCTTTACCAGCGTGTTGCGGGTAGCCGATAAAGTCTGCATAATTCTTGATCTCTTGGAACGAGTGCATTTCCGGCAGCGATATTAGCTCATTGGAGCAATCATCCGTATTCTCTGTATGGCATCGAAAGGCGTTCGGCACGTTTATCGAAACGTCACCATCGATGAGGTCCATCTTTGTAGAAAACTCTGAAAATCCAATGTTTATAGGTGAATTTTGGCCATGTTCAAAGACGTTTACGTCCGAATAGGATGAACTGCCCAAAGATGTGGCGGCGGCAGAGTAGCCAGACAAGGGCGAAAGAGGGTTAATGAAGACATCTCGGATATGGCCATCATACTGATCTGGACCCCCGTGAAGGTGCTGTATCGGACTTTGGAGTATATTTTCAGAGTTAACGTGTTCGACCGTCGATGTAAGAAGGCTGTTTGTCGATAATGACGCCGCTTGTGCTGCTGCTCGAATTGCGGCTTTAGACGCTCGACGGGCGTATCGTGCGATGCATTGGAGATTCTTTTCAAGGCATCTTGAGCATGGTATCTTTTTATCACAACCAGTTTTTGCACTCGCGCAGTTTTGGCAGGCGATGAGCGTTCGTCCAGATATAAAGAGGTGGCTGAAAGGCCCAGGGGGGGGCTCGACGTGGCCTTTTGACCTGTGAAGCTTCATAATTCCGGTGATTTTGATACAAGGCGCCTATAATGGAAGATGGAAACAGGAGCTCGTCGAAAGTGGCTACTAGCTGGAATATGGTAGCGCGGACGCCAGTAATGGTTTGTCTAATACGAGGTAGTAAATGCCCTGTAATCCGTCTTGTAGATTACTCTTCCTGGCAAATAATAAAGGCATGGGAAGCACCGTTTGCAGTATCAATGATTCTAATACCTGCTTACGAATCAAGAACAACGATATCGAGAAGTTCGGCTGTTTGAAGAAAGTTGCTGGCTTACGACGGCGATATCGCCCAAGTAGCTCGTTAGCAACGCTGAGAGCGGCTACGAGACTTGTTAAACCCATTAAAGAAGGTGCCGCGAGAAAGCCACCGCTTTAAGCTGCTGTTGATGAAAGGAGGATGCTTTTTGTGGACAACGAAATTTATTTGTGTTGCGCATACGCCCTTACCATAGGTGCATTACTCATTTTGTGGAAAAAGTTTGATAATTGGCTAAAGAAGATTTGGCAAAAGCATCATGTCGACGTGAAACCGACATACATTATGACCTTTATAATAGTATATGGAATAGATGTAGCCAAAGAACCTGCTGCTACGCTGTTGGAGGGCTGTTGGGTCATAATGTCATGGGCTTTCTGTCGTCTTACATTCTATAAAGACAAAGTAAGCATCAGCTTCACGGCCACTAATCTAAAGCAATTGAGCTTAGGTACAGTAGCTCCTGGTGTGTCTATTCCAAAATATAGGACGATACTTCTTTGGCTACAATAATGCTAAAATTCAATAGAACTGCCAGGAAAACCAGCTCCAAGAAACCGAAAGAAGAAGAGGTAAAGATGTTGGCAAAGCGGATTATCATTGGCACTGGTGGCGAGGTTCGACTTGGTGCATGTTAGCTGCGTCATCGCCGTGGCTCACTGCGTTCTTTGATATATGGCACTCAAGTTAGGGGCAAGGCTTAGCAGGTAGCATACAGTGCTCTTTCGCTTCAACAGTCGGATGAAATGAGATAGAGCAACAAGTCTCTGCTGATAGTTTCAAGACTGTTTGTAAATTCACATCCGAAGTACCATCATCTTCGTCAAAGTACGGGACTGCACCTGCAGCAAGCTGGAGAAATAAATTGGCAATAAGTATTAGTTTTCGTTGATGCCTTTGGAAGCCTTTCCTCTGGAATAATCTTTTCATTGTTGGCTGCCAACATGGGATTGAGAAGAGCTGCTGTAACCTGTTGAACCGAGACTGACGTGGTTATTCTTCCATTAGGCCTTTCAGATGACAGCCAGTTTCCAGTAGCATATCGCCTTATTTTCGACCAGTTCGTTTTCCACATTTGGTTTTAATGGTGGTAATCTGGTGAAAGCCAAATACACTCAATCATGATATTTAGTATCATTTAGCTTGTATGAAAATATGTTGCATCTACTATGGAGAGGGTGCCCCCATATGCAAGCCACACTGGCTAAGTTTGATCTTTTGAAAGCCCTCGTTTGCTAATGCTGCAGTTCCAAGCGCAAATACACGAGGTGGTTGCTTTAGCCTTCAACGATTGTCTCACATATAATATCCCGTATAGTTGAGTGGCTACCGCTGTGAAACTGTGTAACAGTATGTTATACGTGTTCTGGCTGACGTGTGGTGCGAAGTTGGAGCTGAGTCTATAAGACCACGCGGACCGTTGACCTAGCGGCTGGCTAGTCCCTGGTGTAGCATCTTGGTCAAGTCTCCTGCGGCTCGCGATTCGCCTGGCTTTGGAAGCGGTGGGCGCAGTGATGAGCCGGTTTGGATTCGTTGGCCTTTTTGTTGCACAAACTACGCAGCGGAATTCTGGCTTTGGTGGAGGGTCAAGATATTTACAGCCGAGAATCATGGACGTTGTATTGATTCAGCTCGGCCGTTAAGCTCGCCTTGATCAGCTTGGAAATGGAAAGTGGCACTTAAAAAGAGGAAAATATGAAAAAAATTTCCTCTCCGAAGAAGGACATAACTGAGGCCCTTCATTGTAGGCTGATCCCATGATGGAATCAAGTGCCACGAGTATCTGTGAGTCGTGCAACATACAGGTCCTCGAGATGGACCGGCTGAACTATCCAAAGATCCGAGTTCTCGCATCGTTTCACAAATAAATAGATGAACAACAATAAATCAATAAATAATAACACCGTTGACGGTTAGCAGAGAAGGAAACGTGGACGATCATGGATCTATTCCATGGTTTCTGCGTCTGAAAGCAGGAGAGGCGGACTCGCAGATGATTGGACTCTGCGCCTCACTGAGGGGCTACCAGTAATACGAGAAGTCGGCACTGAGGTATGGGATTAGTTATCGTCGACTTTTGCCAGAGTTTGTGGGAGATGTGGGAGAATATAAAAAAGACGAAGCGTTTAATTTCCTTGTGTTAAATGGCGGCAATCACGAGTTGATTAAGAATTGAGGTCGGAAGGTGCTATAGGCATAGCACTCACAGTACATGAGAAGGCAGGAAGCACTAACGTATAGCACCCAAGGTACCTAAAATTACTACCTAGTACCTGCCTTACCTGTTTCCAGTTGGCTTAGTACCTACTTTGCCAACGCCACGCATATTTAATTCTGAAAAGGAGCATATCTGGTTACTGTTTTTACGTTGATTTATTTCCAATTCCAGGCATTTGCTTCTATTGGGGGATACTTGTAATATCAAGGCGAGAATCTGGAGGGTACATGTAACCTTGGCAGCAGCAGCTGACAAGTGGGCAGCTACAAAATGCGACTCTGGTGGGATAAGCTCACAGCTGACAAGTGGGCAGCTGCCTAGCCACATCTGGTCTCTATCCGGCCTCTCACGCCTCTCACTCTCTGCAGCTCAGCGCGACTCGCAGCATCAACAATCATCCGCACAGGACGGAGAAGCGCAGCCTCGTTGCATCATGAAGCCCATTGTTGCCGTGCCGGCGGTTGCGGCCCTTGTGTACAGGGCGTGGAGCAAGAAGTCTCTGACCCCAGCAGGCATCGCTGCCGCCACGGCCACGGCCATTGCGCATGCCTATCATCCGTGGAATCTGCCATTTGTCCTCCTCGTCGTCTTCTTTTTGGCGGGCACGCGAGTCACACACGTGAGTGGAAGTAGATGGCCGTCTGGCCTTGCAGCCAAGGAAGAGAGGAAACAAAGGCTGACGACGAAACCAGGTCAAGGAAAATGTTAAAGCTACGCTCACGCTGAGTGCAAAGGGATCCTCCGGCGGCGAAGGCCCTCGCACGCATGTTCAAGGTATGTTGGCGGCTGCCGCTTACGGTTGAAGCTCTAGCCGTCTAAACAAAGGCTAAACATATCGTCAAGTCTTTGCCAATTCGCTCGTGGCATCTGTTTTGTCTGTTCTCCATGCCAACCAGCTCTACGCTCGAGCTGCTGCCCTCAAAACCCCAGGTGGCCCGGAACCCAGCGGATCAATGTGCTTCTCGTGGGGAGGCGACCTCTTTGTCATCGGCATCATCGCTAACTATGCTGCGGTTGCGGCTGACACGTTCAGTTCGGAGCTTGGTATTCTATCCAAGAGTGAACCCCGCCTTATCACATCCCTTACGCTGCGAAAGGTGCCCCGTGGCACAAACGGCGGTGTGACGTTATTGGGCTTGGGAGCTGGGCTGTTGGGATCTATCATCATCGTCACGGCGTCTATGCTATTCCTACCAATGTGCAACGAAGAATCAGCTGCCTGGACTCGTGGAGGTGGTATTCCTTGGACGGCGGAAAATAGACGGCTACTTATGGGCTTTTTGGCCCTGTGGGGCGTTCTCGGCAGTGTCTTGGACAGTTACCTTGGTGCCATATTCCAGCGCTCAGTCAAAGATGTGCGTACTGGAAAGATTGTCGAAGGTGACGGCGGCACTCGCGTCTTGGTATCTGGCGAGGCCGATGGCTCCGATAAGCTAGCTGATATCAAAGCCTCATTACTGCACGGTGAGGGTAGCAAAGCTACAGAAAAGACATGTTCAGCAGCTGTCGATGAATCTGATGAGTTTGTCGATAAATTCGATCCCAAGAACAAGCATAGGAAGTCTAGCTTCGGAGATGAGAAGCCTTCTCGCATAGTTGAAAATGGCTGGGATCTACTTGACAACAACGACGTCAATTTTCTCATGGCTGTCACCATGAGCGTTAGTGCGATGGCGGTGGCAAGTTGGTACTGGGGAGTTCCTTGGCAAAGTATGCTAACTCCTTGAGGTGGAGGCATTAGAGATGTTGCTGATAGAAACTGGTCATATATTTACCATTTCGTTCTACCTGAGATTAGTGATGTGCAGACATTAACAAAGAGTTGGAATTGGGACAAGATTGTCTTCAGGGGTGCAACGCTCATATAGGGGACGTAGTATACTTTATAAATCCGGTGATGAAAGTAGTTTTCATTGAAAAATAGGTGATGGAAAGGAAATAGAACTCTACTCAATATGCTGTTGATACTATGAAAGAACATGGAGGCAGGAAATGTGGTACTGATGACTACCTAATTTAGAATATACCAGTAGGTGGCCAACGGGTGAGTGATGGACTATAGAGGCCAGACTCAGGAAATGAAGTGTAATAACTTGCAACTTTCGCCGTCTTGATCTGCTTGCTGTGGTGACAATATTACAATCCAACCCGTATTCCAGGCAGAGAAGATGGAATCTTTATCAACGACGGGGAGCTAGTTATACAGGTTTCACATACATTTCTAGAACGCACACCGGTTTTGATGATTCTGATCGTGTACTGGAGATGCAATCATAGTTATTGGCTATGATGCTTACGAAGCCATGATATATGGTTGCCATGTAGAATGTGCTGTCATCAGACTTTATCAATATTCGAGTAACATCACGCCTGGCTGTCAAAGGAAAATGAAGCATACAAGATGTGTAAGTATAATATTTGGTAATTTTCATATCCATACCCAACCTTCAAATACCGTCACGCCATTCTTTTTCTCATCTTGTATAAAACTTCTTATTCAACTTTGAAGCTAGCCCCCCCAAAGCAGTCGCTTCTCCTTTCTGTCAACTCGCTCATTTATCCCACCTCAACAACTCTCCTCAAAGCGACAGTGTGTGCCAATACCACCTGCATAATTACTCGCTTACCTGGTCGAAATCACTTGCGCCGAACTGCTTCAATGCCACCCGCCGCCCACCACCCGCCGAACCCCAATCTGCCAGCTGCCCCTACACCCACCCGCCGAACCACACATGCATGACCTTCAATCCGTTTGCACTTGAGGAATGAATTTAAAGAGAAATTTTTTTTTTCCTCCCACGTTTTTTTTTTTCCCTTCAGCTCCCTTTCTTCCATCTCAACCTTTCTTTCTAATACAGCCTCTTGTCTTGTCGTTTAATTTGGACGCCTCCATTGAATAGACTCTTTCTTTTTGGTCAAAGGAAAAAAAAAAAAAGAAGAAAATTACAAAAAGCTCACATTACTCATTTTAACTCTTGGATTAAGGGGAAACAAAAAAAAGAACATAATGTCTCGTCCTATCTCAATCTCAATGGAAGATGCTCAATTTGCTCGCGATATCGCTTCGGGAGTCTGCATCATCGACATCCCGCCCGCTCAGGCCCCTATCCCTGGAGGTCTCGAGTCACCGGCCACTTCTGTCGCTACTAGCGAAGAGACCAAAGTTCCTCAGGAGCCCATTGTTGACGCCGGCGGCAGTGACAGCAGCATCCCAGATGGTGGTTTGCGAGCTTGGCTTGTCGTCGTCGGCGGGTTCTTGGACTTTGCTATTGCTTTTGGTAAGTTTTGCTTTTGGCCTTTTTTACTTTTCTTTTGTGCTATAAATGCTTTGTATGAGTTAACATATATTCTGCAATGTCAAAAATGTCGAAGTAAAAAAAAAAAAAAAAAAAAAAAAAAAGAAATAGAAAAGTTGAAACTAATCTGTGTTAAATAGGACTTGTAAACTCTTTTGGCACTTTTCAGGCTCGCTACGAAACTCGATGGACTTGGCTTTCTACATCCACTATCACTTGGATTGGCAGCGTTCAGGTATGTCACAAAAAAAAAAAAGAAAAAAAAGAAAAAAACAAGCTTAGACATGCTCTTGTTAGCCTGGCTATATGCTAATTCGTCTTCTCCTCCCTGCACAGCTCTTCATTCTCTTCCTCGGTGGCGCCGTCGTTGGCCCCATCTACGACAAATACGGTTCTCGAGCCCTCATGTTTTCCGGCACCGCAGTATGCCTCCTCTCTTTCATTTGCTCTAGCTTTGCTACTCACTACTATCAATATCTCTTGTCCCAAGGCATCCTTCTCGGCATTGGCAATGCTTTGCTGTAAGTCTGCCTTTCCTAACAATGCCATCAAAGGAATCAAATGAACTAAAAGAAAAATTTTTTTTCTTCATCCTCTCTATCTAGCTTCTATCCTGCAACCGGAGCCATCTCAGAATGGTTCAACCACAAACGAGGCCTCGCCCTTGGCATCGCCCTCTCAGGCTCCTCCGTCGGCGGCATCTTCTGGCCCCTCATCATCAACAAGCTCTTCACCGTCCTAGACGCCTCCTGGGTCCACCGAATTATTGCTCTCATCTCTATTCCCATCCTCCTAATCGCCTGCTTCCTAGTCAAGGAGCGAAACGACACCGAGGACTGCCAGATCAAGTCTTCCCAGAGGAGCATTCGCAGCGCCGTCTTCGAGTGGCGCTTCTTCTGGCTCTGCCTATCCCTCTTCTTCATCTACGGCGGCATGCTCATTCCCTTCTACTTCATTCCTCTGTTTGCCATTCAGCACGGCGTGGGGTCCACCATGGCCAACAGTCTCCTCGCGATTGGATACGCGGGTTCCTTCGTCGGCCGTGTGGGGAGCGGCTGGATCGCGGACCGCCTCGGCCGGTAAGTCCCCACTTTGCTCCCGGGGACGGGGCAGGCACTTACTGCGGATAATCACTAACGCGAGAAAACTCACCAGATTTAATGTATTATTTGTAATGGGTGTCTTGACCGCCGGTATTACCTTCTGCTGGGTCGCCATGACGACTCTTAGCTCGATGATTGCCTTCACCCTTCTATTCGGACTCTTCTCCGGAGGCCTCATCCCTCTAGGATCTGCCTGCGTGGCGCAAACCACTCCGGATATGGGTCACATCGGCCTGCGTATCGGCTTCATGATGGCTTTTGCTTCTTTCAGCGCCTTATCCGGCGGACCTGCAAGCGGTGCTATAAAGGACGCAACCACCAGCTGGTTCTCCGTCCAATCCTTCTCTGCATCACTTATTCTTTTCGGAGCAATGATGATCTTTGGACTGCGTCTTTGGTTGCAGCCTCTTCGTGAAGGGAGCGTGTTCTGATTTAATGGTCAGCTGGAATGAATACATGCTCTAGCTGTCAGACTTATGCGAATCTACCCTAGCCATAATCGACTCTGACTTTGGGTATATGAGATGACTACATAGTAGAAGCGTTAGATGCATGGATTCGGCGCACTCGTCTTTTTTATAAGTATATACTGAACGGAAAATGGCGATAGGGGCAAGGAATAGGGTTTAATATATAAGACGAGAAAGATAATGAAAAGGACAGAAATGTCCTAGATTAAATAGATAGCAATCATTACCAGTCAGTAATCAGAACAACTTTTGACGGCCTTCCCCATTAACATGGATATCTATATAATGCTCCGAGGTTGACATTGCGCTGCCATGACAAGAAGCAGGCGTCTCATGTGGAATTGCTTTAGCCTAAGGTGAAACGAGCGCCAAGTCCTCTCCCGCCTCATCTGGTATATCGCTACTGTTTTATCCAAGGTCGAACTGAAATACAAAAAATATAAAATGATTTCGAGCTGACATAGTTACTATACAGTCTCTGAAAAGTGGAATATGAAAGCCTAACCCGTCTCATCTCGCCAAACTCAGACACCATCAAACATACAGTAGTATAAAGAAGGCTTTGACAAAATGAAATCAAGTCCAGAAAGGTATCGATGATTTCAATTCTAACGATCCGCTCCGTTTTCCAAATTCGAAAACAGAAGAAGAATAGAAGTGATGTTGAGAAACCCAAAAAAAAAAAAAAAAAAAAAAAAAAAGAGGGAAAGCTCCTCCATAGCAGCAGCCTAGTCCTCAGATATTGGATGTCGGAGCTAATAAAAAAGAAAAGAAAGAAACAGGAGCAATAGCAGGCTAAGTCGTCCCATTTAGGGAGGTTGACAGACCTCGACTACTTCTTTCGACCCTTTGATCCTCTTGGGATGGGTGAGTAGTCTTGTATAAAATGTGCGTCCTCCAAGCATTCGGTAACAACCGGATTGATAAAGACGTGATGCTGCAGCCCAGCCTTGAAAATGACCCTCATGAGGTTTGTTCTGAAATAGAGAGACCAAGTATCGATCTTGGCAACATGGTTACCAAGCCTCAACTTGCATCGGTAACCGTACTCTGCTTGTCCATCATCGGTACGCTGCGCGACGGGTACATGTTCACCCTTTTCGGGAACGTATATAGCAGTAGAGTAGAAAGGGCCAACGCCCCTCTCGAGAGAGGTTACCACGCTGAGCAGGTTTTCTCGTAAGCTCCGGCGGTGCTTCCTCGATACTGATTTAGCACTCAGTTTAGCTAGTTCGCTCAGACGACCGGCTAATCTTTGCGGATCATACTGGAGCTGGAACGGCTCCCCGGTCTCTTCAATGTGATTCCGTGATGCTTCAAAGACGAGGGCGATACAGCCGCCAGCATTAGACAGGATGTCAACGTCATCGCTATCCAGCTGATCCACAAACGCATCCATGGCTGCATCGGCATAATCAGAAAAGTCAGCCACATGGCTAGCAACAAAACACCAGCCCTGAAGAGCGGCTGCGACAATCTCGACATTGTCATGAGCCTCGATTGACTCTCCATCTGTTCGCACAATCTCAACCAAAAATTCCATCACCTCCAGTGCAGCCTCTTCTAGACCACCGCCATATAATACTGTAATACAGAGCGCGTAGATTGCATAGATGCGGCAGTCGTCGTCGTCGTCGTCCATCATTACTTGCTTGAGTATCCTCTGCGCTCCATCGAAGACCTCTAAAGACCCAACCGTTCCGACTGTGAGAGCAAAGGCATGCAGACTCAAAAGGCGTTCCTTTGCTGTGGCAGCTCGATTTGAATCGTGAAGGAAAAGGTCTGCCAGCTCGCTTGCGGCATCGTCTAGCCAAAGATGAGTTTCGGCGGTATAATGGTTGCGAACTGCCTTGATGAAGGCATTGAGGAAATATTCTCGCATCTCGCTATTATTACGTTTTCGATCTCGGAGGCCATCAATAAGAGCCCTTGTGTCGAAAACTGGAGCATGTGGCTCGTCGCCATTTTCGTCGACAGACTCGCCCGAGTAGACACTTGAAGCCATGTCGTCTAATTCAAAATCGCCGTCTTCGTCGCTGACATCGGATGTGACGCGGCTATGCGCCGCGGAATGGGTGGGCGAGGTTAATAGCGACGGAAGGGGAGAACTTCGCGGCGTTGCGCTTCCTGACGCACGGCCGGATTTAATAGCCTTCTTGGAGACGGTCTTTCCATTGCCCTTGAGGGCCTTGACTCGAGCGTGGTTCATCATCTTGAGAACTTGCTGGCTGGAGAACAGCGGGTACAGCTAGTGTTGTATGAAGAGAAAATAAAAAGAGAGAGAAAGTTTACTGGATTGTTGGGAGATTGGCTGTGGATTTTTTTCGAGTTGGACAATAGCAGGATCGATGACGCCGCACCAAAATCCTCAAGTCGATGGGAATGGAGTAGGGAGAAGTATGGAATCCAACGTCCCACTATTCCACTTCTGCAGCCCTCAGTAGCCAGTCTTTTGCTCTCCCCTTCGATTCGACCAGGTTAGGTGAAAACACGGGCGACGTCACGTCAGTTTTCGCTTGCTTCTGTAGGATCGTAGGTTGCTTGCGAGTGCTTCGGATGCTAGCTTGGTGAGGGTATCGAAGAGTAGACCGTCCATGGGAATCCTGGGCAAGGGTCGAGATGCAGAGCAAATTGGAGATGAAACAGCGAGAGCAAAGGCGTAAATAGGACGACGTGAAACGATGCTAAGGAGACGAGAACAGGCAAGGCAAGGCGAAGAGGGAGGGAGAAACAAGGAAGATTAAAAGCAGAGCTGAGTGGCTCGGTGGCGTCAGGTTTGTGCGTGCGCCTGCCCGGCATGACCGCCCTGCGAGAGCTCCATGTCGCCGCTACCTGGAACGTGGCCGTGAGATGCTGCGCGCTAGGCTGTTCGGGGCATGTAGCCGGTACATGCTTAGGGCAATGACCAAATGCCCTCGATCGGCAGACATGTGAGAGCTGCAAAGAGCTGGACAAAGTGGGACGAGCAGATAGGCCTGCCCGGTAATCTTGGCGCTGTGTATTATGAATTATAGGTAATGCATATAACTGCATTGGAGCCCTGGAGCAGTTTGTTTCCGGGCATGCGCCTTCACACGCAGCAGACTTCTAGGCACTCGCAATCCAAAGCGCTGCACTGTAGCCTGTCAACCTTGTCTCAACAGGTACAAACAGCCACTGCGAACTGGCTTTCCGGGAAGAGTCGGAAGATTGTTTGCTCGATATGCCCTCTTCCAACTCTGCTCTCTAGGCGCTCTTCGGGCTCGCTCCGGGCTCGGTGTCCGGCATTGCAAGCGACGGCCAGCCTCGATCGTGGCGGGGAGACACAGTGACGACAAATTGATGATATGGAGGGTCCTCTGTGCCTCTCTGCGAGTTCCACCAGCATCTCGAGCTACTCCGCAAAAGACGCAACATCCCTGTTGGTCATGCGTCATATGCTGTAGCCACTTTACGCGCCAGAACGGGTTTCAATAAAGCCGGTTTATCAAGTCAAGTGCTAGTAATTCTAAGATACGAACTAGTATTGCCATCCAGCTTTGTTGCTCGGCTGCTTATTTTTATCCGCCAGATCACTTGCTTCTTCGAGTCCTCCAAGAGAGATGATTCTTCATCTGCTTTGGCTTACACCACACACTCCACAGCCTATTCCACATGCTGCAGCGCTGATTCGTGACGATGAAGCTGCGAGTTGACCGGAGCTGCATGCCAAGGTACATGCACTAGTCGTGGTGCATGGCTGGTGGGGCCTGTCTGGCGACTTTGGGCACCGGGTCAGCAGAGCGCTGGTGTTGCATCTTGAACGCTTCATCAATAAATGAGTACACATGAGCGAGGGATTTTCCACTGTCGCAGAAGAGCCGCAGAGCCTACGAAGATGGCGGCGGCAGGTTTGCTCCGTACAAGTGCATGTGCTCTGCATCTTAAGTCGCAGCGCTAGCCTGTGCGAAAGGGTAATCGCCAATCTAGCCATGCGGCTGCTTGTTTGACTTCAGCGCAACAGAAATTTGCTGGGACATGGCATGTTGAGATGAACAGCTCACTCCGCATGCTGAAAGGACAGCAAAACAGCGCTGTATGGCCTGAGAAGTTCATCCTCTCGCTGCGGGCAGGTTGCAGGCCATGATTGCAAACAGAACCTGGCAAAGAGGTCAGATGCTGCCCGCGCAATCAATATATAGGTGTATATATATAGTGGACCCCAGCCATGTTAGATTGGCATCGAATATCGATGGGAATGCCATTACAATAGAGTCATACTTGTATTGACAGAGCCTAGCGCCAAGGCAGAGCAGAACATCTGCAGCAGGGCTGGCCGCATCCATCGAGCCAGCACAGGGGCTACTGTATGTATCTGTACCCATTTGTCCAGCTCTTGGACGCTGTTGGTGCTGGGCGCAACGCTACTCGGCCACCTGGCAAGCCGCGCAGACGCTGGCTGGGCCCGGCCGACGGCTTCAACAAATAATATTTCGAGCCCATCGTGCAGCGCTTCAAGAACCACATCTGTGCCGTCTGTGATGCGCTTGTGCTCCTCCTATAGTGGTGCCCTCTGCTCTGCGCTTCGGTGACGGCGACTACATGGCAAATACCTACAGCAGTGCTCGTGAAAATGCAACTGTACGACGGCAGTGACATACCCATGCTCCACCCAAGCTCCGATAAGCCACCCACCGCGGGGCTTATCGCTGCCCGCTTCTGCCTGGGGCTGCCTAGGCTGCCTGCCGCTCGACCACTCAGGCGCTGAAACACCACTGGCTGCCAGGCGCTATGCATCTGCTCCCGTCCCCTGCCATGGGCTCTGGTAGCGGCCGCGGCGGACCTGGTGTCGACGTCGAGGTACCTCATATGTCCGCTGCATCGGCCAGTCTGGTACTGCCCATGTCTCCCTTCTGAAGCGGCAGAGCCTGAGACAGATGAGCAGGCAAACTCCCCCTTGAATTGCCTTCGACTCGGCGCCCGAACAGCCGTCAAGCCTGCTGCAGATACGACGGGTCGAGGTACGCAAAGCTGGCCGCCTGTACCTGCTGGATACTTTGCAACTGCCTTCAGCCCTTTGGCACCACTATTCGCTGCACCTAGCATTAAACTCCCGTAGTGAGGTGAAGGTGACTCGAGCCCCACCTCATCCTTCACTTCCGAAAGCCTCGACTCTTCTCCCCTCTTGTGCAGATAACTTCACACAGCCACCCACGTCCTATTCACCTTCTTCTCTTCTTCTCGTCTTGGTGTCTTCGTATTCTTCTCTTCCGCTGGTTGGAATCTTTAGTGCTTGCTTCTTCTTTCTTCTTCGCCTGGTTAGACGTGCCTATCTGCCAAAGAAAGCGGAAGCAGACAGGAAATCGCCCTTTGTACGGGTATCGACAGCTTGGGCCACCTCAGGAAGCCAATATCTCGGTTGATCAACAAACGTAACTGCGCCGAATCTACTCTTCGATTCTGGCCGAACTCGCCCACATCAGCATACATCACACGAGCCCACGCCGGTCCAGACATCGATCATCATGGCGCCATCAGTCTATCGTGACGAAGGTACGTCACGCCATCCCATGAATGCGCCGCAGCGCCCCAACATTTCCGTGACTAACTTTGATGCAGCTCTGGTATCCCTAACGGTTGTTAACCCAACCCCTGGCTTTGAGTTTCCAACACGCAGCCTATTGCTCAGAAAGTCAAATACTACAGTCCCCCTTGGACGGATGAGTAGAAAGAATGGAGTGTTCACTGCCCGAGAGGATAATGGCTGGATCGACTCCGCCGTCATGTCCAGAGATCATGCCAAACTTATCTTCGATCCGCAGTCCCAGGTAGGCTAATCTCTCTTGCTCTTCCCCCGCCACAAATATGTTCCCAGCTAATTCATATGCAGAGGGTCTTCATCAAGGATATCGGCTCTCTCCACGGCACGTTTTACAACGATACCCGCTTGAAGAAGCATCAAGCTCAAGCAGTAAAGAACGGAGATCTCATTCAGTTTGGTATCCCCATAGATAGGGGATCGGAAACCAATCCGCCTTGCATTATGCGAGCTAGAGTTGAGTTTGGCACAGCCAGGTACGTAACCAACGCATAATCGTATATTCCCTCTCTTCAACAGCCTCTCCTAATGTGTAAATAGCTCCCCTCAGGGCCCGACCGTTTTCCGAGTTCCAGATGATAGTGATGATGAGGTTAGCGCCGAAGAAGACAATGCTATTCGGAGCTCCTCCCAAATACTGCGAGATCATGGTATACGCCCAGACCCCAACTTCTTGGGCTCGGACAATACCGTCATTACTATTGAATCCGATCACGAGATGGATTCATCGGAACCTGAGCATGAAGATCACACCGAATATACCAGGTCCGCCCACGATCCAATGATGGAGAAATTCACTCCCCCAGGAGTGGTGCATACCTCAGACGAAGACGCACTCTTCTATGGAGACGATTACGAAGAGGACTACATGTCAGACGACAACGATGGTAAGCCTCCTCACTATGCAACCCTATTAAATTCCAAAGATTGCAGCACGGCTAACGAAATGCTTTCCAAGATCACTCGACTGACTCTCCTGTTCAAACCCTACGCCACAGTTTCTTAGGCGACGACTACACCACAACTCACGTCGAGGCCACTGTAATTCATGAGGCCGAAATTGTGGATAGATTCGAAAACGACTGTCTTCCACCCATCCTCTCAGCATCAGACGCAGCTGCGGCCCCGAACGATCCTACGATAGGCGTACATCTACCTTCATTCAACGATACTTTCCGGTCACAGGAAATTTCTATGGGCCGCCAAAATTCAATCACAGACACCAACAATGATGCGACTTCAAATGAGGTTCCAGCAAGCATTCGCCTTCCGGCAGCTCCTGAGCTAGTTGAGTCTAAATTTTGGCCAGAGGACGTTGCTCTCAACCGAGCAACCGAGTCCAGCCTTCTGTTAGACTCGGGTGCCGAGTTTCTTAATTCTCCTCTCAAAGAGCATCCCGAGCTAGAGAATGCCACCCCTCCTCTGGATCTCGACGAGACTTCCGCTTATCAGTTTGAAGTTACGAAAAACGCAATTACCCAGCAGCAACAAGCTTTGTTTAATGCTCCACAGACGGGCGCTGGCCAGACCATAGATCAGCAAGAGAAGCCCTCTCATGGCAAGCGCAAAGCTGTGGAGATATCAGAATTGACCGCCGAGGAAATTCCATTTGCTGAGCGAGATTTAGCTCAAGGAACATCTTCACTCAGACCTAGGACTCATGAATACTCTGCGATGGACATTGACGACCATCATTCTAGACCTAGCGAGCCACAGACAAAGCGGCTGCGCAAAGCTGCGGAAATCTTTGGATATGCGGCAATCGGAGGAGTTGCTGTTATGTCTGCGTTGATTGCTACTGCTCCGGCTCTATAAATATTTCGAACTCCTTTTCAAAGATTTTTCTCAGGATTTCTTTTGTGTACAGCTGTTGACTCCCCCGTTGGTTTATGTTGGTTTATTTTTCTTTTCCTCTTTCCTTGTTCTATTCTCTCATTGTCTTAAACGATCATTTTCTTGGTTTTTCTTTTTCTTTTTTTTTTCTATTACTATATGAAGAGATTCCGCTGTCCGGACTTGGCTGCCCAATTTTTTTACTGTTGGCGTCTCGGTATTTGACAAATTCGCGAGCCGCTTGGGATTATCTGCCATCAATTGGTTTTCGGCGCCGGATGCTGACTCTCAGCTCTGGCAATCGGTCCCTAATAAGGCAGCTTTCTCCATTGTGACCGCTTTTTGACGGTTTATTTTCATGTGCTTCTTGTTCTTATCTATGAACTCTATGGTTACGAATTTCTTAATCTGTTTTCTCGTTAGGGGGTCTCTGTTCATTTCCTATATAATAGGCTATAAAGAGAAAATAAATTTTTACTCAGGAAGGGAAGCCAATGAATAAATTGAAAGCAATTATTTTATATACCCATCACTCGATTTTAGTGCCTTGTTACTGTGACACTCTTCGTGTGATCTATACCTGTTAACCTACCTTCACCGACCTTTCATCAACTCCATCTACCCGTATTAATATCTTTGCTTGGGCTCTGTGGGTTACAAGCTACCGTATTGACATCGATGTTAATTGTGCTACTGACCACAGAGAAAGGAAAGCACTCTAAACCCCCGAATGCTTCACAAACTCAACGCCTCATAGCCAATCACGTTCTCGCTACGGGATATTTTCGTCAGCGCGTAATAACAGTGGTACGTCTAGGCGGGCTTTCGGACGTTACAGTCTTGAATCACCAGTCTGTCTCCCATCTCTCGTTTATTTGCTAAGAATACTTGACTATCTACTACTTGGTGCGCCTTGTGCTATTGAGAATACCATGTCTCTTGAATCTGGCTGGCTGGAAGGGGAGTATCTGTCTTTGGGTGGTTTATAACAAGTGAAGACGAGGATCTCTCTCTCTTTTTCTTTTCTTTCTTTCTTTCTTTTTTTTCATTCATGCTTTTTCCCCCTTATAATTGGTCCTAATTGTGTGTGATAGAAGCAGTAGCCTTTGATGCACGTGTAGTATCTGAAATAGAGATAATAGCAGTAAGATCTTTTGCTCTCACAAGGGCTAGGCACCTCTAACAAGTGGTAGGCGAGCCATGGTTAAGAATTTTTTTTGGTCCAATTCTCAGAATTAACAAGTATTCATTACTAAAAACACTGACTAGTGCTGAAAGGCCCTCGGGCAACTTCCAGCAAATCGAGTGGCTCATTTCAGCTGTTTTCCCATCGCATACATGTATATGTACTTGTAACACATTTTGTGACGACGCCTACCCGCAGATTGTTTATTTTGCGGCTGTCAAACGGGACGGGAATTTGAGTCACCGCTTATCTAGGATGATAGAGGCAAATTAAAGACAATAGAGAAGAGTATAATCTCTGATGGCTTTGTGTTACAGTTGTCAAGGGAGACCAGTGGTTGCCTTATTTTGGGCCTCAACCGCTTTCGCAAAACAACTTGCTACTTCTTGCTACCTTGTAGAGAAAAGGAGTTTATCCAGAATCGAGCTACATTTCCCTTCTCTCTTCTGCCCCTTCCCCTCAATATACGTAAACTTATTAGTGAAGCAGGTAGCCGCTGGGCGGAGAACGAGTTCCGAGAATGGCGTCTTTTCACGCCATATGATGGGCGTACAGGTTAAATGGAAAAAGACCGGTGAAGAGCGAGGAACTGTGCTGCCACCAGGCGACAACGGAAGGTAAGGAAACTCATTTGGCAATGAACGGCAACGGGCCCCCACGTGGCGGGCCGGTAAAAGGGTTTCGGGATGGCTATCTGCATCGGCCGATTCCTAATGCAGCTTTCCTTGAGTCGATCATTGAAGCGTTATTACCGTTCGGCAGCGGGATAAGTATGACATTCAAAGTGCTCTACAGAAATGTAAGCGGGTCAGGAAACGCGGCTGGATGAGGGATTCGTCTCCCCCCCCCAAACGCCAGCTGAATGCTACTGGCTGGACTGGCTCTAGCGAAGCGGGAGGGTACACAAAACGGATTTCGACTCGTGGCTCGTGTTGTTTCGCCCAAATTTGTACGGGAGGGAGCCAAGAGGGTTGCCGATGCAGGCCTGGTGACTGGCATCGAAAGTCGCGTCCTGGCTAGCTAAAGTGCTCTCACGGCGGAGATCATCCAACCAGGGAAGCCTGTATATTGTTTGTGTTCCGTAACACCAGCCACTGCGTCGGATCCAACACTATCAAGACAGCCAGGGACGGATACCGCGCCCAATGATTAGCCGTCCGAGTGGATGATAAGAGGGCAATAGCCGCCTCTTCCGTTCTGCGATATAAAAAGGAAGGATGCCATGGCTGCCAAAATTGGATAAATCGTCATCTTGCAGACGCCCGTTTTGCGGCTGAAACTCCAGCACCTCCAACAATGCTACGGTCAAGCCCAGCTGGCGAAGTGGTATGGTTCGATAAAAGAGTCCTCGGAGGCTTGACCGGTCCGGCTACGGGCAAATGAGAGGGCTGGGTTCCGATCACCATCACGGGTGGCTGCATCATCTCAGCGCCATTATCTTCACACAGGAGAGAACGGACCGGTTGAGAGAGGACAGCGTACGGATCCATTATCGCAATTGAACGCTCAAGTCGGTCCCATTGTATGGTCAAACTGTTGCTACAAGGCCTTTTATTCGGCGAGGGCGATGGATAGGAAGAGCAAGGAGGGCACCCAACGAGGCGGTAAAACTTGTTCGACGCTGCCGAGAACTCCGTTCGTGACGGTGGTGCATATAGGCTCAGAGCTTGGATGCTGGCTGATATCAGCTCAAGGAGATGATTCTGGATAGAATCCATGTCCAGCTGGGCGGGTCGGTATCACGTTGCTCTGGTCTAGTTGCCTCAACTATATGTCGAGGCAACCACACAAGCTGAAATAAAGACCGCGGTGAGGTTTCCTGTAGCGGATGAGTTGGCCTCCTCTATGGCCGACGATGATCGAGGCGGTCAAAGGATTCTTGGTCATTCGGATAGCCAGAGTAAAGGCGGGTAGGATGGATTATTGCTTGGCTCCTCAACTCTCCTGTGGCGTGGATATTAGTATTTAAGCAGAGGCCATGCCGCACATTCACCCAGAAAGAACAAAGCCGTAAATACATTCGCAATAGCCAGCCTCCAAGAGCAGCCATCTCTCAGCTTCTCAAGTCTTCATCTCCGAATATTCCATTAGCTTAGTAGCCATGTCTTCTGAATTCGCCGTTGGCATGAAACCAGACCTAGTGCCCATCACCTGCGACATGTGCAGCATTAGACAGTAGGTCTTCATCACCACCATATGCCTTGATAGATGTGATAGCTGAGACAGGAGATAAAGACACAGCTGCGAGTACTGCGGGGGGTCACTTGTCAGATTTGTTCCGTCCAACTATCAAGATCTATCGCCATCTCCGACTTCGTCTTTCACCTGCCAGAACGGCAGATCATCAGCAGGCCAAAATGATCGACCAAGTTCAGGTTCAGGTCACAAGCCTGCAGGCGTCTGTTCAAAACGCAGATAGGCCGCGTTGGACAGGACTTTCCGATGTCAACGCGTCCATGTGAATACTTTCAGATTTTTTCCCCCTTTATATCCTTCTCTTCTTTCTTGAAAAATGTGAGGCTAAATAGCCTTTTGGTGTGGCTACATGGAGGGGAAAGGTGGAGTTCAATCCTATACATGATGTAGAAGGTTCTCACTTGAGATGCTTGGAGGATGTTTCAAGGTTGAGCACTTCACAAAGGGCGGCTAGCTGTTAACCGGTGGAAATTTCTTGGTATGGCGTATTTGTGTGATAATGGAAAAGGTTGTTTAACGAGATTAGGTCAACATATATGAGTCAATATATCTTAAAGTCGTTTTCCGAGCCCAACTGAAAGTAGGTTGAACTGGTGAATATTAGTACTAGAGAATGACAAGCGCATATGGAACCCAGGAGAGGGGTAGTTAACGACAATAGACTATGGTTTCGTCTTCGACTAGGGCTCGTCTCGTTCATATCGAATGCTGTTCTTGGTTTCTTGTCCCACACAAGTGTCATGAGACGACGGATACATCATCCGAACAGGTAGAAGAGCATCCGACAGCTGAGCAGCCATCAAAGATGGAGGCCGCGTCCAGGATTCAGTTCCATAACCACTCGGCTAGCTGTATGCCAGACTCGGTCCCGAGCCAAAGCCCGCCATAATGGCGAACTTAGATGAGAAATGAGGCCCAACAATCGGGATGGCGCATTTGTGAATTGAGAGCATCTTCAGCCGATACCATCCTGGAGCCGACGGCCAAACGCATCTGTAGCTTGTCACGTGTTTTCACCTAGAACGTCTAGCAAAGGAGCACAAGCTGCAAAAGCGCATCCTATGGCATTGAAATTTCAGCATAGCTGATGATCGTGTGTGTCCTCAGCCAAGTTCTTTTGCGTTTATTGTTGATGTTGGGAGCTGGTCATATCTCGGTGGTGGTAAATGGTGCTGGCGGTATGAGGTAGCTGCCGCCCGGGCTCTCTTCGGAATAATATTCGTCCACAGCCTCGCCAATCCGACCTCGAGCTCTTGAACTCTGCTTCACAGCTACACAATATCTCATCTGGCGACCAAGTGCGCGTATCACTCTTAATATCGGCCGCCATGTCTGTAATTTTGTGTACAGGTTAGTGTCGGGTTTCCTCTCGACCACCAGTTGTCGCGAACTTGAGAGCTAATAATGTGCGACAGCGGGTTACGACCACACGATCAGGTTCGCAACCTACGGCAGAGCAGCTTCCTTTGCGCACAAGGCTAACTCGACGCAATGCAGGTTTTGGGAAGCTTTATCGGGAATCTGCTCGCGCACGATCCAACACCCAGACTCTCAGGTAAACCGCCTATGTATCTCTCCCGACAAGAGGTTCCTCGCCGCGGCCGGCCACCATACAGTGAAGCTTTACGACATCAAATCTACGAATCCTAATCCGCTTCTTACATTTGAGGGCCATACGGGGAACATTACTGGAGTAGCGTTTCACTGCGAGGGCAAATGGATGGTAACGAGTTCCGAAGACGGCACGGTCAAGATTTGGGAAACGCGGACGGGGTCAATACAGAGAAGCTATAATCATGGCCATCCTGCCAATGACGTTGTCATTCACCCAAATCAAGGCGAGATTATAAGCTGCGATAGGTCGGGCAGCGTGAGGATATGGGACCTAGCGGAGAATACTTGCGCGCACGAGCTCATTCCCGAAGAAGACGTGTCGGTATCGAGCGTGACGGTTGCTAGTGACGGGTCTCTGTTATGTGCCGCGAATACAGCAGTACGTCAAGTGCAGGAGCTGCGATGTCAAGTTGTTTCCTCCCCATCAAACCAGCTAACATTATGCCAGGGCAATGTATTCATATGGCATCTTCGCCAAAACTACGAACAGACAGAGCTGCTCCCGGTGACCCATTTTAATGCTCACAAAGAGTACATCACCCGAATTCTGCTTTCTCCGGACGTGAAGAAGCTGGCAACATGCAGCGCCGACCACACAGCCAAGATCTGGGAGATTAAAGACGTCAAACCACGGATAGATGGCAAGACGGACGAACCGCGGCCGCTGCCCCTCGAGGCTACACTGACTGGGCATCAGCGGTGGGTTTGGGACTGCGCGTTCAGCGCAGACTCGGCGTATCTAGTGACGGCATGCTCCGACCACTATGCCCGCCTATGGGAGCTACACAGTCAACAGATTATACGCCAATACAACGGCCATCACAGAGGAGCTGTCTGCGTAGCACTTAATGACTACTCGGAGACGCGCTAATATCTTGCTCAGAAGGCAAATAATACGGATGTGGTTTAAGCAAAGGGATATGATGGCGTGGCGTTTGGGCAATTTTTCAGTTTTACTTTTTTCCCCCCTATTATTTACTTCTTTTGCCCTTGTATCGGCAGCAATCGTTTGAGGGGCGCAAACATACCATACACTCTGCCTCCGCCCTGTTTTTTCTCACTCAAAAGATAATTAGGCGGTAGCTTGTATAGAGAGAGATCCAGGGTGATGGCTGTGTTTCATATAATGGGCTTGGAGTGCACACGGAAGATCTATTGTGAGCAAGCTTGTCTGCGTAAGGTATTTGATGGATATACGAGGTAGTATGTATGTCCAGGCATGGATGCGAACGGATCAGCGCTTTGGATTTGAATGAGTAATTTTTTTCTGCCAAGACTTTGCGCCGTATGATGATGGCTAAAGAAGTGGTTTCAATAGAAGATTTGTGATAGATGATACTATCACCAGGACATCTCGCGTCTTATGACCTTTCATGGCTCAACCAGCTTCTATCACAATCAGGGTATCGGTAGTATGCGGCGGAATATAGAAACAAAGTCTCGGCCGCGGGACAAACAAGCCGCAACCTAAATCTCGGCTCCGAGCAGGGCCAGGGTGACGCTTCAAAAAAGCAGGTATATTAGGCACCCTCCAATATCTCCGTCTCTGCGCATCGCCAAAAGCCGACTGGTCGTGCCCACGTGGAGAGAGCCCATGGCAGCGGGAAGAAAGAGGCCATCCATCTGTCCGTACACGCAGATCCCTACTTGATTTTCAACGTTGATGATACCCAGGCGTCCCAGGAAACAATGGTTCCCTTGTCGATTCTCACATGGCCAGTGACAAATTATCCACGGTGATCCTAGCCAGGTGAAAACGGTTCGAGGGGGGTCAGTCCCAGTTTCTCCCCAATGGGCTTTTTTTGCTTCTTCCCCTGTCTTGGAGCGCTCTTGGCTAGTCCCTCCCCCGGCTCGTCGGGACAAAACGACTGGCTGGCCGACGGCATTGGCAAGATTGATTGATTGAAAGCGCTGGCCTCTTCCAGCTGGACAAGGATCTTGACGGGTACGCTAACTTTTGGCTGGGGTGGGGGGAGGGACCCTGGGCGTTTTTTTTGGTTTGTTTCCTTGACAGCCCTGCCATGAGAGACACGCTTCTTTAATTCGCGAGGGAGGGGGCGTGTGCTGATGACTTTATGTTTTTATTTTCCTTGTATGGATGGGAAGGCGAGACTATTGAAATCGCAGGTGAGCTGTTTTTTTTTTTTTTTTTTTGTGATTTATGATGTGATGGGCTGTGAGCTGTGATTTGGGTTATAGCAAGGACGAGCACGAGGGCATAGCAGCGAAAAAGAAAGAAAAAGAAAGAAAGAAAATCCACAGCTTTTTGCGGTGAACTGCTCATCAGCGTGTGTGTATACGATGATGCGTGTAAGTGGTGGTCTGGGCGCTATTGGCTGCCTCTTTGTCGGCTCAGTCGCCGCTGCGGGCCGAAAGAGGAAGACAAAGAACCAAAAAAAAAAAAAGCGGAAGAGAGGAGAACGACAAAAAAAAAAGTGGAATATTGGCTGTTTGATGCTAGGAACTGCTACTAATGTACGGATAACCACTAATAGGTTCGTCGTTCTTGGTGCAGCAAAATGTACCTTGCTTTAGTGTCTGCAGCCAACAATATCCAGCAGCACACACTAATGATGCTTCTCTTAGCTACATGGAGCACCACCCAGAACGCATGGACCCAGCATTTGGAAACACTAGATGGTGGCCATGAAACGCTCCAGCACACGTTACAGAAACTGAAAATCGTTCCGCGTAAAAAAGTGCCGAATGCCCCATCATCTCTCCAATCCAAAGCCGAAGCCCCCCATCCCAACCCTCCCCCAGAACATATCAACATCTCATCGTTTGTCTCTTTTTTGTTCGCCACCAGCTAACTGAAAAACGCCAGTCCCATATTCCCGTTACGGCAACGCTCCCAATCGCCTTCTCCGACCTTGCATGCCATGCAAGTCTCTCAGTCTCTCGTGCTCACTCAGTTCTCATTCAATGCATTAAATCACGCCCCAACTACTTACTACTACTACTTCTACTAACCTATTAAAATACTATACGTACCTAGTACTTGTAGTAGACTTGTCCAGCCTTGGCCCGCAAGCCACACCACTCGCCTTGGCGGGCTGTGCGCCGCCGTGCCGTGCCATTGCCCGAAGCGAAGCGAAGCCCCAGCCCGCGTGGCTCGTTTTTTTAGCGGCTGTGACGACACTTTTGCTTGCCTCGCTTGCCTTGTCTATGTACAGTATTGGCAGCAACAACAAAATCGAGCCCGTCGTCACAGATGGCGCTAGCAAACTAACCTACGTAGCAGTTGAGATATAGTGCAAACCGGTAGCTTCTAAAAATTGCCCACGGCGCAGCAGCCCGGCCAATCGCCAGTCGCCAATCCAGTCATTCAGATCTTTGAACCACCCCTGTTGTTGTTTTTTTTGTTCCCAACCGGAAGTAGACTAAGCCAATAAAAAGCCACGAGGCCAGTAAATGCTAGGTAGGTACTGCCTAGGTTAATAGAGAGAGTTGGGAAAGCAGAGCGAAACCCCCCCCCTTCTAACCACCGTCGTCATCACACAAACTTACAGCCTCGCTCTCTCACCTTTCAGCCCTGCCCACGTCACACACACACACACACACACACACACTCTCTCTCTCTCTCTCTCTCTTTCTCTATTACACCTCGACAATGCCATCAGACAACGCAGCACAAGACCAGCAGCGCCCCCCCGCCATCAACTACATCCTCAGCTTCATCCTCGTCGGCCTCGCCTGGGGCCTCACCACGCCCTTCATCCGCCGCGCCGCCCGCTCGCACAAGCCGCCCTCCCACGCCATCCTCGCCCGCCCGGCCGTCCAGGCGAGCTGGCTCCGGCGCACCCTCTACGGCGCCTTCTTCGCCGTTGTCGATCTGCTGCGCAACCCGCGCTACGCCGTGCCGCTGGTGCTCAACCTCACCGGCAGCGTCTGGTTCTTTCTTCTCATTGGCAAGGCCGGTACGTTAAGCATCCTGTCTCTTGTCTCTTGTCTCTTGTCTCATCCACACTCCCATAAGAAAAAAAACTCCACTCTTCAATCTAAAGAAAGAAAAAAAAAATCCCGTCTGCCCAATTTTGCAATAGCATCATCATCACTTTTTTTTTTGCCCCTGCAAACCTCCCATGTCTTAGATCCCCCCCTCCCATCCACACCAGAACCGCCCTACTGGGCTAGCCAGCAAAGCAGAGCAGGCAGCCTAGTTACTTTTTTTCTCCATTTACATAGCAAACACCAAACATAAAACAGATTATTGAGATCTGACCCCGGTTTTTTTCTTCTTTTAATTAACGCGTTTTGTATCTTTGCCACCCACTAGAGTTGAGCCTTACGGTCCCGATTGTAAATGCCATGGCCTTTCTCTTTACCGTTTTGGGCGAGTGGTTCGTTGAGGGGAAAGTGATCAGTAGAGGTATGTCTTGTTCCGCCCAATGACGGCTATCAGCGGAAAATCCGTATTTGTTATCAACAACTAATGATGGGGGACAAAAGAAACTGGAATTGGAATGGTTCTGTCATTGGCCGGAATCGCCCTGTGTGTTCAAAGCAAGAACTGAGGGGGTTCATCCCTTGGAGCGTTGCATAATGGTAGCATTTTAGAAACAAAACTCGTTGGCTTGAATAAAGTTGTATTCATTTGAAAAGATAATTGAATGATTTGAACAAAAAATCTAGAGTCTGCTCCAGGCAGCTCAGGAAAAAGAATAGAAAGAGAGAAAAAAATGTCTATGGCCCATATAGTATCCTCCAATTGTGCCCTTGAAATGCTTGCTTTTCATCACTCAGTCTGCAGCAGCACGCTATACCTGCCAATAATGTCATCAAAGACGCCCAAGAAAAGCACGAAAAAATAACCCAGAAAGAAAAAGGTATCCTCTGTCCTTGTGCTTTGCTGCTGCCTGTCATCCTTGCCCATACGCCCAAATCATACATCCAAGAGAGAAAGAAAAAAAAAATATCCAAACAAAGAGAAAAGGACCTCTCATAATCGCTGCATGAAGCTCGCTCCAGAAACAGATGATAGATATTGGTACCCAGGGACAGTGGTGGTCCCCCAAGAGTTGAATACCGTAGGAAAAGTTGCTGTTGTTGGTCCTGGCGGCGATAGTGTCGTAAATACGTAGCTTCTGATTCGTCGTCGCCTTTGGTTCTGTTATTGATACGAAGCACATCATCTTCGTCGAGACTGGAGCCAGCGCTGGATTCTGTGCAGGCTGGGATCTTCCATCGTCCAGCGCCCCTGTGATTGGTCCGCCGTCAACAGCTCCGAGTACACATATTCGTCACTAATTGAAGCCAGTTCCTAAGCACACACACAGCGAGTCAGTACGATAGTTCCAAACTCCGCTACTTTGTCCGTGCATATGTCCGTAAGAAAGGATTTTCCCGACATGCACCGGGTGGGGACCGAGGCTGTGTGGTCAACCTCCCACTTGGTAGCTGTAGTCAGAAAAAATAGAGCCTTGTCCAGCTGGACAAGGAGCAAAAAAAAATGGTCTGGGTGTAAGCTTACCACTCGAAGTTGGTTATCAATAGCCTGCAGCTGGGCATGGTTCCCCGGATGCGGCCTTTGGCCCTGCAATATTTGATCTCGGTATTCGATCCATCGCTGTGCCGCTGCTTGTCTCAAGAGGATTTTCTGCCCTTCGTGTCGGCGCGCATACGCATCAAGCAAAATCCTTTAGAGAGAGAAAACACAAAGAAAGTTAGTCGTCTTCAACTTGAGTGCATAACGTGAATAATAGAATATCGATGTTCCATCACATGTTGAGAGGGACATACTGTTGCAGTTCGGCCCTGGTCTGCTCCTCCTCTCCACCCTGCGCTGCAGGCACCCTCGTATCAGCAGCAACGTCCAGGATATACTGTCCGTCGATTGTGCATTGGCGTAGGGCAGCCCATCCCTCGGTGTAGTAGTCCTCCTCGTTCTCCGGCTCGACAGGCCCGGATGAGATGTAGTATTGAAGTGCTCGAAAGTCGGCGAGGACCTCAGCAACTCGGGCGGTTCGGCACTCGTTCACTTTTCGTAGCGTATCTTCATCAGTCATTGTTCACACCAAGAAATGAAAAAAGGATAGTTAGAGGCTGGTCAAGGTCATCTTTTACGCATAGAGGTTCTCGGTGAGTTGCGTGTAGTAGGATGAACGGGTGGGTTCCTACCACGCGTCGAGTGCATATGCAGATGCAGAGTCTCAAGGGCTAAGGGGGAAAACGGCGTAGCTTGCTTGTCGTAGTTTTACTTTGGCTTGGGGAAAGGCAGGAATAGCGGGACAATAAGAAGGAAAACTATTTGCTGGAGCTGAGGCTAGTGACCTACATCCGTCCATGGCTTCCTAGGGAAAGCTGCCGAATCAGAGTTTTGGGGGCCAGGCGCAAAAGGGGGGGCCAAAGACGCCTAGCGAGTTTCCGTAGATGGAAATAGTTGAAGAGATCGATATAACCGCCGTGAACAAAGACAATGGCTGATGCCGACGATAGCCCTTCTGCAACGGTGGCGCGCAGTGACGCTGCTTCTGGAGAACAAAAAAAAAAGTGGCGGCAAAGAGAATTCTAGTCGATGCTGCTGCTGCTGCTGAGACCAACAGATGATGCAGATAGAACACCCACAAGCAAGTTCGCTTCGTCGGCTTCTTCGTGGGGACGGGAGGCGTTCGTAGTTTGGCAAGTGAAGCTGAAAAAAAAGCTGGCTATTGAGTGGCGAGGACCAAAAGAGGTTTGCGGGCTTGCTCGGCTTGCCTTCATCTTGGTCCCGGAGCGAGATGCTCCATCCTTTTGTATAATTTCTCCATGATCGACCCCGTCCAGTATTTGCGGGAGGATCCAGCAAGTCTCAAAGGGCTCGCTGGCCATCTCCGCCTTGCAAAGCTACGGTGGACTTGGGTGCTCTGGTTGAAATCTGAGGGTCCAAGAGGGTGACCAGGCTGAACCATCAGCTATCACGAAGCCGTGGTGCAAACACCAACGAGAGCTCTGCCCGTGTCCTCCACCCCCGGTGGCTCTTTGCAAGCTCAGACCTGAAGAATCCCGGACGAGCTGGCAATCGGGCAGCAGCCGTCCAACCGGAGTCGTTGTCAGCCCTATCCTAGCCCCTTGATGGCGTCTAGGCCAGCCAGCCAGCGCCCCGAGGCTGGGCGTGCCGGCGTGGTCACCACCGCACCCGTGGCCAGGCTAGGGGATGCGGGCACGCGGCGACTGTGACTGTCGATCTCAGCAGCACGCCGGCTAGGCAGAGCCAGACGAGGCTCACGAGTCGAGAGCCAGAGGAAAGCCTTGCCGGCGAGTCCCTACGTCCCCATTCCGTGGGTCGACCCATTGGCAGCGCAGGTACGGCGCCATACGAGTCGCCCATGCATGCACGCAGATGGAGCCCGTCTGGCGAAACAAAGACTGGAGTCGAGTCCCGGACGCGCCGTTTGGCCCCAGCACTAGCCCAAAGTCCCGGCGTTCGTGATACCCAAGCGACGGAGCCCACAAACAGCCGCGAGCCCTGGCACGGATGGAGGAGGCGTGAGACACGCAGCGAGACAGACGGAGATCCATGGATGCCATCGCAGTGCAGTCGCTAGCTAGAAGCGCCGCTGCACGGCTCGCCTGAACACCCCTGTCGGCGGGGACTGCCATCGGACCTATGGCGTGCATCTCTCGACGCCTCAGCTCCGGCCCAGCGACGCTACCACGCGCAGCCTTGCCGAACGAGGCCAGAGCGACGGGCCCTGCAGCAGCTGCGTGCGCCAGGGACGGCTGACGGAGCCAATGGCAGCGCTGCGAGGCCTGCCAGGGGGGAGGGTGGCATCTCGGTTTGGGGGTCGATGCTGGATGGCAGTTGCGAGATGCGTCTTGTCTTGTCTGGTCTTGCCTGGTCTTGTCTCTCTCCGCAGGCAATGCGAAGAAAGTGACAGACTGTCGCTGCGCCCTGTCTCCTTCCTCCCTCTCCTCCTCGTCACATTATTGATGCAAACCGCTTCTGAAGTGGCTTTTATTTTTGAATAATCGGATTTTTAATTTATTTTGCAGCAATATATGACCACTTAATTCTTATTTTAGCCTTAAACTATTTATGTTGCCGGCTGTGTCGTCGATGCATGTACTTGTGCTCATACCAAAAACGGTCGGTCCTTTTTCTTTTCCCTCTTCACCTGAATAACTCCTACATGCAGCCAGCCCGTCTGCGCCAAACACCAAAAAGGAACGTCAGATTCAGAACAGCATTTAGTGCGCAGCAGTACCTACGTGGCAGGACAAGAACATCCAAGTGAAAACGAAACATAATTAAACAAAACATAATTCTATCGCCACGGGATGCGACACGCATGTCATCCAGAGACACGTCACACACGAACATGGTTTGGTGCCTCGCATCCACCTTCAACTGCAGGTCCCGGGGCGCTGCGCCTTACTGGCCCCATCGCCTGCTGAAAGTTTGTGAAACCCATCCCGCCCCGGTGATCCACGACAAGGGGCGGTCCCGTTCGTCCCATATCACTTTGCAAACTGCCTTTTTGTCTTGTGTTCCCACTGATACCCGACAAGACAAGCATCAAACAGAATGAAAAACCCAAGCCCAAGGCACCGTATCAAGCCCTGAGCTCTGATTGGAGCCTATAGGCCCGGAACGGGAAATTGAGGCTGCTGCCTAGTACTCGAAACATCACTCACCAAGGACCGTGCAGATGCAGATTCATCCCTTCTCATTATGAAGCTTGCTGTTCTGTAGCAATGATTTGACTGCCTCATCCTCGTAAGCATGCCGGTGTCGATGCCATCGCAGCTGAACAGATGAGAAGCCCGATGAATCACCTTGATGCCCTGCTTACTGCTTCGTAATGAAGATATCTCTGTACGCGTGTCATGCTACAACATTTCAGCTCTACTGGAGAGGCCTCGGCCATGACAATGACATGATTTGTCCATTCGAGGATATTGCTCAGGAACCAATCGTTTGGAGTAGACTTGGTGAGACTCTTCCTAAAGAGAAGACAGTGGAAGAAGGAATAATTAATAATGACTACGATGCCCTCAACCTCAGCACGACAGGCCTAAGCCAAGAGGATGCAACCAAGTCAGCATTCGCAGCAGCGTCGGATGCCGAGCCGTGGAGATTTAGGAATCTTGCCCACTAACTGTCGCCAATCTTACGAATCTTTATACCGCCTTCGTCTCTAGCTTGGATCACACTCTGCGCAGCGTCACCGAACCCAGACCAAGGAGCTGGCATACTAAATAACGGCATAATGCCGACGGATCTTACTGGTATCAGGAAACTCTTGCCTTACTCTCTTCCCTCTACCCGGCCTGGTGACTCTTTGCTTCACAGCCCTATGATGCCAGCGAACTGCTTTGTTTAGCATCACTCTCCGTTGTCCACTCCTCGGCGCTTTCTACCTACCCCATACTACATCAGGACCAACAACATGCCTTCGTGTAAACGCCACCGTGATGGAAAAGCCCAGCTTCAGCCAATAACACTCCATAACAGCGCTCATCACATGCCAAGGCGAGCACTTCATAAGGCAGCTGCCTTGTTTCCCTCCCCCACACAGCTCAGATCTTGCACAATGGCGAACCAATGCTGACTGCAGGAGAGAGAGAGAGAGAGAGAACGGTATTAGGCGAATACGCCCCCGAAAAAATAAACTGTCGCCTTACACCCCTCCTGTGAGAAGTGGCAGGCGGTCTCAGTTATGGCGTTGGTCACCTTGGCCATTTTTCAACGCCACACCTGCACACCTGCACAC